CCACAGCTAGGTGGTGGTGCTCGGCTGATATCAAACCCATCCATCACCCCCCCTCCCAGCACGGTCCAACTCAAGACAAGCAAGACAAGCAAGACAAGAGAAAACTCGTCTCCGATCGATCAGAGCACACACCCATGTCTGTCCCTGCCTCACTTTCGTTTACCCCAAGCAAGCAAGCAAGTAGTGTACCTAGGTGGGCAGGTGGGTGAGGTACTCTATCTCACACACTAGCACTCCAGTTTTTGCCCACAAAAAAGCAAATGCAAATTACGGCACGCCGGGACGTTCGCCATTCCGGTACACTAGAGGACTGAGTTCTTTTTTGGCGAGGGGTGGGGAGGGTAGGGGAGGGCGGTGGAGACGAGATGTAGAAAGAGGGAGGGGGGGCTAAAAAGATTTTTTTGTTCAGGGTCTTTTTTTTTTTTTTTTGAGGGGGGGGGGACGTTGATGAGTAAGGAATGGAAGTGGAAGGGGTGACATCTCGCTTAGCAGGATAATTGAGGCTATGGGGGGGTGAGGGTCCGGAGGGATAAGGCACAGTTGGGATGTGGATATAGTAGAATACTGTATTTACTTGTGGGTAACTGTGGTGGATGGCTGACATGACAGACAATAATAAGGTGCGAAAATAAGGAGGATTCTATTTCGCATCGCATCCAGGGTACAAAGTTACTCGACCTGATAGTGTATTCCACTCTACTCCAGTGGAGCGTAACTAGACTAGGGTCATCTTGTTCGGCGGCTTCTTCGCACTCTTCTTTTGGCTTTACCGTTTCCTCGCAGCCAGGTGCGGTGGAGAGACTCGACTCCACTTCGCTCCACTCCACTCCACTGCGCTCCACTTGAATTGACTTGACTTGACTGCTCCACTACATACATGACACCCCACCACTGACCGCCGGACTTTCTGTCTTTCCTTCGGCAGCCGAGAATCCCGCTCCCGCTCGGAGCAGCAGTACTACATACATACATACATACTGACAGGGAAGTCGATGTTGTCCTCGGCTCGTCGGTGGGCTATTTGTCGGTACTCTAGAGCAGGCAGGTGTGTAGAGCAGAGCATGTGGATGTACATGTAGGTATGTGGTACTTTCGAGTCGTAGGGATATCGATGCCATGCACTGTAGTCGGAACCATTCGGTGGGGGTTGTTCGTGCCCTGGCCAACCAACCATCTGGCCATCTATGTCTCGGGTAATAATTCTGTCCGTCCTTTTTGCTTCTTCCTTCCTTTCGGTAGAGGGAGGATGTACCTATATGTATGTAGGTACACGGACGGGCACCGAGGAAGGGCAGTGCACTGAATCAGAATGTAGGTGCCTTTGAGTGCAACATACATGTATATTCACTGCTATTATCGGGGGCAGGAGATGGATGTATGGTCTAGCATTCTTCTGTTGGTACTTTGGCTACATCCATGCATATGTATTGGCCCGTTCATTCTCTACTTCTATGGATTATCTAAGCGGGTATCTGAAGTACATACATGTAGTTACTGTATCTGGGCAATGAAGAAGAAGGAGACAGTTAAACTTCTACGGCGGTAAGGCTCGGGGGTTTCATGTGTGCCAGGGAAGAGCTGTCTGTGTTCGCTAGCTAGCTCTCTACTAAGCCATGTAGCTAGCTAGGCAGTGGCCAGCCAGACCTCAGGTAAAAGAAAGTCCTGCCTGCTCAGGCACCGGCGACTTGAGCTCGCCTGTGGTGCAAGCCATACGAAGATTGTCGATACACCAGCATTCCATGGCTGTCTGAGTCTGTTTGCCATTCGCCCGTCAGGGACCATCCCTCAAGAAGGAAAGCAAAGAGAGAGAAAGAAAAAAACAGGAAAGAACATCTTAATACCTCGTATGTATGCGTTCCCATATGCGGGACAAGCATGACGTGATCATTCGCCATGAGACCCGGATGAACCTCTGGCTCGTTCTCAAAGACATCGAGCCCGACACTGCGGACCTTACCAGAGTCGAGGGCCTTGACGAGCGCGTCCTCGTCAAGGACGGCGCCCCGGGCAGTGTTGACTATCACTACACCATCTTTCATCTTTGCAAACTCGGCAGTGGAGATGATGTGGTGGGTGTGTTTCTGTGCTTCGTCAGCTACTTGGAATGTTTTTTTTTTCTTATGGCGCATCATGCATGGAAGCTAGAAGCTGCATAGAAGCTGAAAAAAAAAAAGTAAGAGAAGAGAAAAACAAAGGAAAAAAATGAGACCTCGCTCGTATCTCATAATATGCAGCCTGTTTTTTTTTTTTTTTTTTTTTTCTTTACTGCCGCTGCATAATCCCAAATCTAATCCACAACCAATATCACAAGCCAATCCCGAAAAGCTCCTCAAGGGCAAAAAAAACAACTCACATTCAACGGCAAATTCAAGCTAATGACATCCGACCTCGCCAGCAGCTCGTCAAAGCCCACATACGCTGCCCCCGCCTCCAGCTCCTCCGGCAGCCTCGTGCGATTGTGATAAATCACCTTCATACCGAACGCATCCGTCCTCCGCTTCAGGGTGCGCCCGATGCCGCCCATGCCCAAGATGCCGAGTATCTTCCCCTGAGGATCGTGTCCGAGCGGCGCCCCGCCCTTCCACTCGCCCCGCCGAAGCCCGGCCATCCCGCAGTTGAAGCCGCGCAGTGCCCCGATAATCAGGAACATGTTTACGTCGGCCGTGGCGTCATCGGGCGCCGTTGGCACGTTGGACACGCGGATGGAGCGCGCGCTGCAGGCGTGTACGTCGATCTGGTCGTACCCAGCACCTGGGTGGATTGGAGGGGGATGATTAGAAGAGAAACATAATCAAGGGCCCGATCATTGGCTTGTGGGTGGGATGGATGGAGGGGTGGTGGGTGGGTGGGTGGGCACTAGGGTGGGTGGGTGTCTTACCAACATGGCAAATAAACTTGAGAGATCGCGGGAGAGCTTCGAGAAGCTCAGCGTCGATCCGGCCAGTGATTGAGACGGAGGGGAGGTTTCGGTAGACTGCGTAGATGCCCTCGAACGCGCCGGTGCGAGCCTCCTGGAGGAAGTCGGCCCTGTTGGTCGCCTTGACGTGGATTGTTTCCACGACCTCATCCTCCTCGAGCGACTTCCATGCGTCGTGAGCGCTGCCACAAAAACAGTTTCCATCAGCCAAGACAATCTGCACAGGGGCAGGGTAAGTGAGTGAGCGAGCGAGGCTTACTGGTCGATTTCTCCAATGAGGAGGACCTTCTTGATCGTCTTTTCCGGCGAGGGGCCCATGATTATCCGTCGGTCCGCTTTTGGGGCGGGGTAAACAAAACGGGGCGCGGTGGTGGGGAGGGAGGGTGGGGGGGGTTGTGTTTTTCTTGTTGGTGGGGTTGGTTCGAACTATTGTCAAGGGGGCAATCACAGAGGGAACACCTTTTTTTTTTTTTTTAACCGGGAGGATCCCAACAACAACAACAATAAAAGTGAAGGGAAAGGGTCGTGTGGTTTGCAGAGCGAGCAATTCAACATTGATATAACAGCTGTCTGCCCCGCCCGCCCCCCGGCTACATATCGGATATGGGATTGTTGCCGGATTATTTGCTAGCGAGAGGCATACATCCCCACACAGATACATATCAGTTACATCCTGTTCTTGAGAGATCTGGGCAATACATAGAAAAAAGAAGGGCGTGTGAAACAAAACTATATCCGAAACGTTTAGCTTTTAATTACACGGGGATAAGGCGAGAAAAAAAGAGAAAAAATACGAGACTCGATATACACAAATGAGGGGGGTGCGATCGATAACTGCCATCGGAGATGGAAGTATAATGGAGATAGAGGGGTTATAATTCTTCAGGGTTTGTCTGTAGCCACGCCGGTGTCTCGCATCATGTAGTCCGAGGGGGCTGTTCCTGGTGATCTTTGGCTATTTTGTGAGCTATGGGTATCAGTCTTATGGGACTTACCCTAGGAAACTATGCTGTACTACGGAAAACCGGGTTCAACAATCACAAAAGGGTTATTGATCACCAAGACTTCCAAAAGCCCGTAATAAAGTGATGTCGATCACGAAGTGTCATTCACTTAGCAACCAAATGCGAGTGATTTTACATGATTCATTTCTTTCTTTTTTTTTTTTTTTTTGTTTAATTCATTAATTATGATTCATTTCTACTCATATTGATTTATTTATTGTGCTTCTTAGTACAGCAACAGCTGACTTTATCAATTTATTCGTAAGATGCGTTTCGAGAGTATATAACCATGGGGACAAGAGAATGAGATGAAGAAAGATCATTGGATATCTGCATTAAATAACATTTATAAAGCCAGCGGGAAAAAGGTTCACTTCAAAAATAAGAGTATGCAAAGAATTCGAGACCAATAACTTCCTGATTGCGAAGCCTGCTGGATGAAGCTTCACTCCCTTTGCTTTTATACGCCTAAAATAATCGTGTCTTCTTGGTAATAGTTACTGTGCCATTTATAACAATTATTTAAATTACGTATGTCACTAGCTTATGTGCATTAACATAAGTAACGGGCGAGATGTTTACATTTCCCATTATTATACCCTCGTTATACTCTCGTTAAACATGAAATAGTCGAAACCTAAATTTCCCAGACTCCTCCAGAGCGGATAGTGACGACCACCCAAAGGAAAGGAAAGACTATAGTTATGGAGTACAGGCATCTCGAAGCACAGAGCTACTATAGACTCGAGTATAGAACAATCACGCAGTATAAAATGAAAACACAAAAACCGGCAAACTAGGAAAAGCTTCAAGTATTTCACTAACTATAACCTCGACGACCAGGGCCCTAAGGGGATTCCAGAGAAAAACCAGCATCATTACTTCCTCCAAAACGCCACAACCATTACCATATCCCATTGACTCGTTCTGCCCTGAAGGTTGGCACCCATAAGTCACCCCACTGATCCAATCCGCCCCAGAAACAAACAAAAAGAAAAGGGAGTGAAGGGCATAATCGTCTGGTATACAGATACTAGAGATTAAGCGCCTACTCCTGAGTTTGACGGACTTCGAAGCTGCTAACCGCACTGGAGCTTCCGTTGCTCCTCGTAGTATCGTTTATACTCCTTCTCATGTTCTTGCTCCTCTTCGTCAGAAGCAACTCGGTCTTCTGGATCGTACAGGTGAGTGTATGACATTCTCCCAGCATGCTCTTTGCGAAAGGTGGCGCTAGCCTCGTTGACGATGCCCTGCTTAACCTCGGCGGTCCGGAAATAGCGAGAAATATGTTCCATTTCAGACGGTACATGGCCATTTGTTGCATTTGCTATTTGATCCCTACGAAACAAAGAATTTTTTCCACCAAAAGTGAGTTTGATTTTCTTTGAGTCGTCTTCAGACTCTTCCTCATCTCCAAAGAGGTTGACGAGGTTCTGGAACGAATCTGGCCTTTCGACGACGCTCACAATGCTTGTGTGACGAGAAGTCCATGTCAACTTGTCTATAAGGGGATCTCCTGAGCTTCCGATACCAAGGTTATGCAATTCTTGGCGCAGAACTTTGACGGCCTCTGTCTTCGAGACAACACTAGTGGTGCTAATAGTACTAATGGTACTGATCCGATGTTCGACCACTGAGGTTTTGACCGGAGAAAGATCGAAGTTGCCCTCGGTACCAGATGTAGGTGATCCTAATACCTTACAGCCATCGAAATCGTTGCTGCCGTCAGATGGATCACTCTCGGAGCCGTCTGGAGTGTCACTGTCGGGATGAGCTGCGTCGAAAACCATTTTGTCTTCAAACATCGTAGTGAAAGCTTGCTCAAAGTGATGCATTTTGACGTATTCGTCTACATCCGCTTTGCGCACATTACCTCCTTCGACGACGCTGTCAGAATCTTCTTTGGCCATACTATCTTCTACGATGACGCTGTCAGAATCCTCTATTTCAGAACTGTCACGAATAGACTGCTCTTCATAAACCTCCTCTTCCGGGATTTCTTCTTCTTCAGGCTGTTCCTCTTCGGAATCATCGTGGGGACTGTCCTCTTCAACGATTTCTCCTGTGGTTTTGTCCTCGTATTCCAAGGTCTCGTCGTCTCCCCACATGTTATGGTTGAAGAGATAAAGGCTCTCCTCGGTTTCTTCCTTCAAGTCGAGTTTTCTCCTCCGATAACGAATCTCTTTCGTCGAGTAATCGTATCTGGACTTGGCATCTGGGGTTCGAGGGCGGAGATACTCTTCGGGGGGCTTTCCCCCAAAGAGTTCTAAGAGCTTAGGATTGTCAATCTGCTCGGGAGTATCTACATCCGCAGTGATATCGTCCCCATTTCGGGGAAGACCGGCGAGTCTGCGCGCATTGGTAATGCTGGTACCGATAGCTGCTCTGATGAGTGTAGGTGTCGAAGGGGATGCATTCTCGGGGGAAGTAAAGCCACTGTCGTCCTCTTCATGCCCGACAGATCTTGTTGAAGACAGAAATGTCTTGACCTATGTGGTCAAAGAGTTTCCAGTATCAGTAAAAATTTGCATTCATTCTGTTAAGGCTTGGGGTTATACATACCGATGAAGCTGCATCCACAATTGGGGAAAAGAAATCGTTCAGGCGCTCCTTGCCTTTTTTCTTTAGTTTCTTAGGGGTCGGAGTATATACTTCATAATCGCCCGGCCTGATTTGGGATGCTTCAATGTCTCTGAGGGTTTCGTGGTAATCTCCCACCTCAGTCCCAATGCCATTCCTGAGCACTTTATGGTAATCATCGATGCCACTGGAAGCATAATCCTCGCCAGCGTGGAAATCATTGATAGTATCCGTAGGGTCTCCGGGCATCTCTGTCGCAACGTCTTGTCTTGCAACGTCCACACCTCCGCCTTCTGGGGCACCTGGATAACTGAGTGGCCTCGATCTAGGACGTGCGAGATCCTCTGCAGCATATAGGAGGCATGGTGGAAGGGCAAATGATTTCGATCTGGGACGTGTGAATTGCTCCGCAACATATATGGGGCATGGTGGAAGGAGAATTGATTGTGGACGCTCCCTAGAAAGCCTTATTAACAATTCTAGACCAATGATAAAGTGCGCAGGGGATAGGTAACTTACTCTTCATCAGCAAGTCCCATCTGAACATTCCTGATCCGCTCCATTTCAGTTGCATAGTCAAGTTCAGTTTCGGATGATATTGTTCCCTCCCGGACACTCTCTTCATTAATAGTAATGACAAATTCATCTACGGGTATGCCATGAGTCTGGTCATCATGTGTATCTTCGGGTCTAGGATCTTTGTGTCTAGAGCCAACGCAAGAAAAGACGAATCCTTTGACTGCTCCGAAAATGTAACCTAGAATCCCTGGATTCTCTACTAGTTGTTGGTAAAAATTCCCTATTATGTAAGACAGTTCACTTACTGTCTGCAATTGCATAAGCAGCGAGTTGGATACCGATATCAGGTGTAGCGACCCTATGATGGGAAATTGTGGAATTGACTCTTGTCAGGGCTTGCTGAGGAATATCAAGAGTAAAGACTATTTTTGCTAAGATTAGCTTTATAAACTAAAATTCGAACAGGGCGAATTTCTCTCACCTCCAGATAAGGCATTGCTTCTCGAATGCGAGAAGTTCCCAGTGTGCCGAGGAATCTCTGGAGTTATATATTAGCTCAGAACACTTCATTTTAGTAGGAATGAGAGGCTAGGTGTTGTTATTACCTTCAGATGCCCGACCGAAGTCAGACATCGACCACGTATTTGAATAGTGGTATGGGCGTGTAGGAGAAGGGGAATAAATGTTGGTGATACCATAATGGTACACCGGCAAGGGCTGTTGAACAACTATCAAATGTCAGAAATAGGTTAGTCATTTTTCTTTAAAAAGTTGAGATGCCGAGAAAAATCAGTAAACCTACAGGCTGTTCTCGCTGTATGGAAAGCTGTCCCAGCGTCCGCCTCATTGTTGCCAGCACCGATTCTAAGATTTTCGATGTCGACAACAAATTCAGAGGCAGCGGACGCTGAGCCACGACTTACCGCAGTACCCCGAAGACTATTTCTGGCACTGCGGTCATGCCATGTTCCTTCTCCTGGATCGTCAGGATCAAAGTTGCGGAGGCTGCCACTGGTGTCAGGTGAGACTGGATAAGTCCCCGGCATGCCTCCCCCAGAAAAGCCAGCAACAGAGTCACAGGTAATCGCTTTTCCGACTTCAGATCAGAGTTGTTAGTTGACAGTATAACAGTGGGGAACGCAGATGACTTACAGGACCATGGTCGGCCGTCATTATTGTCAGAATTTCCAGACCATCTGGCCCGGCTTGATGAGGGACTCTCCATTCGCTATACGGAGCAATGATGTCAGCAACAGGATCATCAATTTCAAAGAATCCCATGATCAATGTGATGGAAACTACACCTACGTGTGAAGCTGAGAGCAAGGTATCACGGAATAGGATTTTTTTTTTTTGTCTGAAAAAAAAAGCAAATTGTTTGCTTAAACGAAAGTATTTCCCCGATGGGGGGTCAAATACTGTAACGAATGCGTTGGAGCGGTGTCAGCGTGAGGTCAATAGACCTGTAATCATTGGTGGTGAAAAAAGAGAAGAGAGGAAGAGAAGAGGGAAGAAGGAAGGGATGGAGGAGGGATGGAGGTTGGCTAAGGGTAAGTGAGCATGGGATTGCAAGGTGATGGCTAAGGGCTGATAAATGGATGGGAACGATGGCTCACAATTTAGTAGGAGATTTCTCGGGGGCTCTTGATGTCTCCAAATCAACAACTACATTGGAATTCGCTGGCTCAATCAACCACACAGAGTCACGAGAAGGCAAATATGTTTATCTAGCAATTCTTTTCGAGCATCACAATATAGGGAGCAGAGCTTGCTTGGAAAACATTGACAGCTCGAGCCTAGGTATCTATACTGTCATTTATCGTTTCATCCACTGACATTTCTACCAGAACGTAAGTGGACTTTAGATGTTTCTTGCACCACGCTAGCAAAAATAGAATGACCTCATGGGCAATACACCTTGGAGGGTTCATACGATATCACAATATCTGGGGAAGAAAAACAGGGAAGGAACGGTCGAGGTCTGTCTTATTACGTTTACCTCTCAGAAAAATATCTCCCTCCTCATTGAGCTGTTTTCTTCCGCGTTGCCCATTTACCCCTACGCATCTGCCTTACATTCCTCCCTTCCCCCACCTTGCACACAAAGTTATCAACCTCATTTGGGGAAATGGCAGCAGCATTGAATGTACTAAACACCCAGAAGTTTTCGAGCAGAGCCATGGGCAAATCCTACTGAACAGCCACAAGAGACCAATGTTGACCATAACATAAGTAGCTTTCAGATGATTTGATAAGTAGGAAGGATGTGAAAATCATGATCTAGGGTACATGTATCTCACGCTCTGGGCCTAGGTCTACAGAGATTTCACTGCCCAACGATCAGCCTACAGTCCACATACGAGTGTCACGAGCATGGCTCCACCCTCCAAGTTGGTCCAACGCAAGTTGTGTAGCACCAAGCCATTGCGATCTAACGGCATAGCCATTTGGAAGAGTTAAAACGCTGGATGAGTTCCACCTCGTAGTGTCTTGTTGTTGGTTGATGATTGATAACTCACTGATCGTTTGCAGCCCGGAGGCTATGACAATTATTGTTGTTGGTGGTAAGGCAGCTTAAGGACATTCCAAAAGCACAGATCAAACAGAGCTCAAAGAGATTTAGGCCAAAACAGGCTACTTCAAACTCCCAATCATCATCTTTGTGGGAGAGGACCATAGTATTTTACACCTTAGCGTGCATACAATCGAGTGATGTTTTATGACTTAACTCACACACGAACTTACGTCTACGAAATTCGAAAGGAATGAAGGATCCGGATAATGCAAGCCGTACTATCCGCCTCAAATAGGACTGTGTACTCTGATACTATCTAAAGATACGTGTCGAACCCACTTCAAGTCATGATCGCAATTAGTCTCGTGCCCAGGCCTGTGTTGAGCTTTTCTGCATGAGGTACGTTGCTCTCGATATGAGGGTTTGGAACGAGCTTACTTCGAATGTCTCTCAAGCCCTTTCAACCGGTATCTACACACTACACATCTAGACACCATTACCCCCTCACCAAGGCCCGAAACGGCCACAATAGAGAGAAAACCCGATATCGTGGCCTTTAAACAAACTAAACAAGTGGAATAGCAGAGCTGTTTCTATGATCATGTGAGTAAACGTTTATAACTGTGCTCTATCTTAGCTAGAGGACGAGCATTCTCCTTATATCTTTACTTTAGGACTTCAGCATATGATTCGCCAGTGACCAAGACAGCGTGTTAGACTGCGTTGTGGTCTAAACTTTCCGCCGCCCAAAATGCACTCTAAAACCAGCTCAACACCCCACTACCGAAGAAAAAAACAAGGGACAGATGATGACGTACGCCTAATGACCGATTGCAGATTGCAGAGATTGCAGATTAAAGAAATTGCAGAGGTTGCAGAGATTGCAGAGGTTGCAGAGTTCGCAGATATTGCAGAATCTGTTTCCAGAGTCATGGGTCATTGTTGCGCTAGCTGGAGGACCGCAACCCAACACCAAGACGCAGAAGCCGCAGAAGCTACATCGAGGGTTAAGCTTGGCGGGCCATTTAGAGGCGTGCAGGCGTGCAGACGTATTGGCGGACACTGTACATGTAGGGATTGGATTAAGTGACGGAGCTATGTAGAGGTAGGGGATAGGTAACTGTCAAATTTTCGCTGAGCTGGTGGTGGTCTTGGAGGTGTTTTGGGGTTTGAGGTATATCGAAAGACCTACTAGTTCCAGCCCCGCCATTGCAGCGGGCGGGGAACCCCCCCCACTTTTCAACGAGCAAGAAAGAAAGAGGGGGCATCTGCCCCACTACCCCACCACCCAGAAAATTGCACGACAAGCAAGACAAGAGTGCTCGAGTCAGTAAACCCCCTTATCATCCCCTTTCGACCCCCCCCCCCCCCCCCCCTTTTCCCCCTCCGGCTTCATGCCCGCATCACGGCTCTATACCATTTGTCACAACACTCACCCGTCCGCCCTGGGCGTTATATACTGCCTTTACATAGAGAAACAAGGTAACCTTCGGTGCCTCTTGTTGTCTGCAGGTCTGTAAAGTAATGTGCGAGTACGATCTTTGAGCCGACGTCGTAGAGAGAGTGAGCTGCCTGTAGCAATGATTGCTTATGGCAAAGGCCTACGTTCCTTAATCCTACGCGAGTTTCCAATACGCTGCCGAAAGAACCCGAGGCCGCTGATGGAGGTGTAATCCACGATGCTTCTTGGACGATGCTTCTCGGGCGATGTTCATGGTATATATATATATGCTCGTGGTTGTGTGCACGCCAAATTAACCTTGAGGCGAGATCGAAGGTGACCTTACTTTATAATTTAGTGTATGCCCTTATGGGGTTCTAGGACTGGGCTGGTTAGGAGACTTAACTATGAAGTACAATGGCGGGGATTGGCGATAAAGAAAACTTGCGATTTTTTCCCCTCTGGTACGGTTGGTTGGCTGCTATAACACGCTGGGCCTATAGGCCTAGGCAGAACAGTTTGAGTGGTCGAGTGATAACCTGTGAATATATGTCACAGCGACTTCTTTTTCGTGTAACTTGGATTTCACTTATCCGTAGCTAAAACGTTTGAGTCTGAGTACTATCTTGCTCATAACCAAAACTTCAGAGCCGATAAACCCACAGGCAAGAATGGTATGGCGACGTCAGTAGCCAGCCGTAATCGAAATCCTCGGCACCTAGGATATGATATCGGTTGCAACCAACCCACTGGGTTCGAGTTCGGATCTCTAAATATTAACCACCGGATCATGCTAATTTCCGGCTGTAGTCAAGTTGAAAATCCAGCAAAACGGACCTGACTGACCATCTGGTTGGCCACGAGGGTCTCGACGACGTTAAATTTGAGGTTTCCCGGCATCTGCAGCCAAGCCCTCGCTTAAAAGCTTGTACGGCAAGTGGCGATCAGGGGGTCAGAGGGTGCATGTACGTGACTGGGAATTTGGGGGTGGAGAAGCTTGGATTGCGGATCTATATGGGCCTGGAGAGCTGCTGGGGAGCTTTGCAGAGTTTTTCGATTATTTGTAGGGATGGTTTGGCGGTTGGGTTGTGACCTCAAGCACGGATTCGGATTCGCTTCACACAAAGGACGACGACAACCACAGCAGCCGGGGACAGCCAGGGACAGCCAGAGAGAGATATAACACAACACCACACTCAGAACACATCTCACCATCACGACATCACCACGAACCACGCACAGAACACAGAACACAGAACACTCACCTCAATTGGCATCACCCCCTCTCCACACACACACCGCGACACACCCTCCCCAACGCGTCCCAGCACAGTACCCACAATGTCCTCCCCCGTCTCCTCCAGCTCCTTCTCCGCCCTCTCCTCGCCCATGGACTCCCCCCCCGCCGCCTCCCACCCTCCGCACACCCCGAACAAACGCCATCCCTCCACTGGATTCTCGGACCACTCCCCCCTTCTCGCGCACCACCACTCGCCCTCGCACCTCACGCACCTCTCCGACATCTCGTCCGACACCTCCGGCTCCGTACCCGGCTCGCCCAGCGACGACGACTTTGACCACGCCGAGCAGGTCACCGTGTGTAGATGGGACGGCTGCGACTGCGACCTCGGCGACATGGACGCCCTCGTCAAGCACATCCACGACTCGCACATTGGCAGCCGCCGCGCAAAGTATGCCTGCGAGTGGGACGACTGTACTCGAAAGGGCATGGCGCACGCGAGCGGGTATGCGCTGAGAGCACACATGCGGAGCCACACGAAGGAGAAGCCGTTCTACTGCACCCTTCCCGGTAAGCCTCTCCCCCCTTCGGTTGCTATCTGACGGTGGCCGGGTACTAACAGAACAAGCAGAATGTGACCGCAGCTTCACGCGCTCCGACGCCCTCGCAAAGCACATGCGCACCGTCCACGAGACCGAAGCACTCCGCCCCAGCGACCCCATCCCCAAGTCCCACCCCAACCACCCTCACAACCACCGACGGGACGCCGCGCGCGCGCCGTCAACAAGCCCCAGCGCGAGCGAAGACGGGTCCGCTAGCGGCGAGAAGAAGAATCCCTGGTACCAGCCCGAGGACGGGTTCGACCACGATGAGGACACGCGGCCGCCGCGCGAGCTGATGCGCCTATTAAAACGGAAGTTGGCGTGGGCAGAGCAGAGCCGCGAGGAGCTGAAGGGAACGCTGGAAGGCTTGGAGAAGCGACGGAGGAGGGGGTGGGTAAGGAAGGAGGTGCTACTGGATAGGGTCATTGAGTGTGAGATTGGGGCGGAGGAGGCGAAGGAGTTGAGTTTGGACTTGGGGGTGCTGGGGGAGGAGTAGTGGTGGGGTCTTTTCTTTTTTCTTTTCTCGCTTTTTTTGTTAGGGCTTTTTTTTCGTTCTATATGTTGTGCCAATTGCTGTCTTCCTCTTGGCTTGAGCTTGAAATTAACGGTATAATGATCGAGGATCTTTCTTCGTTTTTTTTTTTTTTTTTTTTTTCTGTTTCTCTCTTTCTTTCTGTGAATCCGGCTGGGCATACGCATAATTGGAGGGTAGAAGGAGGGTGGCTAGGAGGGATGGAGGGGAGAGATGGAGGGGGTATAGATATATAGGATCGGGATAAATAGATCTTTGCGCTTCTTCCACCCCCTAGTCCTTAGTCCTTTTGTTTAACGCCTTTTGTAGAGCCAGGAGTGTGCCGTTAGTGTGTGGTTAGGTGCTCTTATTGGTACAAGCCTGCCTGCTTCCACCCGAAAAAAAAAAAAGAAAAAAAAATGGGATAGGCCCATACTGGTGCCGACGCTGACATTTGAAGACAGTGAAGAGTGAGGTGTCGGACAGGACAGAGAAAAGTGCCCTTAGCTAGCATAGGTCCGGGATTTGACGTCGCGGTAGAAACCCATTAAACTTCACGGTCGACTCCTAAGGAAGAAGAAACCTTGATCATTGGCCGCTGGAATTATAGGGCGCTATTATATTCGCGCTGGCCTGGCATTGTAGGATGTGTCGACAAACATGCCTCTCCTGAGTCCTGATGTCCTAACCCCATAGTGCGTGCTCGCTATGGTATGTGGTTAGTTGATGTTCGTGGGGTTGTAAAGTGGAAGTGGATGTGTGGTAAGTGGATGGGTTGGAAAGTGGGTAAAACGATCATTACCATACCCAGTTTCAACGCTGCTCCTTGATGGTTGTGTAGTGCCATTCGGAGGCCGCGGTTACAAACTGGTACTTGGATCGGGGTGCTGTCCATGGTCGGTAAATACAAAGAAAAAGACAAAGACCAAGTGGATAGCGGCAATTGAACCAGCGCTTTCTCCAAACATGACCTCGACTTGTGGGGTATATATATATATATACACGGCGGGACTTTCAGGTCTATCGTTGATTGATTCAATTGATTGATAATTCATTAATTCAGGTCTATCGTTCCTTAAACTCGCTGTATAAAGAGCGCAGAGTGGGTGATTTTCCTCTTGCTCAATATATGGCAACGGCCGCGGCGGCGGCGGCGGCCTAGTGATGGGCACGAGCCGGCACGAGCTCTCATGATCATATCTGAAAATAGACTTCTAAGTAATTACAAGTCTGAATGTGGAATTTCTAGTTTATTTAATCGATCAAACAAAGACACGGGAAAAGCGCCATTCGTCACCGAGCTGGGTTGGCGGGAACAGCAGTAATCCTTTCAGAGGTTTGTACTCATGATCACCACAGACTCGACCTCTGGTGCTAGCGGTGCTGTCAACGCCTGGTTGGACAGTGTTTCTGTCTTTGATATTTCGTTTTCTTTAACTGGCTTTTTCTGCCTTCGTGGGTTCGTGGTGACTGGCGTGCACATATTGCATGAACTGCTCGCCGCTGGTAACAATACAGCGTGGTGTACGAGTAGTGGTACGCCCCCATGGTACGGGCCATCGGCCCTCCATGACATGTAAGACAGGGGGAAGAACAAAGCAGGAGGGGGGGGAGGAGGAGGAGGAGGAGGAGGAGGAGGAGGAGGATCGGGTGTAATGGAAGAGTAACTCACACGAAGCTGGTTGGAGAGGTGGTGGTCACAATGGAGTCGTAGGGTGGGGTGTGTTTAGTGAGGAGTGGGTTTTAGGGTTTCAGTTATGGTTGTAGGCTTTATAATGTGTGCGTATGTGGGACGGAGAGTTGGAGTGGGTTTACATGCTGGGGGTTGTTGATGGGGTTTGGTGATCATAATATCGATGTGGTCAGTTGAAGTCTTAGAGTAGGATAAAGGAAATACTTCTTGAGATGTTCCTATAAATACATCGAGCTGTATAAAGTATAATCTATGTAATGCTTCCATAGGCGTAGGCTATTTGTCTTCAGAGCCCACTAATCATAAAATATATTTCCGGAGGCGTCAATTAATATGTGATCATACGATATCACTCGGCCCATATAATCTCGTGTTAGTGACTTTTACTTAGTAGGAAACCTAAACCTCACTCCCCCAGCCTCTTTTGCTGTGAAGTCACCTTCTAGCTGTGACCCATGATGTGCCTATCCTTGTGTCTCCACACTCTGCAGGTAGCTATATTTTTGTATATCACCACGCCGTCGTGGGCTTAATATGTCTCTGTTGTTGCGGGAAAGAACGAAGGGATACAGATTCTGGTAAAATTATTGCGAAAGTCAGCGCTATAAGAGTGGGTTTCTTGGTCTGTGCTCACTGCAAAATTCTTTTAAGGGTCAATCCTTTCGTTCGTTTTGACATGTAAACGCTATTGGGACCCACACTCCTCGAGCCTCTTTAGGCTCGAAGTCACAGTTTGTGACCGCTTTTTCAACATATATTTCTTCTCCTGGAATATCCACTCGATCCCTATTGTACAGTCTCGGAAATGAGGGTAAAATCGCTACCGTGGGGCTACGGTATCGAGTCAAGAATACTGGTTTAAACCAGCATCGTAAGCAGAATACCATATCGATACCGTATCAATACCGTATTCTTACAGCATCACTAGCGTATTGACAAGAATACGGTATTGAATTTCTACCCCTTTCCGGTACTGTAGTTACGTTATTGAGTACCACAACGCCGGTTCTCGGTTAATTACTGTGAAGCTCGGGCACGAAAGAAAGGGCCTACCGAGTGTGGCCAACTCCGGGAGCTGGCCATGGGCAACTACTATACTAGTACTGGAGATGGCCAAATACTCACTATGTTCATTGGAGGTGGAAGGACTACATGTAGGTGGGAGAGATTCTCGCGGTCGCGAGGTGGGCCACTACTAGTTTTACGTACAGCCGTGTTAAACAAGTCCTGGCAGTAGATGACAACGAGATAGCGGCAAATATATATATAACACAGTCCCCCTCAACAACCATGGCTCCAAAGGGCTTGAAATTAAGACTACAGAAAATTTAGGATACTATTCATTATATTCTAAAATCCTGAGAATTTGGAATGAATATTCAATGTGTAGCTTCAATAAGAAGTTTCAGCTGTAAATTGTGATTTAGGCCCACATGCACTACCCACAAAATCTCAACAACGACAAGAGCTTTCTTCAAAGGCTAAGTTTCTATCTTGAATCTATGACCCTGGATACCCTTGGGGTAATTGTGGAAATTATCTGGCTAGTTCATATGTAGTTATTCTCTTAGGAGTATTCAAATCGCAATATTCGCTAGTTACTGTATCACAAAAGCAGAAATAGAGCAATAATTCAGAGACAGAAGAAGTTTGTACCCTGGAAGTCTATAAGGCATAACTATTCTTATTTTAATCGATGGTTTACGTTGAGTGGGAAGGATTTTAATAGTTCTTAACACGACTGTACATTACATACAGGATCGATGGACTAAAGTGCATACGGTTTGGTATTCCTTGGCGCTCAACCTTGAATTCACACGGCACTCCTCATATCCAACCCCAGAATTAGAAATATCGCGATAGCAGTACTTAACCTTCATGCACTCCGTGAACCATTTTTACAGGTAAGCCACAGCTTGTGACTCCGTCCTTCCCTTTGCATGAAGGCAGCATCAGCTCCTCTTCGTAGCTAGATTTTTGCCTATCACTATTATGAAAACCTGGCATAAATGAAGGGATCGGGGATTTGCTGTAGGAGTGTAGAGGTGCTCGTCACAGGGCCCGGAAGAGCTTCTGTCTAAAATTGAGTAGAGTGCATTTGTGTCAATAATATAAACAAATATCTTTCCCACTAATCTTCCCCCAATCTTCTTCCCGCGATGGCAGTGCCATTGCCATTGGGCATAGGTCGCAATCTGTGTATGCAACATCAGCTTTCGGTACTAGCTAGAAGCCTGTTCCCCTCAAATGGAATGGGGACAAGATATGAAGCCATGACTTACGATTTGAGTTCAAAACAAAGGTATTTTACTTGCCTTCATCTACTGTCGCCTCCGGATGCGCCACAGCTGATACAAGGGTTTTTGAAAAACTCATTCTCCAGCCGAAGTTAGTGCCCAGAGTGAGAATCGGGCTACGGATAGAAACCTCCGTGGCGAAATCAATCCGGCGAAGGTTTTCTGGGGGTTGAGTTGCTTGGGGAGTAAGAGCAGAGGCGGTTCGTGCAGAAATAGCAGCTGTCATGGTAGTCTGCCAAACTGGTGGAGGAACAGAGCCTTTCCAAAGAAGCTTAAGTGATGCGACGAGCTTACGAGAACCCCCCGATACAATATTTGGCATGTTGTAGGTTGATAGAGAAACGGAAATCGAATTTATGGGTCTCTGTTGATAAGTGAAGTTCGAAGTTTTGAGAATTAGGAATGAAGAGTCTGGGTTTTATAAGGGACTTAGGTGAATCATGAACGCAGCAACTCAGGCCGACACGTACACAGCGCCATGCAGCACGGCACACTCTCAAAAACTCGACATGCGGTGGCACTCTTCAATTCGTTGTATCTTAGGCCACACACCCAGATGTATCCAAAGGGAAAAAATTCGGGACGGACCTTGTCTAGGACCCTATGGTAACGATATTGAATGATCATGTAAACTCCCAGCTTCTGTGATAATGTCATTTTCTCTGCTTCCTTCTGTTCTATACTGATATTTCAGTGCCGCTAATCACATTTCCGTGTTATTGAGTTTGGTTGTTGCCCGCATGCACCTCAGCCTATTCCCATCTCGAGCCACAATGAGGAGACTACGCAGATTGCCAGCTTTCCTCTTCAGCCAAACGGGCTCCGGGAATTACTTGATCATAATTGATCACTACATCTTAAGATCTTACGAGTACTGTAGCGACCACCCAAGTTCGTACAGCAGGTGTCAGCTCCAGTAACTTAATATAAACATGCGCCAGGAACAGAAAACAGGTCCAAAATTCGTGGATGTCAAGAAAACTCTGTATCAAGTTTGTAAATTTGCTCCCCGCTAATTACACGGCACATTTTGTATCGATTCCAGCCACTCTGGTAGAGCCAGAGTTAGTTTACGAACTCTATATTATCTCGGTCAACCCACTGTAACTTAGGGACTTGTCAGGCAGTACTCTACGAATTATTTTCTGCTGACAAGAAAAATAGCAGTACGAACTTGGGTGGTCGCTACTGTCCACTGGGTTAGAATCTTATGCCCGCATGATGGTTTTGCGCATCCAAATCCTGATTTGAACCCAAATAGCCTCTGTTTCAAGAAAACTCCATGCATCGACGATCATCGAGATGTCTCCAACGCAAAGTCTGCCCCAACCTGTCCCAAGTTTTCTACTGGCCGGTAATACCGGGAGAAGGCGGTTAGGGGACCTGGGATGCATCTTTCTGGTCGAAAAGCTTTCTGGCAAGCTTAAGTGGGGATTTCAATAGCTAAAATTTAGATTTAGAAGCATTAATTAGCTCCCAGTACGGTAAAAACGGCTGTTCCTTGAAAATGACGGTGAAGGCAAGAATTGGTATGTTTTAATGCAGCTTATGGAGTGTAAGCATGGGTGGGTAGTTTTCTACACGCGCTTTCACGAGTAGGTTTTGTGATTCTTGTACTTTTCCTATTCGGTTTTCAGTTTTTCAGCTTTTTTTCTTGAATCTCTATTCTTGCGTCTGATACGCCGGTTGTACATGTACTTAAACACGAAATGTCACTCGGAGCATACCTATTAAGTAATTATTCTATACAGGAGCTCCGCGAGCACAGACCTGTTGTAGCAACCAGTTATATGGGACCCGCGACCACCCGAGTTAGCAAGCTGCTCACCAGGTGGGACACGAAAGATTGCTTGGCAAAATCCAAGCTAGGATACATCTGGCGACAGAAGAGGACGCGCGCCAATTACAACCAGAGGAATTAATTCTTTGCCGATGCAGCATCGGAAATATGGCTCGAGAATCGATTCCCAAGGGTTTGTTGACAATCTCCAGGCACATATTTTTATTGATGTCGCTTTTTGGATCAACTAGAGAATTCTAGGTTGAGCGCTGGTTGGCTAGGATCGACAGCTGCAGGGTCTAGCAACCAAAAATTGGACGGGCAGTTGGGAGCGGGAAGCGCACTGGCATGCCGGTATAAACTTTTAAATGTGAACAGTGTAAACAATGTATTAATAACATCGAATCCTATAAATTGTGCGGGGGAAAGGGCTGTTTTGCACGCGGGGGACTTAGGGAGAGCAATTCCGGGTCTGGGAGGGCTGGAGTTTCAGTCACTAAGGAAAATACCAATAAGCTACTATAGGAGGAGATGTGTAACTCCGGGATATGGGTAGTTACTGGAGTTTGGGTAATTGCTGGAGTTTGGGTAGTTACTGGAGTTTAGGTAATTACTGGAGGTGGCCAAGTGCTGGAGGTGGGCAACTACGTGCACTGGAGGTGGGAGGTATGTACCTACATATTATGTACGTGCGTAATACTACACCTAGGTGGGGACCTCGCGGCCGCGAGGTGTCTCTGCTAGTGACCCGGTACTTTAAAGTACAATGATCATGACCCAAGTAAGGCAACCAATAAGAGTACTCTGTTTCCCTACTCAGAGAGATCCCTACTGACCGAGACTGGGACCCTCTACCACGTAAACATCGGCCGAGGAACACCTTTGAAGTCTCGCTCAGTAGGGATCTCGCTGAGTAGGGAAATAGATCAGTACTTATTGGTTGTCATTAATGGGTCGTTCATGTAAAGTACCGGGTCATGATAGAACGACACTTCAAAAACTGGGTAATTATAGACCTTTAATTACTTATACTTTCATAGGCCATTGTAAACTACCGTGTTATTTTTTTTAGAATGGCTGGGGCATTGTAGACCTCTGCTCATTGGTTATATATCAGTTTAGGTGACATGATACTGCTTTACTACTTGTATCTTCGAAAACCCCAGAGTATCCAAATCTTATCTAGAAGCCTATCGCGAGAATCAAGTAAAAACCACTTGAATAGGTAAAGTCTTCTATATATCGTCAACATAGACGAAGGGATTAAAGGATCTCACGTTTGATTTCGGTGTAGTGGTTTTTGTCAACGTTAGGCGGCGAGGTTGATTTTATATGTTGTTTCTTTTTCTTTCGGCTTTTCTCTTCCTGCTTAATGATCAATACGTCTACTTCCCTTTCCTGCGGGTGTCTGTATTTCTGAGATCTCTCGGTCCAATTTCAAACTGCACCACTAACTTTGTGCACGTTGTGGAATAGAGAATTAATTCTAACGGCCCCTCTGGTCTTCTAGTTCTCTTTTCCTATATCAGCACGACATTTAGTTGACTCTGACAGTCATCCCACCCATTGTTTATATATAGGCTCCATCTATAGACACGTGCACTTCCACCACTCACCCGGACACCCGGAAAGTTGATGGTGATTGGACGTTGACAAGGCGGTTATAAGGTAGATCATCTAGTGGTTATGGCAACTGTCCGGGTGAGTGGTGGAGTAGCCGTCTATAGCCTGTCCAACGCCGAGCTACATACGTATATACATACTTAACGCCGAGATTTCCGCTTGCAATTGGTTATTCACCTCTTAATGTGTCACCAACCTTAGTAACATTTAGAGTGATAATATCAATGTAACCCTACTTACTCTAGATTACATATATCGGAAAACTTCCAGAATGCCACACAAAAAGACTACAGATCGATCTACAGTGCCATCAACTATGTAAGTCTTATGCCGCACGACTTTTTAATTTAAGATTAAGATTACAGATATCGTGTGTGTTAATTAAAAGCTCTTCCTGGTGGTAATCAAGAGAACTACATAGAGATCTAGAGTTTTAGCTACGCAAGTTGGGAAAAATACCGTAACTTTTCGTCCTGATTCAAATATCGTATGTACCAGCGACTGCCCCAAATTGCACAACATCGTCATCATTTATTCTAGTAATGATAGTAAAGGGTGGTCACTTGAGAGCTCAGTACCTGGGGAAACCTATCCATCATACATCCTCCGAGTCTATCCCTTAGGCGGTCAGTCTAAACTAAAATCGTGACCGAACCATATATAGTAGCCATAGCTACATATGCACTGATAAACGCAGTTCCTGTTTATTCTGTCCTCGAGTTTCTTCTCACACGCTAGAAAGCTCCACCTGTTTCACTAGAGACAAGGAGAGAATGAACAGTAATTTCGTTCAACTGAGCACACCCAACCATATCTGGTTCGGTCACGATCTGGACTGACCGCCTAAGGGATAGCAGTCAATACGCTTTTTCTTCAATACGAACTAACAAAGTTCCTTGAATACAAGTACTTATATATAGGTTAATTAACATGGTTGGTACGGCAGAAAACTTCTATAGCATTATAGATTCCTGCAGCCTTTTTTGTATGGCATTCTGAGAGTTTTCCGTTCAATTGAATCGAATGGTCTAGTTGAGGTAGCGGGGGGTTGGGGGTTTGATATCCAGGATTCAACTCGCAGTCACGAGGTAGACACCCCTTAATTATAGCAAGTACATGTAGTCACTTGGTATAACGTAGAGTAGACAGGACTTCCTTAAAATATGCTTAATCACACTTATCGGGAACTTGGCAAGATTCATGCTAGGCTTATAAATAACTGCTCTCGGGGTTGTTAAAAGCAAAAGCTGCACATCAATATGAGAGTGTGTTCGCACCCTGGAACTAGAGCCACGAAGTTCAGACTTTCAGACAGAGAAGAGTGGGGCAGAGATATCAATAAAATGACCCCGACGTGATTTGAACACGCAGCCTTTCGATCTGGAGTCGAACGCGCTACCGTTGCGCCACGGAGTCTTGTACAAGCTTGAATTATAATTATAATAGCCAAAGTTAAGTTTTCACATCGGATCCTAATCGTGTTACTCAAACCCACTACAGAAGTTGTGAAGAGGAGCGTCCATGATGAGGCGATCTATCACGGTTTTGACGATAAGAACTAGTACTGTAAATCGTGAGGAGCTACGCATCCATCGTTTTTTATATCATGACTTCTGTTTTGCGTTTGAGTAACATAAAGTACCGCGTCACAACAAGACTAGTCTTACAATTGCAAGTCAGAGTGACCATAGATGAATCCACACCCCCTGGGAACTTATAATAATGAGTACCAAAAACCTTCGAAAGATTTAATAACTGGTGCAATTTTAAGTCAAGTGTCCTTCTTTAGATTCATGCACCATTCACTAAACATGCAGTATATCCCGACACTCGTACTACTCAAGTTAAAAGGTATGAACAAAAAATCTAGCAAGATGACGGATCTATTTTATAAAGCATCCTACCAGCCAACCAATAACTTTTTGTTGCTCCCACCTACAAGAAAAAAACCGACACCCAAGCCACAGAAAGCCAGCGCCGCAAACTAGAAAGGAAATGGAAAGAAAGAAAAAAATGAAATAGAACTCGAAGAAAAGAAGGGAAAAAATATACTAGAAGAACGATACCCCCAACATCATCTCTCATTTTATAGTACCTCTTTTACTCTGTCTTATTCAAACCCGCGTTTACCGCAAACATCTTAGCTGTCGCACCAGCTGTGAATCCATCCACCTGTTTTGCGTACTGTTCAATCTGTCTGCTGTTCAACAAACTCTCAAGCCTGCTGGGCTCCTGGGGGAGCTTGTAAATTCTAGTCCACTCATCCTCTGGCAACAATTCCTGTTTTGCCGCTGCACGAAGCACGTTCTCGCTCTTCCGCTTGGTTTGCCATGCAGTGATCTTTGCCTGCTCACGCGCAAGTTGGCGGGTATAGAATTGCGCATTGTTGAGCTCAGTATAGTGGGTCTCAATCGAGTCGAGAAGAAGATCGCAGTTCTTCTCAAGGAAAGGGTCGATGCTCAGGTCTAGGCTATCGTAGTTGGGGAACAACGGGGTCGGGGTGAGTGTAGAGAGGGAGAACGGGGTTGGGTTAGCCGGAAGAGGCGGTGAGTCAAGTTGGTGAAGAAGAGTTGTAAGGAGGTGGCTGTTGCGAATTGTGACAGGGAGCTCAACGAGGATGTCGCGATAGGTGAGGTTGTGCTTAGCAAGAGATTCTGAGGTGAATTTTCCTTCTTTCTGAGCAGCCATGAATGCGGGCGTTAAGCGGAATGCACGGAGGGAAAGTGTCCCCTGTGCGCTGCGAGCAGTGTCGTGAACAAGGGCGATGGTGCGCTCGTTGAGGGTTGACTGGTAGAAAAATTGGTTCTCGACGAAATTGGCATTCAACTATCGCCCAATATATCAGCTCCAATAATTCCGCAAACTTATCATCCTCTCTTGATAACTCTTTCTCTTTATTCCGATATAATGGCTGGGGACATACGAAATTTCCCAGGTTGGCGCTTTGGTACCATCCAACGCTGTTCGCATCCACATTCATCTCCCTAAGACACCTCATCATCTCTGCTTGGTAGAAAGCATTTGCCTTTGCCCTTGGGGCAGCCGCAGCAGCGTTGGCGGAGCTGTTGTTGTCATTGAAATCGCCGCTAGAAGCAGCGGGATCGGCAGATGGGAATGGGAAGGAATTTGTCACTTGGAGCTCGCCGTCCACGTCCATTCCTATTTATAGTTAGTCCCCGTCGGAGTATATTTTAGTTTTCACTAGAGAATTCACCAAGAAGCTGGCCAGTAATGACTTGGGGGTGCGCTGAGGAGGAATGTTTGGCAATCTTGAGAACGACAAGAGCGTCCACACGGACGGACTTGAAGGGAGTAGTTGCAGGGCTATGAGACGCAAAGAAATTAGACATTTCTCCCTCAGAAAGTGCAAGTAGCTGGACAAGAACTTACGCAGCCATGATTGTGGATGATGGGGGGTGTAGATCTGGGGGGAGATCAAAGGGTCGTTAAGGTGGGGTTCGTGAGATGTCGTTGGCGGTGATTTTTTTTGGGAAGTGGGATAGGCGGTTTCACTTTTCCCACACTGGCATCATGCCAAGACATTGGATTAGGGTTGGTGCCCTGACATTCGCAGCTGCGGCTCTGGGGGCATTCATCTATTGGGTAGGACAAGCTCACAAGGGGATACATGCAACTTTAGCTATTCTCTACAATCGAACCTTGTTAGATGGCAAAAGAGCTCAAGAGGTTGAGCGGTCAATCTATTGGGGATTAACCATGGTGATATCAACTCTAGAAAAGCTTGATAACTCCAGGGGAGCTTCACGGCGATCGCAGATTTATGCTTAACGGTTCCAAAGACTTCAGGGGTTCACAATTCACCACTTCAAGGTTTCAGAGCCTCTACCGAGCCCCGAGAGCAAAATCGATCCCGAGCAACAACATCGACACGGGAAGCGTCATATACCGAGTAACGGGCCGCTCGGCAGCTACCAATAAATTACGGATCAGAACCCGATATTTCAAATTTCGATACGAATTTAAAGCGCTGAAGAATCACCGCTTTGCTTCTTGCATGTGCAGACCTAGCTAGAAGAAATATGGTGTCCAAATGGCACGAGACATAGGACCCCAACCAACTTCACTGATTGGGGACATGTGTTCTAACAGGCCTATTTTTGATCTTTGAGCGATCAAGCTTGCCCAACTTACCCATAGCTCTCGATCTGTTGGGAACCAAGATTAAATCAAATAATTCATGAGAAGACACTCGATTATGTGTTTGTTGGATCCGAACATGCGAAGTGAGAGTGGTACACGGACCCTGATATCCTTTACAATACGGCTGTTCCAAAGAACGTTACGAATGTAGGTATTGTGTTTTGAGGCAGGGATCCATACTTACCACGAATTTTCGCCCACCTCCCGTGATCTGTCTAGCCGCCCCTTCTCTTCGAAAGTGCAAAGGCGGCGATGGGCGTAATATGGGACGAATGGGGTTCTGAGTGTCAGCCCAGGTGCCTCCGCCTGCACAATCCTGGGCGGCTGCACTTCCACCAGTGAGGAGAGAAAGGACAGACTTCACTAAAGTAGAGGTTAATGTCATGGAAATAGTAGATATATGATGTAGGTAATTGCCTACTAGAGTGCGATGTAGTACAAATGTATGTATTCTACTCCAGCTCTATGATTCACAGTTATCAATATCAGAATACGGTTGTTACATGAGATATAGCTACTGTAGATACAGTACATACATGAAGTACAAGGTACCTGTAGAAAATACATCGACTCCCCTAGATTTGCCCCTTTCCAAGGTACATATCCATTTGGCTTTCTGCAGCCTCAGGTGTTCTCGTGCTCCCGTACGAATCCCGGAGAAGGGCAATAAGAAGCAAAGAAAGCCAAAAAGTGATACGAACAAATAAACATTATTCCGGCTCTCACGATGGAATTGCGGGAGAACGAAGAGTTTGAGCTTGTAACTGCAGGGCAAATATCCGGTCACCACCACCCTGCCATATCAATCCCGATCGTCCCTTTCTACCCATCAGATCCCATCCATCCCACCCCTCCCTGAACCCAGAAAGGACCCCCTCGTCCCCTTCCCCTTCCATCCCCGGTTCATCGTCCTTGTGCTCCTTCTCACTTCATGGTTGTGTAAGGTACATACGTACTGTCCTAAATTGAGGTCTGCATCTCTCCTCGTCTCGACCTCCTTCCTCTGTCCTTCAACGCCTTTCTTACGCCTCCAACAGCTGCTTGCCTCAACGGCACTTATTGTGTAACAGAGCTGTAATCGATAGTTCCTTAATACTTCCGCAGGTAGGTACATACATATTTCATTGCAGCATCTGCGGCTCACTCCTCACACGTACTCTACTTACAATACCTACTCTAGAGTAGAGTACATGTAGGTTCCGTGCCCGTTCCCTCTACCCTCCCAGGATTTATTTATTTTTCGCCATCCTCACCATCCTCACCGTTCTTATTCATCCATCCCCCCAAGTCTCCCCCCCAACCCTTGAAACCCCGCTGTCATTTTGCCCCCGTCCCAGCCTGCATTTTCTTTTCTTTTCCTCGTTCCCTTTCCCTCTCGAAGTCTCTTCCTCACTTACCATCCTCCACTAAACACAACCTCACCTCGTTACATCCTCTGACTCTGTTTCCAACCATTGTACCAGAAGAGCTTCCTCTCCCATAATAACCCCCCCTATCTCAGCTATGAGCGCTCCAGGCAAAGACGGTAGCAACTACCCCACCAACACCGGTGCTGCCTATCAGCAGACATACGGCAACCAACAGCAACAGGGGTATTTCCCACAGCAAGGAGGTAATGGTCAACAACAGTACCCGTATCCCAATTCCCAGCAGCAGCAATACACCCAGCAGCAACAGTTCCAAGCTCAGCAGTACCAGCAGCCCAATTCCGCGGGTTACGACGCCAACGGCCTCGCGCAGCAGCTTCAGAATCAACACCTCAACCCCAGGCAGGGCAATGCCAGTCCAGGCTCGCCACAACGACCCCGTACTAGTGGAAGTTTACAGGCTGGTGGTGCTGTAAAAGATGATTACGTTGTTTTCCAGAGAGATGATAGTACCTTCACATCCTCGACCAGGGAAAGGGCAAAGGCTTTAAAGGTAAAGGTGGAGCTTCATTACAACCAGAGTGTCGGATATGCTGTGGAGAGAAACCAACGGTTCGTTAGAATAACCTTTGATTTTTACCCCTGGTTTCCCCGGGAACGTGAATGAGGCTGATGATGACGTGATGTGGTAGACGCGTGGAGCTTGAGCAAGAACTCGATGCGGGAAAGATGTCGGATGAGCGCAAGAAACGTCGTCGACAGCAGCTGGGTAAACAGGAGTCTCAATTTCTTCGTTTACGAAGAATGAGGCTACATGCCGATGACTTCCTGACGGTCAAGGTCATTGGAAAGGGCGCGTTCGGTGAAGTTCGCCTTGTACAGAAGAGAGACACAGGAAAGATCTACGCTATGAAAACACTTCTTAAATCTGAGATGTTTAAGAAGGACCAGTTGGCGCACGTCAAGGCTGAGCGAGATGTTCTTGCGGACTCAGACTCGCCGTGGGTCGTGAACCTCTTTTACTCATTCCAGGATGCGGTCTATCTATATCTCATCATGGAGTTCTTACCAGGAGGAGATTTGATGACAATGCTCATTAAGTACGAAATCTTCACAGAAGACGTTACGAGGTTCTACATGGCACAGTGCGTGTGCGCCATTGAAGCTGTGCACAGGCTAGGTTTCATCCATCGGTGAGCAACCCCTAAACAATTTCATCCCAATTTTGGGCGCTTATTCTTTGCAGAGATATCAAGCCGGACAACATCCTTATAGACAAAGATGGGCACATAAAACTTTCCGATTTCGGTCTTTCAACAGGTTTCCATAAGACTCACGACCAGAATTACTACCAACGTCTACTCGAGGGAGGTTCTAATACCCCCAGCGAACAGCAAAACAACACTCGAGCCAGGAACTCGGTCATGGTTGACGCAATCCACCTCACTGTCTCAAATAGAAACCAAATCAACACATGGCGTAAGTCTCGACGCCTCATGGCGTACTCAACCGTCGGAACACCCGATTACATCGCGCCGGAAATCTTCTTGCACAATGGTTACGGACAGGAATGTGATTGGTGGAGTTTGGGAACGATTATGTTTGAGTGTCTTGTGGGATGGCCACCATTCTGCGCGGAGGATGCGCATGAAACATACAGGAAGATTGTCAACTGGCAGACACAGCTGTACTTCCCCGAGGAAATCCAATTGAGTCCCGAAGCAGAGGACTTGATTAGGTGTTTGATTACAAGCGCAGACAAGAGATTGGGGCGCCATGGCGCGGATGAGATTAAAGCGCACCCATTCTTTGATGGTGTCGATTGGGACAGTTTGAGGAAAATTGAGGCGCCCTTCAAGCCGAATTTGTCGAGTATTACTGATACTTCGTATGTGCCTAACCTATCAGTATATGTATCACTGAGGCTAACTGGAACAATAGTTACTTCCCGACAGAGGAACTTGAAGGTGTTCCAACTGCACCCGCCGTTGCGGCTGTTATGGCCGAGCAACAAGCTGGAGGTCAGCCGATGGCAATCGGGGAGGAGACTGGTTTGCCATTCATTGGATATACCTACAAAAGATTGTATGAAAATATCTTTTTGCTTCATGTTTTCCCTCATTTTACTAACTATATGTCCACAGTGAACATCTTACAAAGCACGGCGGTCTATGATAGTCGTTTTCTATTTTTGAAGCACTTATATTATTTTGGTAGCTGCTAGAGGTAGCAATCAGAAGTTTTATATCTAGGAAGTTTTGTTTATGTTTTTTTCTTCTTTTTTGGAACTTCATCTGTTGGATCTTTTATACTAGGCCACAAGACTGTACCGGGAAAACGCACGGTAATATTGACATATACCGTGCACTTACGATGGCTTTCGAATGGGGCTGCGTTTTCTAAGTTCATTGGCTAGTAGATGTGCACATGTGACGGGTGATAATGAGTACGAAAGCGAAAAGAATTACATGAGGGATGATATTTTAGTTTTAATGATTTTTATTCTTTAGACCAATATCGTGCACTTGGGTATAAATGAGCTCAGTAACTCTGCTTATGTTAAAGAGTGGCATTACTGCATGCAATAAGTAGGTGTAGGTTGAGAGTGGTTGATATGTACATGAATCCCCGATCACTCGGGTTCCTTCAACAGAAACATGCAGGCAGCCGTTGCGTAACGGCGTGGACCCTAGAATGCCACAAAGTGCGCCAGACCCGAGATCTTGTCCTTTTTGCACCCCTGTAACTCCACAACAACCCTAAAACGACGAGAATTCAACTAAACGACATGGGCAGGGCCCACGGTCCGATAAAACCAAGAGAAAAGGCTAATTGTATGACTCCGTGGCGCAACGGTAGCGCGTTCGACTCCAGATCGAAAGGCTGCGTGTTCAAATCACGTCGGGGTCAGTAAACGAGGAGGAATTGGTACTTGTACCATTTCTAACTTATTTTTTGCTCCTTATGTCAGATCGCGTGTCTGTTGGTTATCACATTTACAGGGCCCTACAAGGCTCGGCGCTGGCGTTATGTAATACAATTCTGAGAACCACCAGTCTCAAGAGGTTTCGCAACGAGTTTGGGGGTTCAATCAGGCCAGAATGCCCTCAAAGCCCGTTAATTGAGACTTGGAGCCCGTTTCCTGAGTTTTAGAGAGGCCCAAAAGTTCAATTGCACTTACATTTTGGTAATCGTCTCTGCCCACCAAACTGGCCGCGATACATAGAACCCTAGGTATTTTCTGCGAAATCTCTCGATGTGCCAACCACGGTCCCAAATACCACCTGCCGATATGCGCAAATCTATCTTTTCTCTGTGCTTAACCCTAGACCCATAGGCATAGTAAGCGGCACGGCACGAGGGGGGGGGGGGGGATAGTTGGTTCTATTGGTATCCCAAGAACTTATAAACACGATGTATTACAAGCTTAAGACGTTCAACGACCATACAAGCGATAGAGTATGGTGCCGTGCAGTAGCAATTGGATAAGGGGTTTGGTCCTTCGGAGTACATTACACAACTCTAAAAGCTTAGTACCAAACATTGACGTCGTGTGACCGGCCATCCCTTCGAGATGGACGATATGCAGGGTCCGATCTGTGCACACCCCGAGTGACGGACCATGAACCGATGGTCCCACAGAAGGTCCCACAGAAGACCCGCCCCCCCCCCCCCCCCTCTTTTTCTCACCGCGCCAATTCTTTTTTGCAATACCAGACCACCTAAAGCCAAGACTCCTCCATATACGTATCCAAAAAAAAACAAAAAAAAACAAAGCCACATACACTGGCAGCGCAACAGCCAGGAAAAAGAGCGTAGCAAGACAAAAAAAAGTTCATTAGAAAGGAGCACCCGAACCAGGAGCAGCTTCCGAAAGCGCTAATGACCCCGACGTGATTTGAACACGCAGCCTTTCGATCTGGAGTCGAACGCGCTACCGTTGCGCCACGGAGTCTTGTGTAGCGGACGGGGGGTAGCTATTATATTCATTTTTGGCTAGGTCCTCTTTCTTGGACTGGGGGCCAGTTGGCTGGGCGCGAGTGATGGGTTGTGAGCTGCCAAGAATGTTGCTCGGATTGACCTTGCCTGCCCTAGGCAAAGCTCAATTCATAATCTCTTGCTCTCCCCGTATTGGTAGATACTGAACTGGTTGTATTTTCTCGCCCACCAGACACAGTCCATAACCCGAATGGATGCCGTTACACCTTACTGTGTGGGCTGACGTTTACCTCGTCCTTCTTCCTATATCACCACCCTGGTCTTCGTCTCCTATCAACAATTCTCATGTTCGAGTGGGGAACAAAAAAACTATAAGCCAATGGGAAGACCAGTTACTGGCGGGGAGTGAACAAACCGTTCAATAGGCCTGGAAGCGGGTTTATGCCCTTACCTCTGAGACTTAAACTCCTGAACGCCGGATACTTAGTCCATGCTGGATTCTGGATGCCAAGCTCTAGATGCCGAATCTCAGGTGGTACATATCCAGAAGCCGCAGCACGCTCAAGCCCAAGAATTAAAACTATTGAGTCTGGCGGCGCCGTCTAGGTGGCACTCTTCCTACTGCTATTTGTTCTAGCTTTTCCGACGACCGTATGGTCGAGATAAACAAGTAGTCATGACCTCTCACTCGCCCCACCCCTCCACGACCACTGTCCGCCGTGAACTATTTTAACCTGTCCATCTTCTCCGTACACGTGCTACCAATCCAATACCAACTACCCACACGGCCCATCACCACTACAACCATATCCACGAGTCCACTATCACGGTCCCACCGTACGACACTCCACCCACCACCCACCACGTTCCAAACCCAAACCCCAGATCCCAACCCCAGATCCCAGGTTCCCAGGTACCTGAGACCCCCCGCCCCGGTGTCTCACCCTGTTTCACGGAGCCGAGGGCCGGTACCGGCCGTTTACCCCGTGGGAAGAAAGGGGGAAAGTGGGGGATACGAGGCTCGGAAAGTCTAGACCGGGTGGTTGGGACCGAGTGATGGTGTGTGTCTGTCTGGTCAAAAGTCTCATACTGTCAAAGGTTCAAGTGTAGAACATTCCGCGCGCACAGGTGCATCGATAGAATAACGTGGTAAAGCGCCGAGCATCGCATCACAAAAGGTCATAAAAGTCACATCTCACAGAGAAAGCAAGCAAAAAAAAAGTTTCAGTGCAAATTTTTTATATTTGTTACACTATGCGGCCCCACTTCACTAAAGAAGCGGGAGCGGGGAAAAAAAAAAAGAGCGAAGAAATTGTCCGTGATCTAAGACTTTGCAGCACCAGCCTTGAAGAGCACGATGTCGCCGTCCTCCATGACGTACTCCTTGCCCTTTGTCTGGAGCTTTCCAGCGGCCTTTACGGCCGCCTCGTCGCCGAGCTCCTTCAGGTCGTCGTACTTGAAGATGACCGCCTGGATGAACGTCTTCTCGAAGTCTATTTTCACCGTTAGTATATACACTTTTCTCGTAGCATATGTTCCTTATAGGCAAAAACTCACCAGTGTGAATGACACCCGCCGCCTGCGGCGCTTTCGTTCCCTTCCTGATACTCCACTGCCTGACCTCGTCGGGACCCGTCGTGAAGAAGGACGCCAGTCTCAGGGCGGCCCTCATGGTGACGACGATCTTGCCGATGGCGGACTTGACGCCCAGGCGCTTGCACTCCTCGGCGGCCTCGTCGTCGGTCATGCGGGTGAGGCGCTCCTCGAATGAGACGGAGAGGGGGATGATGACGTCGCCGGGGCAGTGCTCGTCGATCCAGGCCTTGATCTTGGGGAGGTTCTTGTTCTTTTGGCGGATGTAGTCCTTCTCCGAGAGGTTGATGAGGAAGATGACGGGCTTGGCGGTGAGGAGTTGGAGTTGGTTGATTATTTCGACCTGGGGGTGGGGGTGTTAGTGGGGGGTTTTCTTTCGGTTTTTTTGTGGGAGAAAAGTGGGGATGTGGGGGGAAGTGTCAGACACAAAATGGTATCTCATGAGGGCTTCTGCGTTTATGTGAAGCCTTTCAACGAGCTGGGTTTGTGTTCGGGTATAATACCCTTTATCATCATTGTAGTTGGGGCAACATGGCATAAAAAACCATTGGGAAAGTGCAATTGCACAAAAAAAAAAAAAAAAAAAAAAGGACTAAAGAATTCTCACCTCCTTGTTCCCCCAGCTCTTCTTCCTCACGTCCTTCTTCTCATCCACCAACCAGCTGAGCACGCTCTCCACGATGGCCTGCTCCTCCTTGAGCTTCTTCATCTCGAGACTCTGCCCACCGCGGCCCGTCTGCTTCTTCAGGGCCTCCAAGTTCTTCTCCACGAACTCAATGTCCTTGATCCTCAGCTCATCGTTGATGATCTGAAGATCACGCACCGGGTCGACATCACCCTCGACGTGGATGATCTCGGCGTCGTCGAAGCAGCGCACCACCTGGAAGATGGCATCGACGGCACGGATGTGGGACAAGAACGCGTTTCCGAGACCGGCACCGGTCGAGGCACCACGGGTCAGACCGGCAATGTCATAGACCGTAAGGTTGGCGGGCACTTGTGAGCGGGGCTTGGGTGAGCTCAGCGGGGTTCAATTGTGCGTGATGCGGAGGAGAAAAGGGAGGGGAGGAATGTACCTTGTAGTGGTCGCAGAGCCAGTCGTAGCGTTCATCGGGAACAATGACGCGTGCCTCTTCGGGGTCGATGGTCGCGAAGGGGAAGTTCTAAAGAGGGGGGGAAAGTGGGTGTTAAAGAAAGGTCATCTTTCAAGATGGTGGAAGATCTGCTTGGGACGTACAGCCGGGTTGCCGAGAGAGCATTTTGTGATGGCCTGGAAAAGAGTTGACTTTCCGACGTTGGCGAGACCGACCTGTTTTGATGGTAAAGGAGCAGAGAGGGTTGGGTCAGCCGCGTGTCAATTTATATGTGACGATGAAGACGGTGGGGGGGGGGGCTAATAAACCAGTCCCACCCGGCCCACAAAGAAAAAAAAAAAGGGCGGGATGTGGAAGGAGGCGAAAAATTGCATCACCCAGACAACCAGAAAACGAAAAATAAAATAATATTTAAAATGAAAAAATAAAAATAGTCCACAACTCGAGATAGACTTACAATTCCACTCTTCAAGTTGTTCCCGGGCCTCCCGAGCATAATCTTCTCCTCCTTAACGGCCTTCTTTGGCGGCATTTTGCGTTTCGCGTACGAGCGTGTGAAGACGAGTAGAAACTTCTGGTTCGACTGCTGCCCAAAGACGGACTGTGCAAATTGCGGGGCAGAGGAGGTGGTAGTAGTGGGGTTGAAGAGATGTTTTGTGCAGCGCCTGGGAAGGAGCAGCAGCGACGTTGTTGCGGATGAGGGGTAACGTGAGAAAGATGGACCTTCTCACTTTTCAACTCTGGGGGAGGAGGGATTGGTTGCTGGTTATTTCTACCGTATCACACACACAGAAAGCAGCAACAAAAAAAACCAGGTGGGATGCGAGGAGGCTGCTCTTTTCATTTTTCCTAACCCCGCGTTGTGAGGCGTTGGGGATGTGGCGCTCACACGACGATCCGCAACGCAACGCAACGCACCGCCACAGCCACACCATCCCATCCGTGCGGTTGGTTCGGTTCGGTTGGTGTGGGATGGCATTCCCCAGACTTGGCCTGTTCTTGTCTCAGAGGCAAGCTTCACGGGGTGTGAGAGAGCTGTGTGGGAGGTGTGAGAGATGTGGGATGCATGGGAGGAGGAGGAGCGAGGGACTGAGGCTCTGTGCTGCTCCGAGAAGGAGAGAAAAGAGATAGAACGGGTTAGGGGGCCTATTGTCCGCGTGTTCGGTCTGGTTGGAGACTTCCTGGCTTCCACTTCCTCCTGACTGGCTTGACTGATTCGACTGACTGACCGAGTTCGTCGTGCGGTGTCCGTGCTGTTGGGCGAAATCTTATTTTTGGTTTTTCTGTGGGCGTGGGCGGCGGTTCCTGCAGCAGCGGTTGATTTGTGCTGTCTGCCTCTTTTCTTTCTTTTCGTCAGCTCCCGCTGCTCCATAGACCGATCATCAATCATCCTCAGCTGAGAGAAGAATCACCTGTCCCTACCATTGCAGCTGTCTCTACAACTATCCCATCATCGCCTTTATCCAGAGTAGATAGTTATCCCGTATAACAATTGACTCGAGTACATCTACCTGTCTGTCTGCTTCTAGCTTTCTTCTTTCTCCGTTTCAGTGGATTCCTCGATCTGCATAACCACCAGCTTACAACAACCATCACCACCATTGCGTCAACCCGCAGTATCACAAACCACCAGATACGACACCTACAACCAACGCCAATTAATAAAGGCCACCAACAGCCCCATCCCATCTCAATCTCCAATCCCCCCAACCAACCACTCACCACCACCACCACCACCACCACCACCACACAGCAGCACGCCATGCACACGCCTCCATCCACGATGCCGCCCTCCCGCGCCTCCCAATCCACAACCCGCTCAACGCTCACAAAGACCAAGATCCTCATCAACGCCTACGACCTCCTCCCGCCCGGCCGCCTCTCCACCATCGTCTGGACCCTCGGCGTTGGCCTCCTCCACTCCGGCGTCGTCATCAACGACCGCGAATACGCCTTCGGCGGCCACGACCGCCGCGGCCTGACCGGCGTCTACTGGACAAAGCCGCGCACCGTCCCGCCCGGTGGCACCTTCCGCACAGAGATCCTCCACGGGTTTACGTATGCGAACGAGGACGAGATCGCCGAGATCATCCGCGAGGTTCGTTTGCAAGCTCTGTACACGGGGGAGAGAGGGAGAAAGGGTGGACTGGGTGTGCTAACATGATGTGCGTGTGTGTGAATAGGCGTCAAACGAGTTCCTGGGACCGAGCTACAACCTCCTCACGCGCAACTGCAACCACTTCACGTCGCACCTGTGCATGGCGCTGACCGGCCAGCCCGCCCCCGCATACCTGAACCGCGCGGCGTCGATTGGTGTTGCGCTGCCGTGCGTGGTGCCGGCGGGCTGGGTGGAGCCGCCGGAGTGCGATCTCGACGACGAGGACGAGCAGGCGCGGCTCACGAGCAACGCCGGGGGCAACAGGAGGCATAGCATTGGCGATGAGAACGCCTGGGGTGACGAGAGCAGCGACGAGGAGGGCGAGGAGGAGAGGCGCAAAGGTGTTGTGAGGGATACAGGCGGGCGGCAGTTGCCTGCGGCGGAGAGGGCGAGGGTGGATAGGACTGTGCGTTAGGGTGTGGGCTTCTGTAGTGTTTTGATAGTAGGCTTTTCTTCGCTTTTTTGTGTTGTTCTTCTTTTTCTTGTTTTCTTAATTGGGTTCGTGGGATCTTCTTTGGGCTTTTGTTTGTTTAGGTTTCTTTCCTTTCCTCTCCTTCTCTCTTTATTACCTCCTACTATTCTAGCCAGCCAGCCAGCCAGCCAGCCAGCTCCTCTTCGTCCACCCACTCACCCACCCACCCACCCAGCTGTCTGGCAGCTAGCTAGCTAGCTAGCCCCTCTCATAACTCTATTTTCCTTCCTTTTTAGCAGGCGCACATGTAGACAGGGAATTCCACTTTATTCACACTTTCTCTCTCCCACTTCCCCCCCTTCCACTTTCTCTCTCCCACTATCCACAATCCCCAGTTCCCAGTTCCCAGTACCCAGCGCCCAGTACCTCTCCCCATGGGCCCGCGGGTCCGTCCGTGCAAAAAAAAAAAAGGATCATCAGATCAACCTCCTATCCCATGCATATGTACCTCCGCATCCCTATAGCGGGCGCGCAGCTAAGATATAAGCATCCCAAGAAAACGTCCGAGTGTCCCCGTGCCTGCGTTAGCAGCGCACGGGCCATGCGCTAGTATGGGTGGCTGGGTCTTGGGAGTATGTACGGGGGAGTGGGAGAGAAGGGAAGGGAAGGGAAGGGAAGGAAGGTATGTAGGGAGTGGGTTAGGGGTTTAGTTTTGGTGTTACTCTGGTGGTGGTAGTGAGGGTAAGGGGTGCGGTGCGGTGCGGTGCGGTGGGTTAGGGTTGAGGTTGGGAGATGTAGATCTTTTTTTTTTAAGTCATTCATTGCAAGATGTAGATCGGTGATGGCCTGGTTGTGGTCTTTTTAGAGGTGGCTGTAATGGTTGGTGTAGATAGAGGAAATAAGACAATTTCTAGTTGCGTGACTGGTAGATGGTTGTTTATATGTGGACATGGTCCCTTCACCGGTCAATATGGTCCTCACCGGGAGCTATCCCCATATCAAGAGCTTGTGTACATAAGTCAACGCTTGCACGGGATATCCACAAGCACGACCGATATATTCAGATGAGAGTGTACAATGCTACTCGAGTCAAAGTCGTCACAGACGAAAGCTGAGGGCAATTCGATGGATAGAATGGACCGAGTGATATATCATGACTAAAGAATTCATGGTTACTATCCCAGCGACTAACACGCCCCATTCAAGAACGCAATGCGGCAGCGGAGCGTTGACGATTGGGGGAGCCTTTTGGCTCTCAAATAGCTCAGTGACTGAATCTCGCTGGTGGATGAACGTAAATTTATTATATGATAGCCTGTAAGAGAAGACTTTTCAAGTTCTCGTCACTGACCGGTACGTGCCCTGTATCTTGAGCTAAATATCTTCCAAGGGGGATAATCTCCAAACGACCCTTAAAACCGATGGGAATAGCCCCCCAATCCTCGGTGCTAGTTAGCCCGAGAGCTGTTCTGAGTATTGCTGTGTAGTAGATAGTGTGGTCCATAGCTCGAGCTTTCGGATCATTGAGAGCGAACCTCATCATTCAGCGAGCTCGAGCCGGCTTGAGCCTTTTCCCTCAAGGCTCGAGCTTACGCTCGAGCTCAAACTATGTACTTTTCGCTGAACCCAGGGGGCTGCAATGAGGAGAAGATATCTGGGCTACCAAAGTCCTTTTGCCCTTTGAAACGCCCATTTCAACGATCTACCTTATCGGTCTAGCTGCTTTCCCAATGGCAATGCCCATACGTGTCACTTGGCGGAAGGGAATCGTGTATTTCTGATCATTGACTACTGGCTCGAGCTATTTTACCAGCCTCCATCAAAAGCTCAAACTCTATGAGCCTTATTCCTTAAAGGGCCGGGCCGTCTCGAGCTGGCTCATGGACCACACTAGTAGCAGAGGTTCATGGCCCCATAGCTGTAAAAGACTATCCATAAGCAAGGCTTAAAATTCCTCTCCGGTATAGCAGTGCGTTCGTAAATGTGGCACTGAATTCGTACCCTATTCGTGGATAGGATGGCCCTATCCACAACCGTTCTTTGGGATAATACGACTAGTCCAGCGCCCTGGCAGCTGTGGGGTTAGGTTTATCTGATCTAGTTAGCCCCCACTATACACATTCTAGAGTGCTCTGGGATCCGGTTTACTTTGCTTTCAGGTTCTCCTCCCCTATGGGTGTTGTAGCACACCTTTGATAGAGAATCTGTGATTGGATTTAGCTAGATCGTCATTGAGGGGAACCCTCGGTGAAATTTTCAGATAGAAATAGCTCAAGATACGTGGAGTTATTGCACCCATGTTTTGGACATCGCACATGCTCGTCTTAGGCTCCAAGACGAACGAAGTACTCGTCGAAATCTAGTATCTTTGGCTTATTTTCAGGCCTTGAAGTCGATGCGTTGGTGTCCTACACCTGGGGGTTCCATGATGGCTGTATATTGAATCATTCAGTCAGTGCGCATGTCGTCATGCTTGATAATAAGGCATGATGACTATCTATGCGGTGTTTTATACCGCAACCTTGAATAGTTTATGACAGGGCGGGAGTGGCCGGACAACCAGAAACTATTTCAAAGATTAGACTCTGTTATCATTGTCCAATATAATACCGCGGAGAGCAATTGCCTTGTAATATTATAGTGGGTCCATGGGTAACCCATGAATATTTCGAATGACGGAGCCGCAAAACATTATGTAGTCATTTGGGCTTCGAGTAATCAGGCAGAAGCACTGCCATTTAGTGCAAAGTATAATTGCGTGGCTGCCTGATGCGAGGTGTTTTTGTTCCGGGCGGCTGAATATAGTTTAGAAGAATCATCTGAGCTAGTGGTAGGAGTACTGTTTCAAATATTGGTGGTACTGGGACGCTGAGATTGAGGCATTGGTGACGGAAATTCCATTAAGCAGCAATTGGACTTTGCTACAATAATCAGGATAGACATCCAATTCCGAAGGTATACGTACTACCAGTGCGGAAAGTTCTCTTTGAAACGGTCAGTCAAATTTGCAAAGATACATGTAGTCAACTATTTGAATCAGATGAGTGGTACTGGTTTATCGATCTTTCCGAGCTTAGTCATCATTAGCCCAGATTAGTTAGCATGTAGCTATGCGGCTCTTGCTGCATACTGTACTATACCCTGGTCCAGTATTTTTTCCTCCCCTCGATTAGTTAGGTCGCCGAATTCGCAAATACCTATTCAGCTCCCAATACCCCTCACATCAATGGCACGTACTCCCACCACCTCTACCGCCACCAGCAGCAGCATGAGCGAAACCCAAGCCGCCGCTTCCACCGCCCTCGCAGCACTTCTCGCCCGTCGCCGCGGCGTCAAGGTCAAGCCCTCAGCAGGCATCCGCAAGGTGCGAAAGCCCAAGGCGAAGAAAGAAGTCCCCGAGGTGGAGAAGAGCAAGATCGTGGCGAAGAACGTAACGGTGTTGAAAGGCGCTGGGAAGGTCAGCGAGAAGGAGAGGGAGGTCAGGATGAGGGTAGGTTTTTACCTTTGGGAGTCGGCTGATGCTGTGGAGTGGTTGCTAACGGTTGCTGTGGGGTAGATATTGGGGATGAGGGAGGAGAAGAGTGGGAAGAAGAAGGGGGGAAAGAAGGTCGTTGTAGAGGACAGCGATAGTGATTAGGTTTTTAATGGGATGGGTGTAGTTAGGTGTACGATAGTTTTTTTCTTTCTTTTCTGTGGGTTTAAAAGTTTCAATCGATCATAGTTATGAAGTCAATTGGAGTAAATGGATTGGAATTCAATTGATGTTTTTATTATTTATCTCGATAGATGTATCTATCTACATTTTTAAACTCCCAGAAGTCTAATGTATTGAATCAGTATGTAGCATCGCTGGTAAGGAAGACATCATCACAGGGCGAGCCCTAGAGTGCTCCAGCTGCGGAGCCGTGTGCTTGTTCTCGGGCAACTAGTAGAGGAGACCTCCGGTAGATAGTTAATTAAAACCATGCCGAAGGTGCCTACAATAAAAATTGCTCTTAAAATGAGTGAGGAGAAAAGAAAAAGAGGACGAAGTCCTGCCACATTTCGCGATAAATAGTCATTTTAAATGCCAAGAAGGCCTTAAGCAGTCAAAAAGCCGCACTCTACCTATTCTGGCATGGAATGCTTGGAAGGGTGTGGCGGCTTGGAAGAATGAGCGACTATTTAAGTCGACCCCACCCCCCACCCCTCTTGTTCCCCTCAGTAGAATTTTTTAACTCTGATATTGCTAGAGCCCTTCGTCGCCAGTTTTTCCAGGACGTTTAATGAGGGTGTGGACAGCAGAGGAAGAATGTTAGTCTCTTTGGAACCTCCCCTTCGCCTTTGGAGTCGTTCACCGTGCGCCTTTTTGTTAAGGTGGTCTGCGGGGAATGATTGGGGGGTTTAGAGGACATGTCTTTTTTGAAACCCTTGTATATATTTAACGAGAATGAAATCTTGCTGCATAGCATTTATAACAAACCGATCAACCAAGATCCTCATCGCCTGTGCCTTTATCTTTGGTAAAGTGCCTTAGCGAATATATATCGTAGGTCTGCCAATCTGCGTAATTTGACTCACGAGTATTTGATCCAGATCATCTAAAGGGATGTAACCGGGAATTTTGTTTCTAGATTTATGTAGGGTCTATCATATTGTGTGGTACACATCTGTACTCGCGATCGCGGCAGGTAACAAGTACCCGAAAATGTACGTCCTAATCTGCACTATTGTTTCCTATGAGTTTGGGAACACGTCACTTGAAAGGTATCTATGAATCGACTAGTGGAAATAGAAAGCTTTGTGACTACACGTACGTACGTATACGTATCAAAACCTCCAATGGCCTCTCTCAAATGAAACATATGGTCAGGCGTTCTATTATCCCTCCAAATTATGAAGCACAGAGGCGCAAAGATATTGATTTACGCGGCGAGAATATCTTTATGAAAATCGCTGGATGCTGCGCATGCGCATTCGCACAAGCTTATACCTACTCTACATGCTGTTCTCTAGCTCTGGACTTACACGGCCGCACTTAATCTTGGGCCTAAGATTCTATCCTGAAGACAAACATGTTAATATTCGGGCGTGTCAATTTGAGTGGCTATATCAAGCACTAAAGAATGATATCGGCAATTTTGGCCAGTAAGGGTTCGGTTGACACGCGACGTAGCTACGCTACTGCTATGTGGGTCAACCCTCTCATGGATTCATGGCAAACAGGGTGTTTTTCTACTAATTAGAGATCACGACATATTTGATCACAGTGCGGGTAGGTACTCAGTCATTTCACCAGAACACTCCTCGATCTAGCCTATCGAGTACTGAATCACCTACATATATGCAGGACATTGCAAGTTGCAGGAAAAAGCCTCTATTATACGACCCCTCCAAGGATTTATATTGGATAACAATGTATACATGCGGCACGAATAAGTTTTCGTCATCACTTCTATTCTGCAACCACACAAATTTAGCGGAAACTTATCTTTACCATGAGTACATGTATATATGAAGATGTTTTCTCTGAGTTGATATTTCGATTTTCTTTAACCCCCAATCATTATCGATCTGACACAAATCCTATTTATAACGCAAGTCCTCAAGAACATGAACAATGGCAGAACTAGCCCTCGCAGCGAGCATTGTTACCGTTATCCAATTATCCGGCAAAGTTATAATTCTAAGCTCTGAATATATTGGAAAGGTAAAGCGCTCTAGGAAAGAGATCACAGCGCTAACCGACGAACTCACTTCACTCCACGAAGTTCTAAAAATACTCCGCGACCACTTCCGCGAACATTCAGACTCGTTGGCCACTGCTGTACAAACACTTGGCGGCGAGAATGGTCCTGTTCAGGGATGTAACCAGGATTTAAATGCTTTGATGGAGACATTGGAGCTGAAGACAGGTTTTAGGGGACTTATCGAGAGATTTAAATGGCCGTTTAGGGAGGGCGAGATAGATGTGATTAGGAGGAGACTTGAGAGACATAAGAGCTTGTTTTTGCTAGCTTTAGCGGTGGATCGGATGTGGGTGTGGATTTGGACTTTTATATTACCTTGACGTTGACAGACTAAGTATATTATAAGGTCAGCGTCGGCGAGAAGAGGAGAAACACCTAGGCCTACAGAAAACACTTCTGATTTTGACAGCGGACCCGGGATAAACATGCATACAAGACAGAGATCTACGAACACAGGGAGGTAGGACATACAAAGGTCAGAAATCTTTCATACAGCCATGGGTTTGAGATTCATTGATCTAGAAGTTAATAGTAGCGAACTAAGGAAATATTCTGGGCTGAGAAACTTCTCATTATCCTGAATACGAATATATCGAGACTCCAATTAGAATGCTTAGGGGTACTGGTGGATGGCTGCTGAAGGGACCTGGGTTGAAAGTGTGGTTAGAATGCATATGGTATGTAGGGTGATCAAATTGTTTGGCAATTGGGAATTTATTATTTCATCTCTAAGGCACGTAGACCAAGTATAATTACTCCAAAGCTAAACGCCAAATTTCTCGAGCTGATAGCAGAAGTTATCACAGTCTCTCCGTGATTTATTTTTCGGAAAATGGTAATTATGAAAAAGTATATACGGCCTTCAAGTGAGATTGTCTACATATATAATTCGACTTCAGCGGAAGAGAGCAGCAAGGATTTACAGATCTTATCGCCAGAATAACTGAAATAGGTAATATGACCGAGACGAACTGGACTTACCAGAGGATTCCGCGATGACCGATATACGTGCTGACATTGTTGTGAGATATTATTGATGAATAGACTTAGACGATACATGATATGAGGCCTCGAGGCCTGATGGCACATTTACTGATCGAAGCGGTGTCGACGTTGTAACTATTTCAAAGAGAGGTCCTACGTTCCACAGATAATGATCATGATGGAAACATAGCATTGACTAGTAGGATCTATTCTGTTTGTCATCTTGCTCAAGATTGCGGAAAGAATTCCGTTCCGATCCGCTACACCATGCAATGCGGACCGGTCGCCGAAATTAAAAAAAAAAAAAAAAAAAACCGGTCACCGAAAGAGTATGAATTCACGGCCAATTAAGGAAGGCCCGAATCACACATGCACAGTGAGAAACACCACAAAAATCTAGCACCACAGAGAATTCTCTACCGACATGAAAATATAACAATCAGTAAATGCACCAAGCGCTATATAGAAAAATGATCACCTGATACATTTCGAAAACCCTCGATGGGAGGGGTATCAAATGACTTTTATAAATCTTTGTGTGTGGGAGATGTGTAAATTGATGCATTTCTCCCGGTAGTAGTGAGTGACGTAGAGGAGTACGAATTTATCGAAATTCTACTCATACGTCGTTCAAGCTGAGAGAGAAGAACTGTTTTGGTGGTAACAGGTATACGTTTCGGGAGTTGAGATGTATATATTGATAAGGAAAGGTGCTGATTCTTACATCTTGCAGTGCACTTTGAGAACCCAGCTGTGGTTCTGGTAATCTATAGGTTATCCCGATAGTCGGCGACAATATAGAGATTACAACATACACTTATTATATTCCCTATGGCAGTATTTAACATATACAACGACTTGAAGCTACAACTCGAAAATCAGACTAGAGAGGCTGGTCTAGATTTGCTGGCCTTCATGGATTTAATGGGTTTCATCGTTCTGGAATATCCGCCATATACCAGCAATTAAACTCTCATTACTCTAATTGGTCAATCATGGGGTGTCCTGCGGCTCTTATAATTAATAGAATTACTCGAGATGGGCAATTTGAAGGCGGGTTGTTCCCTTTACTCCTAAGGTCATGCGTTTAGATTGGGAACCTACTAAGCTATAAGCATGTCTGTATGCGCCAGTACCAGTATTGGCCCTGGTAGTGAGTGACGGTTCTTTTTTGGGGTCCTTACTAACTCATCCAGTCACCATATATTACTGTTATAATATCGTGACATTCCGGGAATCTCTTTTGTTTGGAGACATCAATGTGGTAAATTTGGAGAACGGTGGCACATGGTGGTTATCTGGTGATTTATGTGTCAAACGATATATTGTTTTGTGCCGGATCTTTTGCGTTGTCGAACATTACGTGGTAGCTTTCGTACGCACATGCAAAAGACCGCCGGTCTGAACAGAAAGGGATATGTGGAGTACCGTACCATCGGGAATTGGAAGTGACAAGTGCTGCCATGGGTGTACGAGTATGTACGAATACGAGCATATATGTCTCATTAAAATCCCCACGAGCAGAAAAAAGGAAAAAGAAAGCGCTCTTTTAATTTTAGGCCGTCATAACCATTCAGGTAATTAGCGAGTGATTGTTCGTGATTCACGTGACACTAGGTCGATCTTACGTAGTCCCTTAAACAGTGAATTATGAAAAATTACTGTTCCCACGGCATTGGTGCAGCTGAGAGTGCGGGTTTTCAACATAGATCCCACTATATTTCTCAAAATTAATAGATGTATCATAAAATTTCGACTTCCTTCTATTGTTGGCCGGGGCAGCATTGGCAGAGGCATACATACATGTACGTACATACCACCTGATCCGAGTTTCCGAAATACTTCTGGAATGAGTAAATAGTACAGCCCAGCAGCTGTTAACTTCACGGCCAATTAAGGCGAATCTCGAGGCCTTAGGCATCAAATGAATGAGTAATAAGTGGCCGGGGCCGCCCATAAATTCAGATTCTTGAAATCCCTGGTGGTCTAATAATATAGAAGAATCAGCCCATTTCCCCGACTACGCAGATGTTGTTTGATGACTTTCGAACCATAGATATTACTGGTGATATCTTTAATCATTGACATTTATAGAGTCTACGCGGGTATTGCAAAATTACGATTATACCAATGACCCTCAATTCAAAGAAAAAGAATATTACGATTTCTAGAATATCCCCTATGGACGCATATCTGACGTGCATGATCATGATACTGAGCATACCACCTATAAAATTGCTGACTAAGCCTTACCGCGCGCCGGTCATGAAAGTCATATATATAAGGCCCGTATCAATACATCGAAAATACTACAAGTGAGCTACAGTTGGAGGTTATAAAACTCGAGATATGTAGTAATCGAAGATCATCGAGGCACATCATTAATTTATACCGCTTGCGCTGTATGTAGTACACCAAAATTTAAACCAGCACATAGTAGACTTGCACATTAACGTCCAAAGACTGCCTCTGGTTGACTTATATGCCCCTACTGTCACGGTACCCTGACATAAGTTCTGACAAATAAGATGGGGTCCCGGGAAACCGCTGCCGAGACATGCAGTGAAACGTATCACCGAATACTCTACTAACGTTCAATTAAGTCATCATGAGGGAGGATGCACACCTGGGATCAGCGGCAATGTACATATATAAATACGGTCTCTAAATGTATGTGCTCTCCCGCAAAAACTCGAAAACTTAGCTAGCTCCTGTCAGATCAAATTACTTCGATAAAATACTTTGATTCCATTTAACCAATCACTAGAGAGAGATAGCCATTTTTTTTTTCTTTCGAGTTTTGGCGGTGCTCGTATTTTCTGACGTTTGTGCTATAATTGCATATATATACATGTATGTATACCATACAGCGCGCAAAGGTCGATGATTTGGTATGGTATGCAAACGCGGCCCAGGCCAGTTTACAAACGTCAGAAAAATCGTATATGGGTATCGCAAAATCTGAGTAGGCTAGTTGCTGCAGCAATTGCAAGGATATTCTACACTAAGGATTGCATATGGACGTCCAAAGACTGCCTGTGGTTGGCTTATTATACCCCCACTATCTCGCAACGAATTTTCTCAGATAGGTACTGCATGCGGTACAGGCGTTTACGAATCCATAAGATAACGTCTGTTGACAAACAGAGCTAGAGGTGGAAGCTAGGTATGTATATATGACCAAGATGCAAAATCGTCGGTTATTATTGGTTTTTATTGACTCAAGTACCCCTGTTCGTCAACAGGGAGTATTTATCAACTGACTCTGAACGGCCGTATCCCTTGGCCTGTCAATATTGCTGCCATCCTATCCCTTATATAAGCTGCTGGTAAACTGCTAGAAAGAAAAAAAAAGGTCTAGTGTGGCTTTACTAACAGATCTTGTTATCCCTCCTGTACAGATATCCCATATGCTACAAATTTCATTCCTCTAGTATATCATAGGGGGATAATAGGAAGTCAGTTGATACCCCATATTGGATCCGGATAGACGGATCAAACTCTTGGTCCGTGCACCTACTTAAGCTTACGTATGAACTCTACTAGTCATGTAACTTTTTTTTGCTTTTGCGGCCAGATGATATATAATGGCCACAGAATTATAGATTCTAGAGCCAATCATGAACTACATGTACGTCCTGATGTACGTTGGGTGCAGGGGTAAGTGGGGGGGATCGACACCCTTCCACGATCGAAGGGTGTCTTGAACTGTCTTCTCACTTACCCCGGCTACACCTAACGTACCGGGGGCTGAGGGTACGTACTGAGAACTCGGAGGAGCTCTGGTTGGCCTGATATATATATAAGCATATGTACCTACATCTGTTCAAGAAATATATGTAGTGACACTTGCATGCATGGCAGCCAAGCAAGCGTTTGGGTACGTCACCTGTCCACAGCTTTTGCAACGCAACCTCCGGATCCATCACCTCAATTTGGATCAGTTGCAAACAACAACCTTCAACCGCGATCTAGACTGAGAGCCCCAAAAACGCTATCCAGATGAAGCGACCGGTCTTGTTGCCCCACACCCCCCCCCCAAAACACCCAATCGAAACACCATCCTCGATCTCCTGAACCATAAATGAAAAATATACAGGGCTGGAGTTCTCGGTATTTTTTTTTCTCTCTCTCTCCCCCCCCCCCCCCCCCCCCAAAACTAGTATGGTCCATGAGCCGGCTCGAGCCGACGTATAAGCTCGAGCTGGCTCCGCTCGTGGGAGACAGAGGCTCACAAGGCTCGAGCTTTGGTGACAGGCTCATAAACTGGCTCGAGCCGGTGGTCAATGATACAAAAAACAGGTTATCCTTGCACCAAGTGTAGTAAAAGAGCAGGCGTAGGTTGCATATAGACTTCATTTCGTGTAGTAATATACCGTGAGAAGGAATTAATTGTTTTAAATAAGCATTCAAGTCGGTATAAATCTCCTTTTTGCTTCTCTTATGCATATGGCTTCTAGAGCCTAGTGGAAGCAAATTGATTGAGCTCGAGCCTTAGAGAAAACGGCTCAAGCCGGCTCAGGCTCGCTGGAGGGTAAGGCTCGCTGGGCTCGAGCCAAAACCTCGAGCCAGGTCGGCTCATGGACCACACTACCCCCAACGTAAGTAGAGTAACTACTCATGTACTTTCGGGTGCAGGTGGTTGTCGATCAACAAGGCCATTGTTGTCTTGATCAAACCCGAGGAAGGCTGCAAATTTGAGAGTCTCATATATATCCGTATATATGGGAGATCTATAATTCGATAAGAAAGATAACAGGATCAGCCAGATTCTTAGCATGCGCACCAGTGTTTATTGTCCCATGTATATAAGAGCTCGAAATAGTCTATCTATCCCATATATAGACTGACAACGAAATTCTGACCCCCACCCAAACCCAAAAGCCAATTTAGTGTGGCTTTACTAACGGATCCCGGGTCCGTTATCTCTCTTGTTAATTAATAGATATGATCATACAAACTTCTATTATAGGGGGCCGTCGCAGGATTGACAGATTGAGCATGACGATCAATTATGCCATGTATAAGAGCTCGTAGTGGTAACAACTATCATAATCCTCCATTACCCACTGCTCGTACTACAATACATAGTAACCCCCATTCATTGTGGGGTGGGGGCGTCTAGAAACATACATATGCACAGTCGCTCACTCGCACTCGTTCGCAGCGACACAGGGAATCACTCGTTTGGGAGGTGTGTGACCATGGAGGGGGAATGCTACTAAGTGTTTGTAGCGGCAGAAGGGGGGGGGGGGGGTGGTTGTGTGTGGATATATGTATGTAATCTTCCCGCGAATGAAGAATTATAGCTGTTGGGACGTTACTCTTTCACGATTTTACGGGGGAGTTTCTATGTAGGTACTTTTATCGTGTCTCCAGACTACACCACCGGAGAAAGGAGATGTCTAGGAGCAAGGAGATGTCTAGAACAAAGAGCGCTCCTGGGGTAAGTTTATCAGCAACCTACACCCACCATCTCATCATCCCACCTCACCATCACAATCGCACGCACATCCCACCGTCACAAAATACACCCCAAATCACAACAACAAAACACACCCCCCAATCACCACCACTTCGCAACTTCACATCACACGAATCTCATATCTTTCATTACCACAGAAAAAAGCACAGGAATCAGTTTAGATCAGAGAGAAAAAAAGAAAAGAAAAGAATAAAAGAAAAATGTGAAGCACTAGGAGATATAGCTAATCGTAAGGGGAAATTACAATAGACCAACACCCACCCTTTTAACATCTGAAACCTAAGGGGGAGTAGAGCCCGCACCCGCGCCACGTCCAGCGCCGCCGGCACCACCGCCCATGAAGCTTCTTGCCCTGTTTCTTGTTGTTAGCACATTGTCCGTATCAAAGAGAAGAAGAGGGAGTAGATATAGAGGGAGTCAGGCTTACATCTCGGCAATACTAGGATCACTCATCAACGACCCCAAATCCGGCATTCCCCCCGCGCCGCCCGCACCACCCGCACCACCACCACCACCGCCGCCAACAGACTCCATCATATCCCTCAATCTCGGGTTATTCATGAGCCCCTGCATCAGCTGCGGGTTGCTCATCAGGTTCTGGGCCATCTGTGAGAACATCGGGTTACTCATAATCGAGCTCAAATCGGGCATGCCTCCACCACCCGCCCCGCCTCCCGCACCCCCCAGCAAACTGGCCAAGCCTCCCAAATCCGGCATTCCACCGCCGCCCGCACCTCTGGTAGCAGGCGCACTCTCGTCGTCAGAGCCGCCCTCCTCCTCCTCGACCCGGCGCTTCGCAGTCTCGTACCCGCGGCGCATGATGTCTGAGCCGCCGTTGCCCTCGGCGTCGATGCCGGCCTTGTAGGCCTCCATGCTGCCGCGGGCATCGCCCTTTGCGAAACGGGCGAGGCCGAGGCGCGACCAGGCCTTGGTGTACTTTGGGTCTGTGTCGACGGCCACCTGCGCGTCCTCGATTGCGGCGTCGTAGTTGCCGGAGCTGGAGTATGCGGCTGCGCGGTTGCTGAGGTAGATTGGGTTCAGCGGGTTGAGGGCCAGGGCTTGAGTGTAGAGGTCGATGGCGGCCTTGTAGTCCTTTTTGCTCATTGCTGCGTTGCCTTGAGTTTTTAGGGCCTCTGCAGCGGCCTTGTCGGCGTCGCTTGGCCCGGCTGGTCTAGGAGTGGCTGCAGAGGGGGTGCTGGAGGAGGCAGCTGCGGAGGGCGCGGCTTTGGCTTTCATCTTCTCGAAGACGCCGTAGATTGTTGTGAGGGATTGGCCGCCGAGGGCGTCGGCGAGGGCAGCGGGGTCGGTGGGATCGACTTTGAAGGCGTCCTGGATGCACTGGGAGGCGACTTCGAGGGACTCGTGGTCATCGGGGGAGACGGTGCCGTCCTTGGTGCAGTTTGTAAGGAAGTCTATGATCGCCAGGGCGAGGCGTTTTTTGGATTCGGTGGCCTGGGGAGGTAGTTAGCCTTTGTTCTCTTTGGCAGATTCAGCATGGTGAGGGGTAGTGATTGGGGGATTACCATTGTGATGGAGTTATGGGGAGATGAGGGGGAGCTGGAGAGAGGTTGTGAGGGAAGCTGTGAGAGCTGTGATGGTGTTTGGGGGATGGAAGGGGGAGGATAGAGATAAAGAGGAGTAAAGGTAAATCGACGTGCGTTGGCTTGGCCCGAGACCCCACCACCGTGGAAGCTTCTGGTCGCAGGCGTGCACGTGAGTGGCGTGTGTTATTCAGCAGAGATGTGTCGTGAGGTAGAATGGTTTTCAACTGATTGCGGGTATTAGATGGAGATGGTATAGAATAGTTCTCGAGAACACCGCTGTGAACGCCCCTTCAACACCGCAAAGACTCGGGGAATGTGCCCGGGGTGGCGTTCACATGTAAGGGTTTGTTGGCGGGGCTGATCGGATAACGATAAGATCGTTAGGGCGCAGGGTTACTTACGCGGCAACCCAACGTCAGGTCAATGATCGGCGAGTCAACATTTTGTGTGGCTCTAAGTATACGTTTTCAGGCTGTTAATAATCGAGGTCTGATCGCTATCTGAGGTCTGGAATTCTCTATCGAGCTTAGTGCTCGAACGAAAGGAAGTCGAGAGTGATGATGATTGGATCAAGTCGGTGCCGTAGCTTAACTTTATAGCCTCTCAAAACTAACACATATGCTTACATATAGCCAGTTACAGCTACGTAGCCGTTGTAACGTGTCTTGACACCTATTCCGCTAACGTCATACCCAAGCCGGGAAGTCTCCTTAGGCTATGGGGGCAGCGGGTTATTGGTAGCACAGAAATCAACACGCCTTCCCTCGCCATACCTGCCATCCCTGTCCGCCGACAATCCTTTTTGCTTGAGTGAGGACACATGGCCAAGCGATTGAAACAAACTAAGTAATCTTTTCCACCATTGGACACGATAACACTTTAAGCATCGATTGGAATCATAACTTCTCACTCGGGGTTATTATTACGGGTGGCTGCTAAATAGTAGCACACTAGACGGCTATACCGTATCTGGATCATTTGTTAGACGTCATCTGTATCTAGACGTCTATCAATCACATTTGTATGTGTGCTTCATAGAGACTACGATTAAAGATGGATAGATCTAGCGTTGGATGAGATGGATACCCCCCCCCCCCCCCCGCGGGGGCTGTCTAGGTGCTCTCTGGTCGTGTTTAATTTGGCAGCGAACAGGGATCCGATGTCAATGATCAATCCCCCTTCAACGGCCCCATGCATATACTCACTTGTACTACAACAGCTCCCACCCAACCCGTAACCGGGTAGTATCAGGTCTCACTCATCCATGAGTACAATACCTCACTCATAAAATATATACCCTGTCGCAATACCGCGGAACTCCCCACAAACTAAGAGGGGTCGGTGCACATGTACCAATCCCCCAGCTCGTAGCTCTCTCAGTTCTCAGATATGTACTCCTCACGCCGTAGAGCTCATCCCATCCCACAGTCACAACTCCCCCGTATCGTGCCGAAGCCCTAAAAAGCCCCGAACCCACAAACCCTAAGCCCACCGTGAGCTCCCACAATCTTTTTCCTATTCCAATCCCGTTCATCCTAGAAAAAAAGTGTCATACTCGCACACAAGCATCACGGTACCCCAACACTTCACGGCAATGGTGGTTACCCAAGTTTGATCCATCAGTCCAGGAGTTGATTGAGAGAGATTTTATCTCTAAAAGGCTGATGTACTCTTACTTGTGGGAGAGAAGGCTCAACAGCGAAGCATAGTCATCGCGAGCATTTGCCTGCTGGGTCAGTTAATCTCCATCTCTATCTCTCTTCTTGATTTTATTGCTAATGTTTTGATAGGCTCCGGAGCAGTATCTCTCCTACTTGTGGGAGAGAAGTTTAGATATCGTTAGCATTTGCCTGCTGGGTCAGTTAATCTCTATCTCCAATCTTTCTTCTGACTTCTTTTGCTAACCGTTCGATAGGCTCCGGAACAGCATCTCTCCCACTTGTGGGAGGGAAGGCTCAAAAAAGAAGCCTAGATATTGTGAGCATTTTCCTGCCGGGTCAGTTAATCTCTATCTCCATTCTTCTGATTTCTTTTGCTAACTGTTTGATAGGCTCCGGAGCAATATCTCTCCACCATCTTACCTGCCGTCTCATCGAGGCAGGGGCCAACATTATCTGGTGCCTGGGTTTGGCCTCCTCTCTTTTCCCCCTCTGCAGATCTGGATCGTTACTAACATCGTATTGGTAATAGGGGGTTCTCTCCCACGGCCTACCGGGGACAAAAGAGAATTATTACTACATCCGGAGTAGGTACAACACCTGGCACTTAGGTTTGTCCTCTCCTCTTCCTCTGCAGATACGGATCATTTCTAACATCGTTATAATAGGCGGTTCTCTCCCACGGCCTACCGGGGGCCAAAAGGGACCTTATGCCACATCCGGGGTGGGTATAATACCTGGCATAGAGGTTTGTCATCCTCTCTTCCACTCCCTCCCACTCTGCGGATCTAGATCGTTGCTAACATCGTTATAATAGAGGAGGTTCTCTCCCACGGCCTACCGGGGCCAAAAGAAAACCCCTGCTGCATCCGGGCCAGGTACAAAACCTGGCACAGAGGTTTGAATTCCTCTCCCTCTCCCTCTACCTCTCTCTCTAAATTCCGTTACTAACATCATTATAATAGATGGTTCTCTCCCACGGCCTACCGGGGGCCAAAAGGGGACTTATGCCACATCCGGGGCAGGTACAACACCCGCAACTTAGGTTTGACCTCCTCTCCCTCCCTTCCTATTCACATCTAAATCGTTACTAAAATCGTTATAATAGAGGTGGTTCTCTCCCACGGCCTAGCGGGGCCAGAAGATCGCCCGTGATACATCTGCGTCTGCGTCTCCCCCTCCCGAATCTAAAGATTCCATAATGGCCGGGGAAAATCAATCCGGCTGTCTCTTCTCGCCGTTTGACGGCTCCGGAATCCCGTTCGCCTTCTGCGATCCGGGTGCCTCTGCCTGCTGCTTCCTCTCCGGCTCCACCTGCTCTTCCTCTCTGGCCTCTCCCTCGCTTTCTCTGCCTCTGCCTCTGCCTTCTTCTTCCTCTCCCCGCCTCTCCTTTCTGGTTTCTCGGTCCGGGACTGCTTTTTCACCCCCCGCCTGCCGGCTTCCCACTCTTCCTGCTCCTAGGTTTACCTCTTCCTCACTCGTGGCTCCCTCTTTTCCTCCGCCTCCGCCTCCGCCTCCTCCTTCCTCGCCGATCGTGGATTCCTCGATTACATAGCGCCTCCGCCTCTGCCTTCTTCTTCCTCTCCGGCCTCGCTGCTTCCACCACCACAGCCTTCACCCTCAGATGGGCGGGATCCTTGCGGGGACCCGCCATCTCCCACGTTATCCTGCGGGGCTGCGGGTGCCCCTCCAACAAGTTTCCGGGAATAACAGCACCGTGCTGCTCTTTCTTTGCCGGTGTTCACGGCTCCGGCGGGACCGTGAACACCTATTCTTATCCCTCCGGCTCGGTTTATCCACACATCAATAATTCTATCGTTGGTGTGTGGGGGGGCCAGATTATTCGTTGACAAATATTCTTCTGCCTTGCCCCCGCCAGCCCAATGCATTGCCGGTGGAGGCGTGCGAAGATTACGGAAACGGGTAGATGATTCTTCCGGTTCTTCGGCCTGGTAGATGACATTCGTGGTCCTGGCTCTGGCGCTTGGGGTGGTAACGAGTCGATCACACCCCTTGCTTCTTCTGGTGTGGTTTTCTCGGCCGCTCTTTGGCTCTTCTCGGCGGCCCTTCAGGCACCGAGGACCCTTAATTCTCTCTCCCTCACCTCTCTCTGCCTCTCTCTCGCCTCTCCCCCTCTCTTGCCTCTCATTGCCAGGGAACTCGGGTGCCACCGGGCATTCATTCGTCGGGGGCTCCTCTTCCCCCACCGTCAATTCAACCGCCAGCACCCCAGACATCGAGCCTTTATCTCGAGGCGTTCTCGAGAGGAAGAAGAACTCAACTTCACTGCCTGGCCTTTATCTGGGCTCCCTCCCTCCCTCCCTCAGGCAATCTTTCCGGGCCCCACTGTCCTCACGATCATTGGAGGACAGACAACCACCACCACAACCCATTGCGCCTGCCTTCTCCCCCCTCTCCTCCGTCATCTCAACTGTGGACGGTCTCCCGCAACCGCAGCCAATATATCGGTGCTGCGGTGTCTCACCGAACAGCAGCATATCTGCCGGCTGGGGGGCCCACCTTAAAGTGACATGGGGTGGCGTCTTCCCGAGCGGCAGCATATCTGCTGGCTGCCTGCCTCCTCTCCTGGCACCTGGCGCGGCCCCACACTTGGCTCCCTTCCAGACGCCGAGATCTCTTAACTCTTCCTATAATATAGGGGGGCCGCGCCACAACACTCCATTGTATTTACCGGGCCGGTCCCGTGCAACATACATGGAGTGGGGGCCTCGTCGTCCCAGACAAGAGTGGCTTCGGGCTGGCCCGGAAAATTTCATCCCTCCGTTGCTGCCGCTGCCGTCAAGGGGTCTGCCTCTTGCAACCTCTTCATCGGTGGAAACCTGTCCAGCTCCATATCTGATGTGGGCTGGGCTGGGTGGTTGGTCTTGGAGGAGGGTCATTGGCCAACATGGAATGAAGTAATAGGATATTTCTGGTGGCCTGGTGGTCGGGAAAAACGCATTTGGTGTGGTGGTGGAGGTTGTGTCGGGGCCGGGATGGAGGGGTCATATTTCTTTCTTTTTCATTTAGTTTCTTTAGCTATAGTCTGCTTGGGTGTTCGCGGGGGGTGGCACTTTACCATCAAGAAAAAATCATTAGAAGTAATATAAAAAGCTTTGCAACTCGTACTTGTTTGTTTGGTATTGTGAATTGTGATCTGTGATCTGTAATCTGTGAGCTGTGAGCTGTGATTTGTCAATTGTCGATTGTGAACTGTGAGTTACTGTTCCCACCGCAGCTAGTGTGATTATGGTATGTGACTGTAATTGCGCAACATGTGAGTAGATATCATGAGTAGTTTTGTAAGCTAGGCTTCTGCTAGGCTTGGCGTCCATTAGATTACTTGAACTGCCTGATTGGGTTAGTGTATGCCAAGGTTTGCAACTTGTGATAGTTGTAATCGATATTTTAACTCCACGTTGGATAATACATGTATCTTCATTCTCAATAGTACGACGTACCGCGTGCTCCGCTCAATCCACACACAAACATGAGGATCTTGAAGCACCTACCCCTCACACCATACATTTTGATCTCAATCTAGTCGATATATATATACATGTACCTACACAAAACTCCTGATCGAATCAGCTCCTCTCAACTCCTCAACCCCAAACAACAAAACTACCATGTCTGACTTACCAGAGCGCATCACGTATATCGTCGGCCACGCGAAGAAAATCAATGCCCGTGGCACCCCGTTAGACGCCTCGGACATAAAAATAGCTATGAAGCAATTGCGTCCATGGACGGAGACAAGAGTATTGGTATGTCTCTGGCTATCTCCCTACACGGTGACTGGACTGACACCGGCATGTAATAAATATTGATTGTAGAGAACTATGATATTCCATCTTGATCTCTCTCCGTCCCCTGACGTAAAGGTTCCCAATCGCAAATATAGACCCGTCAATATTCCAACGGGGGAGCTTATGGAGGTTATCCTCTTCTTTCAAGAAATCGGCATGGCTGGTTCTCAAACCCTGGTATGCTGCCTCCGTCCGCGAGAATCACTAATAAACCGCTAACTACATGTATATAGGTGAATGATCTCTACAAGGCAACCATGACAAGTAAGCCAGACACAACGCAGCCTCTTGTAACTCAGTTACGATTCTGGCGAGAACAGCAGGTTCAAAAAAGACCCTGGATGGTCATAATCGAGGAGTCCCAAGACCTGTGGCGTAGAGTAGGGCTCTGAGGTAGTGAGGCCATGCCTTGAATATTATCGGTTCAGATGAGGAAACGCTTTTGGTAGTTATATTAATCTGACTTTGATGTATCCATGCATGAAGCACTAGCTTAGCTGGAGCGTATATTATATAGTGAGCTATGGGTTATTAAGGGGTGCTTTGATGGGCGGCTATTAGGGTTTGTGTTGTATGTTTTAATTTAAAGGCAAAGGTTTTATATACCACAGATATTAGTCGGATGCCATTACTCTTTTTCAACGGACTCATGTACCATTGATTTCCATGATAATTGACCCAAATACCATCGCTACTGATGACAGGTAGTTCTTTGTGCCCAGTTACCCACATGTTCAACATGATTGCCCTTGCTTTTTATCGCTATATAGCCTGAGTGTATAAAATTTGAACTTCTCACATATAGACCAATTGCAATCTTGAATATTCTTCCCAAAAGGGGAATAACTGTCCTTCTGGCACACTCTTTCCGCAGTCCTATATGGTAGTGATATTTCCGCCCCGTTTTTTTTTTTTTTGCGTACTGTAGCCGTGGTAGAGTGAGCCTCGTTTCTGTATTTTCAGAGTGATTCAAACTTGAATTCAGTATGTGGATGGCCGCCTGCATGATGTCGGGGGCGTTGAATGGTGTTCCGCGCTCGTTGATTTGGAGGCGAGAGTGGTGATTGCGGCGGTGCGGAGGACGGGGAGGGGTTGGGGATTGTACTTGAAGTTGTAGGAGTTGGGCATGGTGGTTGGTTGTTCTAGCTGGTGTTTGGGCTTATTGATGCGGTGGGTTTGTTTGGTGTAGGTACATGTATGTAGGTGTATATACATGACATTGTATATATGGAAACTGGTCTAGTTACGGGTAGGTTCTTCAAAATCCTCATAGTGACTGTGGCGGCGGGGTGCTTCAAGATCCTCATGCTAACTACGGCAGCAGGTATAGTCCTTGAATTTGTTCGTTGCATGCAGCAATTGCAAAAACAGAGAAATATTGCTGTTTCTTAATCGTCCCTTTGACATGTTTGTTTTCAACCAGTCCAGAAAAAGAACAAAAAAATGATTAGAGGAAACGACATCCCCTACTCCCGCCCCGGACCTCCCATACCGCAGACCAGAACCACTCAAAATACCGCTTAAACCTGACCTGAAAACAAAACACAGATCCGTAGTCCATAGAAAGACCTCACCTCCATAAAGATAACATAAATCCCAATCTCACCTCCCTTCCATGAACGTACAACATGAATAACATCAATCCATAAACTCACCCATCATGTCCGTCTCCACCAACAACCCGCGCTCTGACGGCCCCGTCGCTGCCACTGTGCAGCCAGTCGCCGCCCTTGTTATCGCCGCTGCAGCTCTCGCCATATCTCCGAAGCAAGAGGAATCTCCTACGAGCGCCGCAGCATCCGCATCTGTTGAACCCACCGAGCATGACGAGCCCGCCGAGAAAGCAGCCGAAAAGTCTCCCCAGCGTAAGTCCCCTCTGCACCCAACAAACTACAATTAGCTAACGAACAACACAGCCGCCACGAAAGAAACCAAGCCGCACACCGTCCCCCACGACCAGTCCGAGGAGGCGTCCCGGATCCACTACATGCGCAACATGTACCGCAACAGCTACTGGCCTACCTATCATGGTTATGTCCCGTACCAGCTACAGGGCCACATGTACCTACCATATGCCGCACCAGCTACAGGGCTACCTATCATATACGGCACCAGCTACTGGCCTACCTATCATGGTGATGTCCCGTACCAGCTACAGGGCCACATGTACCTACCATACACCCCAGCTACAGGGCGACCTATCATATACCGCACCCGCAACAGGGCTAACAAGGACGGAGAATGAGTTTGTGTTGGCTTACAGCCGGGCGGCGTAGTTAGCTATAGCGGCGGGTTGAAATAGAAGAAATCTTTTTTTTTTTCGTGTGTCGTTTGTTCGTAAAACATAAAATTCTGGTAGAAAAAAAAGACCCTGGTGAAGCTATTCTTCCGACTGCCACCATTGCCACCATGCAAACATACCGTAATATCCGTAATATTGTAATATCGTAAAACTAGGGTGTTCCCTCCCGGGTCACTGTTTGTCCCGCTCCAAAGGCCGTGTGTGTGTATTCTAGAATTTAAATTCCTTCTAGCACCCGTGATTGATCTCTTATATATAGCCCGAGTACAGGTACCCGGGCCCTTACTCTACGCCAGCAGACATTCCCGCCAGCTCCGGGACTACCTCATCTTATCCTTTTTTTAGCCATGAGATTGATACCTGCTGTATTCCACTCAATGGTGAGGGCGCCAGATGTAGGGTTAGGGTTTCCCGAAAGTTTTACCTGACATGTTCTTTTGTATTGTAGTAGATTATTTTATATTATAGTAGATATGACCACGGGCAGGTGCTTCAAGATACTCATAGTGACTGTGGCGGCGGCGGCAGGTGCTTCAAGACGGCACTAGCCCTTGAATTTGTTCGCTGTAGCAATTGCAAAAACAGCGAAACATTGCTGTTTCTTCCCTAAATACATGTACAGTAGACTCTCGCTATAAGGATACGGTCGGGACGACCAAGAATATGTATTCTTATAGCGAATTAATAGCGAATCATCCTTATAGAAAGTGGGGAACGCTAGCAAAACGGCGGTTGCAGACCGGGCACTGGTATCCTTATAGCGAGAGTCTACTGTATTTGTTTCCATACCGCAGACCAGAATCACTTGTAGATCAGTCGTGTAGAAACCCACTTAAACCCTGGCCCCGAAAACAAAACATACATAGATCCGTAGCCCATAGAAAGACCCCACCTCAATAAAAATAACATAAATACCAATTTCAACTCCCTTCTGACAACAATAACATCAATCCATAAACCCACCCACCATGTCCGCCTCCACCACCAACCCGCTCCCTGACGAACCCGTCACAGTCGTCGTCGCTGTGCAGCCACTCGACACCCCTGTTGTCGCCGCTGCAGCTCCCACCATGTCTCCGACGCAAAAGGAATCTCCTACGGGCACCGCGGTATTCGCATCCGAGCATATCGGGCCCATCGAGCATGTCGGGCCCACCGAGCATGTCGAGCCCATCGAGCATGTCGACGAACCCACCGAGCATGTAGACGAGCACACCGAGAATGTCGAAGAGCCCATCGAACATGTCGACGAGCCCACCGAGAATGTCGACGAGCCCGCCATGGAAGAGCCCGAAAAGTCTCCCCAGAGTAAGTTCCCCTCCACACCCCAATTACCAAACACCAAACCGGCTCCCAGCAGCTAACACACAACACAGCCGCCACCAAGAAGCAAACCAAGTGGCCCAACGTCCCCCTCGACAAAGGCCTCTACGAACAGTTCGAGGCGGCGTTCGAGTACATGCGCACCATGTTCCCTGGTCTTGAAGATTTCCCCGCCATCGACTGGGATACCGGCCATGACGATCACCCCGCCAGCGACTGGGATACCGGCCATGACGATCACCCCGCCAGCGACTGGGATACCGGCCATGATGATTACCCCACCAGCGCCTGGGACACCGATCATGATGTTGATTACCCCGCCGGCGGCTGGGACCCCGATCATGTTGATTACCCCGCCGGCGGTACCTATCATGATGATACACCGCAGCAGGTACAGGACTACAGGCGTCTATTGTATACCGCACCAGGTACAGGGCCACCTATGATGTACCCCCCCTACAGGACTACCTGGGACGGAGGAGCATGAGTTTGTGTTGGTTTTACATGAGCCGGGCGGCGTAGTTAGCTATAGCGGCGGGTTGAAATAGAAGATTCTTTCTTTTTTGTGTTTTTTTCGTTTTTTTTCGAGTGTTTTTTTCGAGTGTTTTTTTTCGTGTGTTTTTTTCGTGTCTGTTTTTTTCGTGTGTGTCTTTCATAACATTCCTGCAGAAAAAAGACCCTGCTGTAGCTACATTTATGGGGGTGTGCTCGCTTTTGGGCTGAGGATTCGGATTCGGATTCGGGTTCAAGTTCAGGTTCGGGTTAGGGTTAGAGGTTAGGGTCAGAGGTCATGGTCAGGGTCAGGGTCAAGCTCGGGTTCAAAATGTCATTAATGGGTGCGCACGTTTGTACCACGGTTTCTACTATTAAAATTATCCAAGTGCATTTTCTTGTATACAGTAATTGAACTCAGGGCAAGTTTGTGCACGCAGATCGGTGACACGTCACGTGCTCAAACAGACCAAACACCTAGCCCACAAACCCAACCACACGTTGGAGAACATGATGTTCTGCAGGAAATTTACATCCAATACGCTCGCAGCTATCTTTCTGCATACCTGTTCCCACCAATACCGAGCCCGGGAGGTACCGAGTGATTCACCATGATCCACTCGTCCCCTCAGCGCCATTCCCAGGATCCGCAACGATGGCGGACGCAGTAGATACTACCACTTTCTTAATTTACTACAACACTTGTATATGCTTATTTCCACTCTACGCCTTGAGGCAGGTAGAATAGACGGGTTATGGTGGATGATGCGTACGTGTGCCATTGAGCTCAGCCGGGAGCGGAGTACTGTTTTCCGTGTGGATGGTTGCCGCGTATGCGGTATAGGTACTTACATGTAGCTATTTGTTTACCGTCTTGATTAATTGATAAGGTCTCGTTTGGTAGAGGTGGCCCCAATACGTAGAGAGCTTCAATTTTTGAACTGCTTCATAGTTAGCCACTCGTTGCTATGACTATAATAATTTATCCTATCAGTCTTTATCAATTTAGACAGGATAAACCAAGTCAATCGATGAAAGAACCCCAATTCCCGCCACAATTACTGCCAATTACTCGAACCTGCAGTTACCCACAAAGACAACCTCGTCGCTGAGAGTCACGCCCCTGCAGAGCGTCATCTCGTATCACTCGATTCCAGATAGGCATGGTGTCTCTGCTCCAAGAAAAGATATCCTAAGCCATTTGGAGCTTGAATAGTACATATCAAGCTATTGAAGTTCGTGGTAAGGCATAACCGTCCTCTTCGCGGGGATAAGGTGTAACCAGGGCGATACATCTATGTAAATAGATGTAATGCAGGTACGCACGAGGACTTGTGTTGCAGGGCGAGGTGCGGAAGCGTTTGTTCGTAGAGAAAGACCAGAGTTTCTTCCCTCCTCTTCTCCCCCCCCCCCCCCTTCCCTCTCTCTTCTTCCTGCCATCCGAGAACATACGTTGGCGAAGACATAAAGCCGTTTGTTCATAGAGACCTGAACTCCTGCCTTCTTCTCTCCTCTCCTCTTCGCCTCTTCTTTCTGCCATCAGCTATCCTCCTCTTCATCCTCTTCAGTTTCTTCGTCATCTTCATCCTCCTCCGTCTCTTTTTTTTTATCCCTCTGCCTTCTTCTTCCTCTCCATCACCAAATCTCGGGACCGTGAACAGCAATTCTTCCACCCTCTAAGAAGTAAATAAACCCTGGAGGAACCTCTACCAACCAATACGATGGTGCAGCATCGGGGTCAACATCACTCTTCCCTCATTGAGGTGGTGTTCCTTGCTTCTTGAGGATACATCCTCTCCCTCTCTTCTCTCCCTCTCTTCCTCTGGTGCGCCCTCGCAACACTCTCTCCATCTCTCCCTCCCTCTTTCTCTCCCTTCCCTATCTTTATCAAACTGCATCATTTTTTCCCTTAACCATGCTCCCTCCTTCTTTCCTCGAAGATCGAGAAAGAAGTGGAGCATTGGCTTCCTCCTCCTCCTCCTCCTCCTCCACCTTTGACAAATGCAAAGATCGAGAAAGAAATGAAGCATTACCTCCCTGCCTTTCTTCTTTCTTCATTCGAAGAACGAGATAGAAATGGAGCATTGTCTCCGGCTCTGCCTGTCCTCTCGATCTCATCCTTCGAAAAGGTCGAGATAGAAATGGAGCATTGGCTCCGGCCTGCTTTCCGCGCCCCCGTCCACTCCGAGTACCGATTCCGACTCGTTAAACTCGACATTCACGAGGTTGGACGAAAAAGACGACCCCTGGGGAGTAAGTAAGATTCTTTTCCTTTTCTCTTCTTTTCTTATTTGTGTTTTTTTTCTCGCTGCTTTGTGGTGGTTCTTTGGTTGCTAATGGTGATTGGAATGATTAGTAGGGCCACAAAAGCTTACCTGGATGATATGTCTGCCTGGGCCTGCCTTTTTCTCTCTCCTACATTTCACGGGGCGAGGGAGGGAAATCGAGAACACGAACTTGGCTGGCCCTCCCGTGCGCGAGGGCCGGTGTCAGCATCAATAACAAGGCTGAATATGGGTGGGGGGTTTGGTAGTGGGGATTCGGGGTGAAATCTCAGTATGTTAACATCCTTTTTTCTTTCCATTTCTTCCTTTCATTTTCTCCCCTGGTTGCTTTGCGGTCTTTCCGTATTAGGATTCTTTTCTGACAGGTAGATTTTATTAATAGGGAGAACTAAAGGGGCAAGAATGATACCCCCCTCGCTTTCTCAAAGAATCAAACCAGAAGAAGATCGTCACCAAATGTCCCATTCGGGTCGGTTATGGGATATCTGATCCTTCGCCATCCGGTGAATGTTTTGAAGATGTGGCTGGGTTGTGGGTGGCTAGCAAAGAATCGTAAGTAACATCCTTCTCTCACTTACCTGATTTTCTTTCTTGTGGTATTTTTAGATGAGATTTTCGTTTCTAACAAACATAAAGTGGGGCATCCACCTGGGGAGGAGGATGGGGAAGATACTGTGAAAATCTTCCCCTCCGTCTCTCTTGCTTCACCGCCACCTGAACATGAGGGGTGGGGAAAGGAGAAAAGGAGGGAAAGAAGATGAGGAGGGAAAGAAGATGAGGAGGGAGGCTTCTGCACCTTATCCGTCATATTCTCACCAAAATGATGGACGACCAAGACAAGGGTCTTGCTTGCAACCCAACCCATTATCCCACAATTGAATCAGTTCCAGTCGCTGATAGGACTGGAGCAATATTGGGTGTGGATAACGAGGAGCGTCTAGCGCGTAAGTATTTCATTTTACTCCTTTCTTCTACTTATCTAGAAGGAATATTTCTAACAAAGATGAGTTAGTATGTGGCTTCCTCCTGGTGGGCTCTTGTAAGTCTATATACCCGTTTTCCTATTTTTTCTTTTGTCAGTAATTCCAGCTCTACTTGAGTTGTTATTATATTAGTTTCTAACAGTGTTGAGTTATCCAAACAGACAGGAGCTCCCTGGAAAAGACGAACACATGTATATTGTCTCTTTCTCCGGCTCTGCTGCAGAAAATGGAAGGGCGTATGGGTGGGATTTACAGGGGGTGTCGCATTCCCATGAGGTCCTTCCAATACGTCCCTCAATTTTCTAGAGCGGAACTAGCGAAGGGGAGATATACATATGGATCTTTTCAATGTCTTGAGTGAAGTCCCTCCTCAACCAATCAGCAGCGCAATATCCACCCATTTGGGCGGACCATGGCTTTGCGTGATGGCCTATCGGCCCGAAGCTGGCCAAAACCACACGATCAAATCATGGGAGGATGAGGATCAAAAGAAGAAGGAAACCGGATATCTGAGGTAAGTACATGTAGATATCTCCCTGTTTCCTACTTGAATCTTATTAGCTTTATCTTCTTTGGCTTAGTTGTTCGTAACTTTTCTAACTGTTTTCATTCGTTTAGATGAGCAGACGAGAGAGATACCCAGCCCCATATGGGCATACCTTTTCCCTCCTTAATACACTTAAGGGAGGGGTATGTGGGTCTCTTCGTCTCTCTCGCTCCATCTCCATGTGGGGAGGATCAGGTCCTTCTCGACTGTTTCACCTTGGGTGGGTTCCTCCTCTTCGCCTCTCCGCCAGCTCTTAGCTGCAACTTCACCAGTTTACCTAAACTGCAAAGTGTCAATGAAGCAGCATGCGGCGGGCGTGTCCTGTGCCTGTTTCCCCTGTCCAGGAACCGTGGGAAATTCAACGCAACTTATTATTGGCGGTGGCTACGGATTTCTCTCTCTGCGATTGTGTGTTGGGTGGTTTCCTTTTCCTTTTTTAACTTTATTTTCTTATTTTTATTCTTATTTTTCTTTCCTTTTTTGTATCTTTGTATTTTTCTTTTTCTTTAATATTATTTCTTATCATTTTTCTCTTCGTCTGTTTCGACAGTGAGCCTTATAATTCCCGTTATTTGAGCTACTGCATCTGCCTGGTGCACCTCCAACATGGCATCGACACCATTTCTTTCTTTTTTACACTCTCTTAGGAGTGCCTCTTGGGTCTTCGATTGTTTTGTAATTAATATTCGGTCATTAAGGACCAGCGAATTTCAACGTTCCTGGATCCAGAAAATACTAATTTTGAGTTCTGAGTTCCGAGTTTTGAGTGTTGGGCGTTCTTGAGTGCTTTGTGATTCGAGTTGATTAATAAATGGTATTAATGGGTAATGATTGATTAGTAGGTTTCTTAATCGGGAGTAGCGTGGCAACCAACCAACCATTTCATCTGCCAAGCTACCCTGGATTGGTGAAACCTTGTTTTGCACCGAGTGCGATTCCATGCCCAGGCCGTGTATTCGAATGCCCATAGTGTGACAGTCGGCCAGGCACCATGAAGCGGTACCAAAACTGCACGATCAAGCTTTTGTAGTGTGATGATCCCCTATTATGGTATACCGCTCTCCAGCAGGTAGTGCGTCTGTACTTCTATCATAGTAAATCAGTAGTTGGAGTTTCTCTAACTTCGCTATCATCTATCTACCTATCCGTCACTGTTAGCATCACCATATTAGCATCCCTCAAAATAAGTAGACAAGACAAAAAACTTCACCGCACTCTTTCAATCCCGCTATCGTAACGCTCAATCAAGGGGGAAATAAGTACCATGGTCTGCTTGGTGATAGCCCACATGCAGAGCCCCGTGGAAGTTGATTCTTGGGCACGTCTTTAAGATGGTTGAAGTGGATGAAGTATCGATGGATGGATGTGGAATATGAGGAGAAGGGAAGGTGTGGTAATGTGAATGTGATGCGGGGCGGGATGACTTAATTGTGGGTTGGTAGCGGTACTATATTTACACTGGGACCTTTATTTTCATAGTCCGGGATTGTACCGACAACCCTGTTCGGATCTGGTACGACATCATGAACCATGGAAAAGATATTGGAGCCGCAAAGTGGATTCAGAAATCATTCAGTCGGCATTTACCATGTATGTGGCACCCTATATCAATTACACTCGAGCGATATGAAACCACTGAATACTAAGCGATAGAGTATCATAGGCTATACAATTGGATCTCAGACTAGAAACCTGCACTACTAATATGAACTTTATTATATGAGTACAGAAAACAACACACGGCTCTCGAATCCCAGTACGGATACATCAATCGCCTATCTCACCCTCTTCCGACAACCACTCAACCCCCATCGAAATGCGCACCCCCGCTCCGCCTCCTTCTCATCCTCCCGACCCTCTTACCTCTCCCGCATCCTACCGCCGCTGCCTACTCGGAATTGAGGTTTCCGGCGGAGTCAACGAGTGCTCACGTATCCCTACAGACTAGACTCTGAAGGCTAGCACTGCATCCGGTTGTGCGGAGAGTGGGGGTATGGCCATCCATCAGCGGCAAGAGCAATGTCATTTAGAAGCACGGCATATCTGGATCAAGTTTATTACCGGTGGTATTACGTGGGGCGAGGCGTTGAGAGCGGATGTTGAGTTGGACAAAAGGAGAGGGCCAGACCCAGGTGTGACAGTGATATGCCGAGTGAGGTATAGTGGAATACTACTACTAGTAGAGTTAAATGTCGGGTATCGTTGGGCTTAGATCTGTCTGTCTTTTGAGAGTTTGTTTTTCTATTTCTGATACCCTATCGAATCAAAGAGACTGTCATCGTTTTAAAAATTTGGGATACTAATGTGGTGCTAGTGTGTAGTTACTGTTTAGTCGATTCAGGTCGATTCAGGATAGTCACAGCAGTGATACTGAGATTATAAATCTAAGTACTTGAAATAAATCCCCCAATCCTCCTCCTCAGGCCAGTCCCAAGATAGTGTGTCTTGAACCTGCGCTGAAAATACCTGAAGGCCCGGACAAGCAGCAATCTCGCTCAATGGAAAGTAATCCATGAGCTGGCTATAGGACATCTACATGTACATCCGAGAAGAAATGAGGAAGGTTTTATTGATACATAACAACAATAGGCTAGACAAAGATGTCCAGCTCGGATGACCGCATCATAATCGATTGGTTTGACAGGCGGCAACGTTTAGTCAAACTTCCTGGCTGAACGAGTGATATGTCTTGACTGAGCCTGGCGCCAGCAATCATGAGAGATCACTCGGCCCTCTTGCCGCAATTTTTCGGGCTTTAGAACAGAATTGACAAACAGAGTTGATGGGGAAAAGTTGAGAACACTAGGGATCGAGAGTAACGCTTGAAGTCGATTCCTTCTTTATTGGGTAGGACCGGGTGTACGGAAGGTCCCTGCCTACATATTGTAGATGACACCGGGCGTGAGTATATATATATGTAGACAGTCGAGCACACAGGTCAACCTCGTACGTACTGGAAAAATTGATCAACTTTCAACTAGTAGTAATATGCAAGTATCCCTATTATAACCTTCTAATCACCCCCAACCAACATGGCGGCATTACCTCCGTGTCGGAACAGAAGATAAAACAGAGGAGATATGAACCTAGGATTTGTTTCAAATTGGTCCTTCCAAATTCAAAAGCTTAATATTATTGAGAGAGCTTGGTCTTGACGAGCAGAGCCCCACGCTGACTGTTTGAGTTATTCCCGGGACTTATGTTTGTGTGCACCAGTCCAAAATCCATGACGTGTCCCCGACTCAAGCCGCAATATTCGAAGAACTCTTGGGCCATCCGAATTCTGGCCAACGAGCCAAAATACCGTAGGAGAAAAAAGACATGTGAAAAAAGGATGATGTAATAGGAGCATATTTAAGCCCTATAAAGCCTAATTGTTTCCCCCGCCCCCAACTGCCCTCTGTCTCAAAACCATTCATCTTCAAAAGAAATAATATGTTTTTGGGTAAGATGACTTACGATCTTTATCAGGATGACCAGTCCCCTCCATCATCTATACCATCATCTATACTATCATCTATACCATTATCATTGATAGCATCACCTTATAGCCACCTTTCTATCACCAATTCTATCCAGCAAAATTAACAGCCCCCTTTTCTCATCTCTCTTTGATGGAGAGCCTTCAATTATACCACTCAACGGTATAGCGGTTTCTGGAGATTCTTCCAATATCCAATACGGCTGGCCTCTTTAAATATTTGCCTCTGTAAGAGCAGATAAAACTCCATCCCAGTTACTCCAACATTTGACTTACTCTATCACTAGACATCACTCAATCGCATGCAGATAGAGCTGCAAAGCGTCACCCAGCGGACTACCACCCCACCAGATCTCACTCGTCTCTCTGGTCCCTCGACATCACTACGTCCATGCACCTCAGAATGCAGCAGCAGCATCACCGTAGTCACGTCCTCCAACTCCCCATCATCCTCCTGCTACTTCCCCCGCTACTCCTAGCCATCGAACAGTCCCCGGGAAACCGGACATCTGTTCTGCCGTCCTGCGCATATCTCTGTGTTCTCGACCACTCCACGGAACCCTTCGTTCCACGTCTCTGCCGATCATCGGCTCTCCTATCAGCAGCACGCAACTGCACGTTTCTCACCTGCATCAGTGAGGCCGCTGCTAGTAGACAGCTGGTCGACGAGTGGTTCACACATATGTGTGACCACGTTCCGGAGCGAGAGTGTAGGCCAATGGACGTATATAGCCCGGGCGTGCAGGTGTATAATGCCACGAGGGCAAATATCGCTAGCCGCCTGGGGGCAGAAGAAAGAGTTGCGGTGGGGTTGTTGACCGTAGTGACGGTGGTGGCGGTGCTGTTGGTGCTGGGCGGGAGCACATATGTGTGGGTGGGATGGAGGAATAGGATAGTGAGGAAATTTGACGAAAGCATGGAAATAGAAGATATGAAGAGGAGGAGGGAGGAGAGAGAGAGGTGGAGGAAGGGATATAGGAGGTATTGGGATGGAGGTGGAGACGGAGAAGGGATAGTGGTGCAGGTGGAGATGGAAGTCAGAAAGAAAAGAGAAAATGAGAGGAAGATTCCTGGTCGTAGCCTGGTATAATATATATACTTACTGGCACTTATGTTATATATCAACATTCACCGTATCCCATAGTCCGTTAAAGCTGCCTATTGATTCGGGTGGCGTATTTTCAGCCGTGGCTTGTGTCTGGATCACACACCAATTCGGCTGCCACCCTTCCTCTTTTAGTAATTATTCTGTCTCAAAATAGGCAGCATCTAAGTACCGGATTATGGGATAGCTGTTTGCTTTATTCGCAACACCTATCTGCCACTTGTATTACTCAAAAACTATATATTATTAGCACATATTTAGCCCTACTCAATTTATTTTAGTATTACTTATTTTTGTCACCTAGAAAGGCAACGATTTCTTCTGAGCATTTCAGATTTCTAGGAATTATAGCGCTCGACTTACATGTATCCAAGATGGATGAATTAAATACATGTACCCTATAAATAAAAAGATAATGGTTACTCAAGTACATGTAGAGTAGCTCTGAACATTTATAAATCTCGCCATCCATTTCTAACCAGCATTATGCTAGCGCTGCACAAATCAACTTATATAAAAAGTTGGTTTAATTACTAGCTAGCCATGGAGCACAGTCGTCTTAGACATCTTTACACATGAAGTATCCAGCAGTCCGAGAGCAGAATTTGTCGAATTTCTCTACCCGTGCCTTATGTAAGATCTTTGCAAGAAGGCCAGCGTACCTACATACATGTAGCCCTGCTGAACGTCACCATGGCGTGGCATATTTGGGTGTACGCGCAAGGTACATGTAGCTACGACCACACAGTGTGACATCAAAAAATCAATCACGGTACAAATCCTGTGGTAATCATGCCAATTGACCTCGTAATATGGAAGCTTTCCTCTGATCCAATGAATACCGGTACATCTCGTGTGTGAATTATTTTGTTGAAAAGGTGCTAGCGCTAGTTTTACACCTAATCTGCGAGTGAGAAAAGTCAATCATAAAGTTATGCATGACTTTACACCTTCGTCTGTCAGCTAGTTGCTGCCACCCCAAGAAAAAGAAAATCTGGTGTGGCTTTACTAATAGATCTCGTTATCTCTCTCATCAAATAATAGATCTCCCATACAAATTTAATCCCTCTATTATATAGGGTGGCAGCATTGACAGACGAAGGGATAAGGTGTTATGATATGTATATATTCGAATATATGATGATGAAGATGTTCTATATCGCTTCAAACGATCATATATGTTGCGGCTATCAAGTTAGAAGTTTCAAATGTTCTACCTATTTGGTATATACTGGAAAGTGCCAAGGATTGCACCGAGTAAAACCACCCATCGTTTCCAGCCAAATTCGTCGTTGCTCCAGAAGCGACTGTACATACAACTAGAGTTCATCTCGATGTCTGAGACAGTTTCTTTGCTACATATGTAGAGTAGGTAGCTGGAAGCTTCCGATTGTGATGGTTAAAAGGTCTGATCACAGCTTACTCTGCGCCACCAAAAGAGAGACAATGTAATTGCAATTACTCTATCGGGGTGAGTTCCACTGAAGCAGGCGCGACTAACTTGCAGCAAGGCTAACAGCTGTAAAGTCTCTAGAGTAGGTAGCTGGCCATGGCATTGTACTCTACCGTGCCACAAAGCGAGCATGGTGAAGGTTTTCAAAAAAACTGACATGTCACCTTTAAGACTGTGCGCGTCATAGAACCGACTCCGCCTTGAAAATTTTCTTATTTTATCTCGCTGACCCGGTTTGAGAGGAAGATGTAGGTACAGTCGCACTTCGCTATCTCGTAATCGATATCTCGGATCTCTTGCTGTCTCGTACGGATTGGCGGGACAGGTACTCCTCCTCGTTTATTTGCTATCTCGTAAGGGTTGGGCTCCCAGAATACGCTTACGACATAACGAGGTGCGACTGTACAGCCTCCGGTAGAATTATTGCGGAAATGTGGCGTTGGAGAATCGCTCTGCTCTCGGCGTGATCGTTGTCCCTGTTTTCGACAATAATTCTACCGGAGGCTGTATGTAGGTAAGTACATGTATGTAGTTAAACCCGAATGATAATCCATGATTGACAGGTAACATTCAATAAGGGGACTTGGTAGAGTATATTACAGCCTCAATCCTCCCAAGTCTCCAGCGGCGTCATCGTAAGGCAGTAAGAATCCAGTCTTTGAAAGTTTAAGTTTCGCTTCGAGGGTTAATAAGGAGAGGTATGTAGGTACCTAGTTCGTTCAGCCTTGTGCGCCCTGCGCTGATGCACTGTACTTGTACGTTCGCCCTGCAGCCTTGGTTGGAGAGAGAGAGCATTGTAGAGAGAGGACATCGCGCGACTTTCTAATTTGCTAATACATCGGCCCGATGAATGCCCAAAAGCCCAATTAATGACGACAATGTTTAAGGGCCTGTTCGGCCGGTTTAACGCGGTTCTTGATATCATGATAGGTATTCTCGCGATCGGCTGCGTGGTATTTTATCCCCCAAGCAAACTGAAATTGAAGTTTTGTGGCCGACTGAACACCATAGCACTGCACTGTTGTACTAAATCCGTGGAAGGCTGACCGCTCTATCGTGGGGGTGCATGTATGTACTACTACATATTCGCCAAGGTTATGCACGTGACTGACCGAAAGCTGAGAATTTGACCAACGTATATATAAAGTCTGTCGTATACAGACTAGTGTGTATGTAGGCGGATGAAGTTGGAGTACATGAGGTCCAATAATCAAGACATGCTGAGTATGTAAATGGTGTTGATATCCTGGCCAATTTGCTGATAGGTCGCTCACCCGCATATTAGGGACGGGACATTGAAATCGACATCGGAGATACTTATCGCTCAATTATCTCGCGAGAGCAGACTTTGGCCAAGACGAGGCTTAAAGCCTCTCAGCTATTTGGGGAGAGGGGTCGCAACTCTCTAATACTTCCCCATACATCTAACCATCAGACTTACTCCAGATACCTCGGGGAGAACGTTCTTCAATATGGCTGAAATCGTGGGGCCGGCTGCCGCTATCGTCGCACTCATCAATGTCATCGGAAAAGCAGCCTTTATGGGCCATGGCTACCGTGAAAAGGTCAAGGGAGCTTCAGAACAGATTAAGAGGCTTGTAGACGAGCTCGATTCTCTGAAGCTAGTACTCATTTCTCTACAAAATCATATTGAGCAAGATCCAGATTCGTTGCAAACACTCCGGAGGCTTGGTCCTCGGCTCACAAGATGTGAAGAGGATGTACAGTTACTTATCAAAAAGCTGGAGAAGCCCCAGTCCAGATGGAGGTGGTTCTTCAGGCGACTTAAATGGCCTTTGGATGAAGCAGATACTCAGCAAACAATTAAAGGGCTTGACAGGCTCAAAAACACTTTTGCTTTAGCACTCAACGCCGATCATATGTATTCCTACTTTACCAAGAGTTTATGCTGGTTATGTTTTTCTAACTGTATGTGTAGCTCCATCGCACGACGAATTGAGCGAAACACCAAAGGTATACATAACTCTGGGAGAAGTAAGTACATAAATTGCCCCCAAGTTAATTTGACGGGATATTAAATCTATACCAACTTCAGTGGAACAACGTCGGGTTGTGTTGGGTTGGATATACGCTAGGCATTTTTATAAGAAGCACCGCAAGATCAAAGGTCGCCGGCATCCTCATACAGGTCTGTGGATATTGAGAGATATAGAGTTTATGAAATGGTTCTCGGATACAGATTTCCAAATACTTTGGGGCCACGGTATTCGTAAGTATGAACATTATTCCTCGCAGTAAACCATTAATAACTAATAATTATTGGGATAGCCGGAGTGGGAAAGACATTTTTGAGGTATGAAATCACTCGATTCATAAACTTTGCAATTTGGAGGGTCCTGACAATTTTTATTTAGCTCTGTCGTAATTGACCACATTGAGGAACATCCACAACTGAAGGCGAGTCGTTATGGGCTAGCCTATATCTACTTTGACTTTAAAGAGCAAGATCAACAAACACCCATACTTGTTCTTGCAAGCCTGGTGAAGCAGCTCGCCAGTCAAATCCAATCTCTCCCTGCCGAAGTTGAAGATGTATACCATAGGCTTGAGCCAATGGGCAGGACTCCAAGCTTTGACGACTTATACGGGATGCTCCTTGCAACCAAAAATGCGTTTTCCAGGGTGTATCTTATTTTTGATGCCCTAGATGAGTGTGTCCAAGAAGATCAAAGAGAGGAGATACTTTTCTTATGCCATCGCATGGCAGGGGACGGAATGAAGTTATTTGTGACTAGTCGACCGCACACACCAAACATCCAGGATTCGTTCAAGTACGTGGCCAAGATAAAGCTCGAAGCCGAGAAGGAAGACATCGAAAGCTATGTGAAACAAAAAATTAATGAGAATCTAACATCAATACGCTTTGTCTCGAGGGTAAAAAATAATGTTATATCCGATCTAGTTAAATGCTCTCGAGGAATGCAAGTATTATTACATAACATATTGCAAACTGCAGTCTCTTATTCTGACCGAACTCGATAGATTCCTACTTGCGCGATTTAATGTCGAATACATCTGTCAACAGACTAGCGTAGAAAACATTCTGGACGCGGTGGACTGGGTGAGAGGTTCATGGTCTAAAAGTAGGCCTCTAAACGCTGCCTATGAGGGATTTATGAAAAGAATTCAACGATTAGAACAGACCCGTACAGATGTAGCACTCAAAGTTCTCACGTTGATTGTTACGGCCAGGCGGCCGTTGACAGTTATTGAGCTTCAAAACGAGGTTTTTGCGGATCCCAGACTCAGGAGGATAGGAGTACTAGATGAAAGAACACTCCTTGACGTCTGTGCCAACCTGGTATTCATTGATGATACTACTAGAAAGCACGTTCGTTTAATACACTATTCAGCACATGAATATCTTCTCGAATATCCTCTCCTCAAGATCGCATCCTCAAATATCGCTCCCTCAAATATCAGCTCCCCAAACACTACCCCTTATAATACTGGCCTCCCGGATATCACCCCTGTGAGAATTACCCCCCAACCACAAGGATATAGGACCTTCAGGCCTGGTGTTCAAGAATACTATAATAATTCGGAGTTTGACGCATTCGATGATTCGGACCTTGAAACAGAAACAACTCATGATTCGGGCATCGAAATACCCGACTCCCCAATATTTTCCTTCTCCCATGTCAACATCAACGCTGATCGTGTGCGTGAAGATGACGAAACCACCGTAACCACCGACATCGTATACAACCAGATGATTGAATGCGAAGAGGCCAAAAATCGCGCCGATGAAAACCTCAGGAAGCATAGAGAGCACCTTCACCGGAAAATAACAAAGAAACTGAAAAATGCAGAGCTACCAGACGGTGCAGACCCCACCGATGCTAGCAGTCACCTAAAGTCGTTCCTACGGGAGAAAGCTCGAGAATCAAAGGAGGGAGATCGTCAAAGACGAGAGCGAGAAACAAGAGAGAAAGAACAACAAGAGCGAGAGCAAAAAGCAAGGGAGAAAGAGCGTCAAGCGCGAGAGCGAGAAGCAAAGGAAAAAGAACGTCAAGAGCGAGAGCAAAAAGAAAAAGAAAAAGAACGTCAAGAGCGAGATCGAAAAATAAGGGAGAGAGAACAACAAGAGCGAGATCGACTAGCAAGGCAAAACGAACGTCAAGCACGAGAGCGAGATGCGAAGGAAAAAGAACGTCAAGAGCGAGAAAAAAAGGAAAAGGAACGTCAAGAGCGAGAGCGAAAAGCAAGGGAGGTAGAACAACAATTACGAGATCGAGCAGCACAAATGCGAGAACGAGTAGCAATGGAGAGAGAACGCCAGGAGCGAGAGCGACAAGCAAGAGAGAAAGAACGTCATGAGCGAGAGCAGGAAGCAAGAGAGAACGTACGTCTAGTTAGAGAGTTAGAAGCAAGAGAGAGAGCACGTCAAGAGCGAGAGCAGGAAGCAAGAGAGAACGTACGCCTAGTTAAAGAGCTAGAAGCAAGGGAAAGAGCACGTCGAGAGCGAGAGCAGGAAGAAAGAGAGAACGTACGTCTAGTTAGAGATCTAGAAGCAAGGGAGAGAGTACGTCGAGAGCGAGAGCGAGAAGAAAGAGAGAACGAACGCCGAGCTAGAGAGCAAGAAAAAAAGGTGCAAGATAACGCTAAAAAGGCTAGAAAGATTCAGAAGAAGCGTGGTTCGAGGGGTTAAGTATTTTCAAGGACCGATTTTTGCGAGTAGAACAGGTAGATAAAATGTTAATGAGAGGCGTTTTGTTTCAGGCGCTCGGAGAGGGAGGGAATTGGGGGGGATGCAATTATATGAGAACGAGTTCTCTATAATACCTCCTTTCCTAATTCAGGGCTTCATATGGGGAATACTAGAGGATGTGGCGATGAAAAGATCCACGAAGGAATTGTTTTTCCGCCTCCGATATATCTTTTCTCATACTTTGTGTTTAACCACTCATCTAGGAGGCCCGGCTATGACTTTGGTATATTTGTGGGTGTAAAATCTCAGTCGTGACCATAGATTCTTTTGTTATTACTCTCTTTAATATTTCCTTTATATTTCACTAGTACTTTGTTCTTTATACATTTAGTTCTGCGAAAATATATATGTATGTGCCTCGTTTCTCAAGTTATATAAAATTCAGCCAGGCGGTACTGTTTCCTCAACTTCCATGTAGTATCTGATCTACATGTTATGCATCATATCACTATCAAGAAAAGGGTCGCAATATAATACACACAATTAATAGCACTCACTACTCGGCGGAGAAAACTCTTTGAATACAGTATCTCTGAATCACGGGACTAACTCAAAACTCCACGTGTTTTTTTCTCATTTCTTGAGCTACTACGTTTTATTTACATCCATATCTTCCTCCTCGAGCCCCTCCAATATGCTTGCTTCTTATCTTATTTGTGTAGGTGTAGCTGGAGGACGACAGCCAACATCATACTATTCCAACCCTCCAACCGGCAACCCACCTACCTATTGAATAGGGTTATGAATATGCAACTTGACCTGTGCCCACATCGGTATATATCACTACGACAGTGTAGCCAGCCGTCAGTATAGGACAAAACAGAAGAGAGGAAGCAGGTACGGTAATAACCGGAGACATAAGCCTATCCTTCCGGCCAGGTTTGCTCCAAGCGTATCCAACCCGAATTCCTCCAGCGATGTGCATGTGAGGGATCGATGGGATGGCTGTTCATTCTGGGCTATACGAGATGGTCGGTACAAGTATTCTTCTTAACGGGAGAGGAGGGTGTGTTTGGGTTCATACATATGTTTCGAATTGCACCCCCGGCACCAATACCGCTGCTCGATGTGAGGTGCAGGTGCTTTTCTTCAATCCTCTATATTCAGATGGAGCTCATCCTACCAGGATCGCTGCTGGCCCAGTGAAGCGGAAGGTCCAGACACAGTAATAAAGAGAGTTGTCCCAAGGGCTTTTGCGGCTCTGTCTATTCACTCGCCCGATGGTTAGTTCTGGAGTAGTTTGATTCGGAGAGAAAGTGGTACTAACGTGTTTGTATATCCATCTCCCTGGATCACTTCCCATACTCTCCAAGGAATGCCTGAGTCCCAAATATGATGGAACTACATACATGTAGCTATGGCAGTCCAGAGATGTCTGAATAATAGTACTCGTTCTCTGGAGCTCTGCCACTAAGTTTCCGTTAGTATTCATCTTATATTCCAGCTCAGGAGGTCGGGGGTACCTTACTTTCTCTGCAGTTCTCAGAGGTGGTGCAACTCTGGGAGATACAGAAAGAATTGATGTTCACGGTCCAGATATTGGAGTCTAGTTCTAGAATCTAGCACTCATCAATCGTTTGAAGGATAGATGCCCATAGTCCAGATATCGGCAGGTGGAGTCTATCTCCGAGGGCTGCGATTTGAAGAAATGATATTCAGGGTATGCAGTAAACAGGCGATACGTACATGCCTTAGAGCTGCCCCTGCTTGACGAAGTACCAGGATGATCGGGGGAGAGAAGACTACATGTAAGTTTTTCAAGGTTCCCCGTACAAGCTTCAGCGGCCGCGGCAACCCTGTCCCGTTCTGTCGATCAGTAATTTAAACTTCTACCTGTCAACGTGCAACGGAACCCCGTACTGATAGTGCAGCGGGCTTATGGTGTGATTGTATGCACATATGACAGAAGATACATATATATATGTACTTATCTACCAAGGTACTCTACTGTGGATACCTACTATGTGCCTCTATGCAGTATCATAGGGTACTCTATATCGAAGCTGCCTAATTGAAAGCTTCGATATATAGTCAACAATTGCACTTAACAGGCACTGCATTTATATGTGAACCTACGTGCAGAATCAAATCTCAGTGGTGATAAATATAGCTCCCACCTGTCGACCTTCCACGTTTTATCCGTACAATATCCTCACACCGCTCCGCTGTACTCTAAAAGAACACACCACCTCGTTTAATGGGCGTCTACGCGCCTAAACCGGCAAAAAATGCATCCCGACGGCACGGCAAAGCTCATCGCCGACACTACTCGGACAAATTCAAACATTAGCCGGCGGGGGCGGGGCTCACATCGCACACCACGCACTACACGTGGGAGATCTAGATGGCCAAGGGAAATCTTATCTTGTGCACCCTCCCATACCATACATGCCATACGTTACCGCTCCATGCAGGGCAATTAATATAATCCACGAGTGAATAAATGAAAATATGTGCTGATGTCACTGTACATAACTAACTAATCCTCTACATACCAAAGTAAGATACAAAGCCTGTGTGGGGAAACAACGACCGCATTCCTGATTTTTTTTTATTGCTCTCCGATAGCGAGTGGAAGGTGTGTAGTGCAATGCTTTACCCATGTTTTCGGTGCGGGAGCACACACAATCACTCGTTCGCCGGTTATCTCGGATATGAGCGGCCCACAACCCCTCACTCGCACGGACCATCCGTTTGTGCCCGAAGAGGGAGACAAGAAAAAGGAACGAAAACGATAACAAACATTGGCAGAAGAGGGGGTGAGGGATGGAGAAATCTCTTTTTCTGTTCGAGAAGAGCGAAATGGATGAGTCACGTGGTATCACTCGAGGAAGCTTGACAAAGAGAGCTCATGAGAAGTCATTATTAGCAGTACCTAGAAATCTAAATAATTGTTACAGTGTTGACTTCCCTATCGTACCGGTCTCCTGTCTATAACATATGCCTAACCTCCGTCTCCTTGATTGTCATCTCGCCCACCAACTCACTCACCACTCCCGCAAGCTCCCTCCCTTCCGGGACCTCGTCATGAAGGCCTCGTGCCCTCACAAGCCTTACCCTCTGCCCCTTCCCCCCCCTCCCCCTCGTTCCCTCGATTCGTGCCCTCCATGCCAGCGACTGCCGCCACGACAGCAACTCATCGTCATCCGAGTGTACCAGCACTGTCCTTCCTCTGTATCCCGTACATCCTTCCCACCCTGGCGACGCCGCACTCCATTTCTCCCGCTCTCCAAACGCGCCCTCAACAAACCCAGCGTACCCTGGGTACTCGTCGACTAGTCCCACAAGGTCATAGATACCCTCGACACCCACAACAGCCGCTGGCCATAGCCCCGCGGCCCCCAGCTGCGGCAGAACTTGGAAGACTAGTGTTGCGCCGGCGCTGTGGCCCACGAGAACTACACGGTTAGGGGCCACCCCGTAGTTGTCGCGCAGGTAGAGGATTCCAGAGAGGACGTCGTTGAGGTGGTCGGGGTGGCGGGCGGCGGCTTGAGGTTGGTCGGGGTGCGGTGAGAGGCGGTAGTTTAGTGTTGCGGCGTTGAGGGTAGGGTGCGTGAGGAGGATGTGGTGCAGGAGCGGGTGTGCTGTAGATTTTGTAATCAGGGGGTCGCGCCAGGCGCCTCCGTGGATGTAGCTAGCGAAGTATTAGTATGAGATTTGTGGAGAGAGGGGATGAGAGGAGCAACATTAGCCAGGGTGCAGCGGGGGAGGAGTTCTGGTGGCAGACATCCAGGGTTTGGAGGGGGTGGGGGCCATATGGGACGTTGGTGCGGACGGAGGACATTGCTATGATGATTTTAGGGTGCCTCTCTTTATTCTTGTGGGCTTTTTGGTGCTTTTCTTGTTGTGGTTGGCGAAAGGTTTTGTACTGGGAGTGGTTGGGTTTTTATGATAGTTATGAATTGTTGTCACGCAGAGTAGAGTTTTATGCATATAGGTCATTAGCTATATGTTATCGGCAGAAGCCGCATTGGGTCGCAGGAATGATATTGATTAGACATCTGGAACCCTTGCCAAGGTCAAGCCCGCCACGTGGGGGGTAAGTGGGGTGGGTGGGGTGGTGATGTCATTTAGGTTTGATTGACAAAGACTTCGATTTGCAACTAAATCTAAATATGTATAACGGTGCGGTGAGTCTACTCTAGACTGCGTGGACAGGTCGCATGTATATGCCGAGAATCCTCCAATAATTCAATTCCTGGCTTGATGAGCGGCTTCATGCCTACCAGCTATCAACTTGTGCAATCCCGAAGAGGTTGCCATCCTTTGACACCATAACTGACGGTAAATATAACGGTTATGGATAATAGACAGCTGCAGTACTCAAGAACCAATTGTCCAGCCTATCTAGCTCGTTGCCCCAAGATAAGAAGAGTTTCGGTTCCCGACCATGGGATATCATGAAAATCCTATCTGGACAAGAACCTTATATAAAGAGGCCCGTTACCGTTTCCAGGCCAGTCGGTAACCATGCTGCAGAAAAGATCGATTCACCCGTCCGCGTGTCATGCAATGAGAACGGTACATATGCAGCCTCGGCCCGTTTGAGAATGTCAGTGGTTTACTAACACTGCAGGCAGGTATTCTCCCTTGCTTTAGAAGTGAGCATCGATTTAAACATTTTCAATCCGTTGTTTGGGCACACCCGCGCCTCAGATGATCACTAGTATGGGTACACCAGGCTCGGAAGCAATTATTCCTAAGTTACCCTCCACTCTCCGATACTTTTGAAGTCTGGAAGAATTTGAGTACAGTTTGAATTATTTAGCTATCCCGTAAACCGTCAACGCTGACACCCCTCTTGTGAAACAAAAGGTCACAGCAAAATCGAGTAAGAGATCAGCAAAACTATCAGAAACTATTGGCTCTAGCCACGTCTTGGCCTTGTGAAAAAGGCGTCAGCATTGTCTCGACGGTTTATGGGATATGTGACGTTGATCCAATTGGCCAAGGCATAAATACCCCGCAGCCTTCATCAGCCGGTTGGCTGGTGGGTGTTATCGTGTCTTTAAGATTTCTAACTATGTTGTGTGTGGTACGGAGCCTATAATCGGTATATTTATCGTCATAGATGATACAAAAGAGCACATGCAGTGCTCCAGAAAGCAAGCACCCGTCTTCAAATTCCCCGACCTGCACTTCACGGGTTATACGCCCAGGAATTCAGGTCCGTGGACTGGTGTGCTTCCGGCTGCTGGCGGTTGCAGTGGAGGAGATCCCATATAATCTACCGCCATAATACATGTAGTGATTAGAGAAAATAAATGTAGAGAAGTGTAGTAATTGAGCGTGTTATTCCAACTAACTAGAGGAAGGAATGCCCCGTATTTATACTAAAGAAAGGTAACACAAAACATAGTGAATCATAGACGTATGAGTAATAGAAAAACATGACTAATAAATACCAGAGAGAGAAAGAGTCAGAACCCGTGACTCATGATGACAAATGAGAATCCTCCAATACTATGAAATGTGCCGAGCGTACTATTTCAAGAGTGATGATAGTAGTGCTGTACTATAGAGGGTGCAGGCTCTGGCCTGCGGTAGTGATGCTTCATTGTCAGAGTCCCAGTGGTAATAACGGCCTTTGTACACCCGCAGGAAAAAAGTGAGGAAACAACGAGTGCAACCAATCAGAACCCTAATGAAAAAGTGAAAATGGAAACGAATAGAAGTAATATGACTACACAATGAGATACAGAATAGATACTACGGCCTCTGAACTATATTTACCACTTTTTATGACTTCCCTTGTTCTTTACTACTGCTGCAATTCTCTTTGGTATGCTGTCAATGATTTTATATACATTTTCCCAATCTAGCCTTTCCCACTCTTCCCTAGCTTGGGCTTCAATAACTTTTATGTTTTCATTAAGAGTAGCCTCTCTTCACTTTCCGGACTTGTCAAAAGGCATGGCTAGGGAATACTCGTGAGACTGTATTGCGGGTGTGGGGATGTCAAGTTAGACGCACTCGTTGTCACGCTACTCATTGTTTCCTCACTTTTTTCCTGCGGTTGTACATAGAATGATGACACGTCTAGTTAAACTAGACTGGAGATACCTTGAGCAAGCCCATTTTACTGCTACAGTTTATAGGTCGGATAGCAGCAACGGGCGTCCATGTAGCTGTTGTAGAAAATGTCCCTCAGAGATAAAAAATGAAAAACGGACGATTGAACCGAGATGTTGCTTCAGCTAATTGTGGTGGTAGTGGGGGGTCGAACACCATCAACTTGCGGCTCCTACTAGTTGTCAGGGTTAGGGGAAGAAACCCTGCGGGTTAAGCTTTCGTCGCGTCCCCCACTGATCATCCAAAACCCACCAACTTCTCGCGCGTTATTGCTATCTCAACTACAAAAAATCAGCTCCATCAAGGACGCTTAAACTAACAATCATCAGCTCTCAGCAATGTTCTCCTTCTTGTGAGCTCTCCCTGTGGCTGGCTGCATAAGATTCCTGCAGCACGAAAAGCGCTCCTATCACGTTGGTCGGTTTCAGATGGCAACGCATCGTGCAGGTAGTCACTTCGAAAACTGCATATCAGGAGGGTCATATTATTAGGACAGGACGGAACATGGCTTCGCTTGCTACTTTAACTGCGCGGGGAACACCCCGGAGAAGACTACTGTCCCTTCCATATGGCTGCTACACAATCTAGCAAGCTTAAAAGAACAGGCAGGTCCAGATTAACGCAAGGTCTTTTAAAGGAGCACTAGATCTCCGGGCCATCAACACCTCCTGGGACTATGGTTTTGGAGTTCTTGAGCCAACAGAATTCCGGCTGTGCGAGTTCGCTATCTCGAGTTATACTTCAAGCGGGTGTTTTAAGGCATGAATGGGCGTACACGCCTGATGGCTTGAAAGGCTAGGAGTATATATCCGCCAAGGCTCACGGTACTCCACAGCACACCCTGAAGTTTTTGTCACACTAGCGAACGAGACCCTGAGATATCTAAAATTCTTTTTAAACAGATACAAACAGGCTGCTATCCCTTGGATGTATGAGACAGTGGGAAAATCTCTCTCATGCATGAACGTCATGTGACCTTGAATTTGGGTGAGAAAACGTCCGGGTAAGCAGCTTTCTGCCTTTGTCGGTCTTGGGAATACTTAACGGTGCCATAAAGTTCGCAGTTCGCTGCCTTACTTCAGTCAATCATTTCCTGGATAAGCCACGCTAATGCATGAGAGAGATTTTCCCACTGTCCCATACATCCAAGGGATAGAGAGGAATTCTATCGTGGATACAAGAACTCCCTCGAATTCTACACCCAGTCGCTACGAGGTTAATTGGGGGTTGCCAAGCCTCGGGTCTTTCGAGTGATAACATATGATACGACCATCAACTATTCCCAATAGGGTATTTCAATATATGTTACTAAGCCATGAAAGAAGTCTCCAAATTTAAGCGAAGGAGAGCGAGCCGGAAGACTCCGCGCACAAGCTACGAGTACTTATGACGAACGCCGGTTGCGAGAGGTGTAACTGTGGTCGAAAATGTTCCTTCGTGAGTCAGTTGTATAAACGCTAGCAAGATAAGATAAAACTGACGGAATAGGTGTAGGTTGATTAATTTATAAAGATTCCAGCCGGGCCGATATGTAGTTGCCCCCGCTGAACGAAGAGATATCAACAAGAAAGATCCAGAGGACAAGTCAAATGACGATGATTTCCGCTTGGTGTTGAGCATTGACGCTGTGGTGGGAATCACTGCATAAAGTTGCGTAGGTAGTCGGTTGTAAGGGAAGAGGGGCAAAAATATGAAGGCAACCGACTATGTAGTACCAAAGACGCAAAGTCTCCGGGTCTCGAGACCCATAACAGGCCCTCCCACTATGATCTCACAAAATTGTGGAGAGTACGAACAAACTACAGCATGAGTGGGTGCGAAAAGAGATCACAGACTCTGATTGTAAGAAATGTTGTTCCAGGCCGTTCAGGGACTGGAGTACTTATTAACCTCAGTCGAGTAGACGAGGTCGAGTAGACGAGGTCGAGTAGACGAGGTCGAGGCAGCAAGATCTCTCCTTCTAGACAATTGTTTCGGAGCCTCGATAATTTGAACCTATTCTTAGAAATTACAACAAAACCGACTTTTTACGAGGCGATATTTCGACATATCTTCCTTTCCGAGTGATAGTGCATGACGCCAATCATGCCTAAACAGGTTGCACGTAGTATTTCTACTCTACCTACTATTAATAGAGTGTTTTGGCCAAAGATTTCGGAGATCGGGTGTAGCTAAAACACTCTAATAAGCTTACCATCTCAGAAACTTTGACTTACGGCCGCCCCACGGAGCCGAGCCCAATTCAAAATGGCATCGTCTTACCTCGCGCTCAGGGTATTTGGTTCTGGTCAAACTACATGTATCGATATTCCCCACTGTTTCACTCGCATCCCATCCTCCATCCCTTTTTTCTTTCAGAAAGAGGGGTGGAGGGGTGGGGTGGCTTGTCGTACCAGTGGTGAGCAATACTCCTGGATTTAGAACTTCCGGGTCCTGTGACGAGCACTTTTCCACTCCATAATTCTATTCATGCGTCCCCTCCTCTTACTGGGTAGTGTTCATACATAAGTCTAGCAGTGAGTGAGAAGTGGGGCCGGTACATATTGGGTTGTTCTCACGACGGCTTCTAGAGCCTGATCACTCACACTATTTTCCCAAACCCATAGGCCACATGGTGGGCGATACCGCGCCCTTGAATTTGGCCCATTTGGCCCTCCAAGGCGAGAACTGTGCTGGATAAATTAGGTTTAACTCGCTAGCTGATTGCAATACCCGGAGGTGACGTACCTACATGAACAAAACACCCCCGGGTTGCAAGCGAGCCCGAGTGAGGCGTCATGAGCCAAACGGACGCCAACGAGTAAATAAATATCCGCACCTGGCATAGTGCACACATTACCAAACCCAAAAAACCAAAATACCAACTCCGCTGCTGACTGTTCTAAGCAACGACAACATGCTAACGTCTTCTGCTGCATCAGATACTCATCTCCCCATAACTCTCGCCTTCTTCTTTTTCTTTGTCGATGACATTGTCTCCGGTGCGGAGGCGAGAGATCATGAAAATAATCACGCCGTGGCATCTATCATGGAATTTACAGTACGAATATTTAATGCCTCGTTCGATCGCTCCAGGGGCCAAGAACATCAAAGACGGCAGCATGCTATCTACGAAGTACAGTTTGGCTAGCTTCACTTGCTTCCACTTGAGTCAGTTAGAACTAGAACTCCCTCTATGGACTATTCGGTCACGATGATTTCTCCTCGCTTTTTATTCCCGCCCAAATCGAGGAGGGACGCAGACACGCCCCGTAGTCCAACCACGTAATGTCTACTTAATCATCGAATCTATCCAATTCCACGTCAGTTGCCCCTTCATCCCCACATGTCTATAAATCCTGGACTTTCCTTGTACGAATACACCCGTTTTTCTCTTCCCACAGCTCTCCAAAAACCCCCAACCAGTAGACCTCGCTGACTGAAAGAGAAAAGCCGTCAACCATAAAGCCTACAAAACTCGACTACTCTCCTTCACAGTTAGCTTCGGTCTTTTTTCCTCACACACTGACATTCACTCTTGCGAATGTCCCATCACCCCAAAAAGGTCTCAGAAAAGCTCTCCACTCTCCCGTGCACGTACCCACTTGAAACCATGGAGACCCTCGTCCCCCGTGATCCAACCATCACCACCATCACCACCTCCGTTCCAATCTCCTCCCCTACCTCCCTCTCTCCCGTTGATGACGACCACGTCAGGCCCAACCCCCGCTCTCCTAGCTTCTCTACCGATTTTCTTGAGCGGAACGCCGGGACAGACCTGCACCAGAGCCAGCCGCTCCGCGTCCATTCCCTTGTCCGCAAGCTCGGCAGTGCAGCCCTTGCCCAGAGCTCTGATGACGGGCACAGCTCTCGGTCAGTTGCCGGAAGCTCCGCGGCCCCCGATACCCCATTCGCCCTGCGCCCGGGTATTCTAGACCTCTCCGAAGACGAGGGTGAGCACGAGCCCGAGCCGCAGCAAGAGGTAGTTGTCACCGATGATGCCACTGATGGTCTCTCGGAGGTCGCCTCCGCAGTATCAGTCACTCCACCCACTGCGAAGATTCCAAAGAAGAGCACCTCCGCCTCCATCTTTGGTCCAAGTTCCTCTACCGCGGCCTACAGACCCGCATCCGCATCCGCGTCGGCATCGGCATCGGCATCGGCATCGGCATCGGCATCTGCATCTGCATCTGCATCTGTATCTGCATCCGCATCCGCATCCGCATCTACCCCGGTTGCCGCAGCTCAAGAGCCCGTTGTCCCAGCCCCCGATGCATCTGCGGCAATTGGGACAATGCCCGCCTTCCCACGCGGTATCGGCCCTGCCCCCGGTGAGACTGGGTTCAGCAGCAGCAGCACTAGGAACAAGCCCAAAACCAAGAAGTTCAATTTTATACGGCTTTTCAGGATCATGCCTGCGGCACCCCCTGATGCACCCGCTGCGATGTCGGCTGCTGAGAAGCGTGCCTTAGCCGCGAGGGAGCGTGAAGCCCGCATCAAGGAGGCCGAGGCTGAGAAAAGGAAGAAGGCCGCGACACCAACTGACATCGCGCCGTCAAAGAATCCCGCTGTCATCAGGAGCTTGAAGGAGGAGCTCTTGGGGAGGAAGAAGTCCCATTTGAGGGAGGCGAAGACTGAGTTGACCCTTGCCCAGAAGGACGTCGACTTGTTGATGGAGAGCATTGAGGAGTTGGAGGAGGAGCTTTCTGCTTCTGCTCCTGCTACTGCTTGAACGGTGTCGTAGTTGTGGATGGCGGGAGTGCCTATTCCTGGTGAATGGGGCTTTATATATAAGTTCTAAGTTCGTGTTATTACATGAACACTAATCAAACTAATGTCGATCGCGGTGGTGGGGAAGTATCGTTTCTTTATGCCGAGCTTTTTTCTTTTTTCTTTTTTCTTTTCATTTGCGGGGATACACTTTTTGTTATATCTTGTCAACTGCCTACCTTGCTTGTAGTGTATACACAGCGCCATTTAGCACAGTTTATGTATGGTCTGTGTATGATGCGGATATGCGGCGGGGTTTGAATATCCTTTACTATCTTTTAGCTTCCTGTTTTTCCCTTTTACCCTCTTTGGGAAAGATTGTTGTTCTCTTTATATGGTGCGTCTGACAGTTAGATAGGTAGATCTAGATGTGGTGGTGGATTTTTACTAGTGTGGACTATAATTGTGTATTAGGCGGCGATAAGCATGGAAATAAATACTGCAATTGCTTATTACGTTTATTTCCTACTGCTGGATTGAGCGGTGAAAATATAGTATTGGTGAGTTTGTTTCGATTGCACGACGATATTAACGAAAAAATAAAATGCAAACCACGATTCTCTCCCTACATCACACTGGGCAAACTTGGAATCTACGGGATCTACGTAGAGTGGATCATGAGACATCACTCGGTCTTGGCTACTCATGGCTTGGGTGTGGTATTGGACGACCGGGAAGTGCCAGATTACCAGACGTTGCAGAAATGGGGTCGTGTTGCTTGTTATTACGATCTATGGATGGCTTTAGAGATGGGATGGAAGCCTGCACACTCCTCACTCGCTCACCGCATCGCTCACTTTACTCATGCAAATTCGCAAATACTCCCGGTCGTTACACCACGAGCGAGTGTATCATGGGTCTGACGACTGACGGAACGTGGAAAACGGGACGTAGGAAATAGAATGTAAGGTGTTGGATTTAGGTTTATTACACTCGGGCGTACACAGTACTCTTTAAGCTTTCCGTGGAGCATGAGATATCTAGCTACATGTATCTTCTACTATTATTGCTATGTATGTATCTGCCCAACGACTGCTGCACTAAAGTCCAGTCGTATCTAGATCTACTACACTACTACTTGTCCGGTATAGTATTGAGCACAATCCTGGCCTGAAGCTCGATCTGGCCCGGATTATGGAGCTCAGGAGCTATATAGGCTCGGTCCTCAAGCTTCCATTATTATACCTGGGGGACAACGGATTTCATTTTTAAAGAGGGATTTTGGGGATCAATCTTGGTTGTCTTATCCTATCTCGCCATTATCAATTGCAACCCATTCCTAATAATTTATAAGGCTCGAGCTGGCTTGGGCAGCTCGTGGGGGTTGGGGGGTGTTCGGGGTGTTCGAGCCGAAAGTTCGAACTCAAGGCTCGTGCCCAACACTAAGCCGATAACATAGCCCATGAGCCAGCTCAAGCTTCTAGAGCTTACACTCGGCCTTACTTACCTGCAGCCAACTTCTCAATCGGATGCAGAGAGGCTGGGGATATAGCTCACAGGAGCGCCGCCAAAGAGCTATAGGCGGTCACGGTAAGCCAAAAAGAGCCATTCTTTTCATCCCCTCCTCGCAGCAGCCAGAAGACGACGAAAAAAACGGCCCCTAGTGAAGGGGCCAGGAGGAAGCCAAAGGGAGGGGGAGGGGGGACAACGAGAACAACAGGCACGGGGGGAAGGACTCCATGTAGTGATGGGCACGAGCCGAGCAGGCTCGAGCTCTCTTACCCACGAGCACACACCTAAAAGCTCCAGCCTAGGCTCAAACAACTCGAGCCTTTACCTCCAGCTCGAGTTCTTGGCCAGGCTCGTTCCCATCACTGATAGGGCGTAAAACGGAGGACGGGGAGCCGGAGGGGACGAAGAAGCCGAAGATAGGAACCAAATTTCTTTCACCGCCCCCTCGCAGCAGCCAGAAGGAGATGAAAAGCCGAAGGGGGCAGAAGAGAGCCAAAGGAACGAGGGAGAGAGCCAGCGAGAACCAAAAAAAGAGCCAAAAAGAAACAAGAGGGAGCCAAAGCCAAAGAACCAACACGAACCAAAGAGCCAAACCCAAAGAGCAAACGAAACCCAGCGAGAGCCAAAAAAACCCAAAAGAACCCCGAAGCCGAAAGAAAAAAGCCAAAAGGAAACCCCACAAACCAAAAAACCGAAAGAGAGAAAAAACCAAAACGCCCAAGATCCCAAAAAGCCAAAGAACCCAAAAAAAAAGCCAAACCCAAAAAAGAAGCCAAAACCCCAAAAAAGAAAGCCAAAAGGAACCAATTTTTTCATCACCCCCTCGCAGCAGCCAGGAAGACAATGAAAAAACGAAGCTGCCGAAGCACCCCTGAAAAAAAGGGCCACCCAGGGGACCCTTTGTTTTCAAGAGCCCATATACCTATTTCAATACCATTTTGAGCACCGACTAATTGAAACCCCCCACCAATCCCTCCCTGGAGGAGGAGGAAAGGATGAAGGATCCCAACTAGCAAGGCTAGGCAGGGGATGGGCTCTAAAGAGAAAGGAAGGGAGGTGAGGGGGAGACGGGCCTTATATAAGATTAGGATATTTTTTTTGACCGATGGCAAGATGAAGTGCCAAGGATTGAATGTGGGAGAGGGAGAGGGCTTAGGGTGTGGAGGTAGGCGTACGCGTACGTGTAGGTGGGCTGCGTTAGGAGGAGAGCGGGAGATACATAAATGCATGCGTTACATATATGTACTTTCGTGGATTGACACGGATGGAAGAGGCAACGAGTGATTCTGCTCGCAGGCCCCCAGAGCTCTGCTGGAAATACATCACTCGATACCTTTCATGATACCTCTCCATCAAGATATCCACCACCAACACTTTCCCTCCATCTCTCCAATGTCTTTACTCCAAGGCACTCATCCCCAATACCTCCCCATCCCAAGTCTTCCGCTCTGTGGCCGAATCCCCAACCATGCACAACACAAAACCTCCCGCGAGCAGAGACACAACCCCCCACCACCAACCACACGTACATGTAGGTTCTCCGCACCACCGCTAGCAACAGCCACCAGCTATTAGACGTTGAACCGCTGTAGTTGATAAAGGAATGCGTAGCTATAAGGAGATAGATGATTGATAGATTGGACGAAGGTACAGAACATCTAGAGAGCACAGTCAGTCACAACATGTATTCCACCCAACCCCATTCTACCCGCTCCAAATACTCGCCTACAGAGCACAAACATCACCGCACATACCCCACTACCACTATTTTACAATTAATAAAGTAATCAATCAATCAGTCACCACCACTGTTTGATTCCGCCTCTGCTCACATGACCGAGTGATAACTCATGACCGCCTCCGCCGCCCTCCCCGCCGCATACCGACCTGACACCATGAAATACTATCACCACATGTAGCATCCCCTATACTAGAAGACCACTATACCTGAAGCTGTGGTCAGGAAAATGGGGGACCAACACTGGCACCCACCACAGGTTCGGCGTCTATTTAAGGTTCTTTCCGCAACCGTAGGACGAATTTATACTTCTCCTGCTGTCTCGTGCCCAGCCTCATCCGTAAGTAAGGTTCGTGCCTTTCATTTGCTACAATGTCTCAGGCTAGCTGTTGGTGATCGAGGTCTTGCTATCTGGCGCCTGGAGGATGTAGGAAGATGAGAGTGGTGATGATTGCGTATTGGATTAAACTTTATAGGGTCTCAAAACTAACATATATGCTGCACCAATTACAACCACGTAGCCGTTGTAACATGTGTTAGCTCCTATTCCGCTAACCTTCCCGGAAAGTTACAGCCAACCACGAGAAGGCTGGGGGACGCAGCCTCTACTGTGCCCCAGGGGTCCCTGACTCAGAAACACTCAGCAGCACCCAAATTTCACATAATACAACGTCTGGATAAGATATATACGCATGATATACGCAGTCTCTGCGATAGAGTATTCGCTTTTTGAGACTTTCCGACAAACAATGGTGATTAAAGAACAAGCAACAGCTATCCATGGTGACTCTTGCCAATACTGTGATCTCCACCTTGTAGATTAGCATAAATACACTTGGCATCTTGGTGGCTAGTTTCGGTGTTGAGAAATGTGGATTGTATGGTCGTTGCATCACGTAAAGGAGTGAGGGACCTCTGGGTATATATCACTCTTCACTCTTCGCACCTCCCGCACTTCATAATTCCAAAATCCACTCGTAAATTAACTACCTATCCCCACTCCCCATCCCGCCCTCCCCCCTTTTCCCCACCCCTCCCCGCCATCCCAAGCCCACTAATCCCCCGCTCGATCCCAGCACCCCTATCCTCCCTATATAAAAGAAAAAGAAAAAGAAAAAGAAGAAAACCAGCTACAGCCCAACGAGGCAAAAGATAGAAGAAAAAGAATAATAATAATAAAAGAGTGTCAAGAATCGAAGTAAACAGAATGAGTGTAAGTGTAATCACGAATAAAGAAAAGAAAAAGAAGAATAGACATAAAGAAAAGAGTCAGAAAAAAGCCACAAAGCCCGCTAGCTCGCTGTCAGATGGTCAATACGATGAAGATATGAAAAGAATATAAGAGAAGTGAAAAAGAAAGAGGCTTATCAACAGCAGAAGTGAAGAATACAACGAAAGAAGAGATGGGGAGGGGGTATCAGCCTATACATGTCCTCCCGTGTAGGTACATAAAGGTAAGCGGCTTCTATCAAACAACTACATAACTATACTTACATACAAGAAAGACGCCCCGAAGCTATTCATACCATATCGATATCCCGCAAGTAAGAAAAAGAACTAAACCCACCCCATTTTCCACCCCAAATGCTTTCCCTACTGCCTCAGATTCAACCAGCTAAGATTATCCACATCCTGCCCTGGCTGCGGATCCCCCGCCTTGTTCACCGCCAAAGCCCTAACCTGCAACCTTGGACTATCCGGATACACACTGCTCGCGACCGGCCCCCTCCCCGCCGGCGCCGGTGGATACAGCCCTGGGCTATCCGGATACACACTACTCGCCACCATCGCTCTGCCAGGCGGATACAGCCCGGGACTATCCGGATACAAGCTACTGGTAACCTGTCCCCGCGCTTCGCACCCCTTCCCGCCGACCGGGCTCCATCCGCCGGGCCCATTGCACTCATGGTCGACCAGACTCTCCGGCACGCCGCTCGAATACTCACTCGCGCCCATCGACGACACCGACGCGCCACTGCTCCTGCGCTGGCCGGATGGCGAACTGACGCCCACGCCCGGATCCTGCAGCATCAATCCTTTCGACCCCGATCTCTGGAGGCTGCTAGATCCGCTGGCTTCGTGGTACGACATGACGCCCGAGGAAGGGGTGGCCAGGCCGCTTGCGGCCACGCCAACGCCCGGGCTGCGCAGGAACGGGTTCGGGTGGATCTGGCCCTCGCGGACGGGGGCGGCGCTCTTGAGTGTCGGGAAGGAGATGGAGAGGTCAGTGTATGTTGACGAGTGTGCCGAGTGCGCGTACGAGCGCTGCGGCATGGCGAGCTCGTTGCCCGAGAAGTACTTGCTCCAGCCAGAGCTGCGGGCGGGCATGTTTGGGTCGCCGGAGGGGAGGGCGGATGCGTGGTTTGATGAGATAACGCCCTGGCCGCCGATGGCGGTCACGATGGGCCCGTCGCGGGAGAAGGGCGGTTTTTCGATGTCTTTGGAGGCCCAGCTGTCGATTGCGGGGCGGGGGAAGCGCGGTGGGAGCGGGGCGGTGTCGGGATCTTCTTGCATGTAAGAGGTCCCGCGGTCTTGGAAGCTCATGCGGCGGGCGCCGCCGAGTTTGGCGTTTTTCTGCTTGCGGCGGCGTTTTATGAGGACCAGTGCGATGCCGAGGGCGGCGATGATGCCGAGGATGACGCCGAGGACGATGAATAGGATCTGGACTGTTGACAGCCCGGTGGAGTCTGAGCTCGCTGCAATTGTTGTGGTCGAGGATTCGGTGGTGGACGTGCCGGTGGGCAGCGGGGAGGTGCTTGTAGAGGAGGTACTCGGGTTGGCCGAGAAAGTCGAGATGGACTTCTCGTTCTCGTCGCTGGTGACGCCAAAGAGCTCCGTCGTGTTCTTCCACGAGTTTGTGCGGGCGTCAAAGACGGCGAGCGGGTACGAGTCGTCGGCCGGGCTGATCACCACCATGTCCCCCTCATACGCCACCGACACGCCATCCATCGTCAGCGTCGGCGCCAGCGTATCATTATAGCTCGGCCAATTCGACGCCGTCAGCGCGGACGCGGCGGCCGACGTCTCCTGCCTCCCCCGCACCCTCGTCGCCGCATCCGCCTCCTTCACCAGCAACTGCGTGACCCCCGTCGGCCCCGTCGTCAGGTCAAACGTATACAGCATCCTACTCCCATCATCGCCATTCATCAGACTCACGCCCGCCTTCCCCTTCGCCGGCAGGCCCGACGCCAAGCTCATTTCCAGCGCCGCCCACCCGCTCCCCGGCGTGAACGTCCGCAGCCCCCTATTATTCTCGTCACCGCCGACAATAAGCGCGGCGCCATCGCCCCATGGTAGTACCAGCGGGGCAAGCAGCGGATCGGCGGCGGGGATAGATGTGATTTCGTGTGGTGCGGCGGTTGCGATGAGGTATGTGTTTGCGGAGGGCGTCTGTGTGTCTGGCCATGTGGTGCCCGAGAAGACGATGATCTGCTGGCTTGTTTCCAGGAACGTAGCGCCATGATTTGTCAAATTATACGTGACAGCCACAGGGAGCCCTATTGTCTCCCACTTCTTGTCGTTGAAGAGGTAGCGCTGCAAGCCCATGAAGCCGTTTGCAGGGATCGCGGAGGCATTGGAGGTTGTGCCGCCGACAATGTAGAGTGCTTCTTGCGCGGTGTTTTTGTGTGCGTGGACGCACTCGGAGCCGACTGTGTTGATGTTTGTGGGGAGTGTCTGCCATTCGGCGCCGCTGGTGAGGGAGATGGATTGGAAGGCGGTGGAGGAGTAGGCGTAGAGGGTGTCGTTGAAGATTGTCGAACAGTGGGTGCCGAGTTGGGTTTCGGGCTTGGGGAGCGACATGGCCGGTCGTTATAGACTGGTTTGTCTTGAGGTAAGCAAGCAGATATTAGAGCGACAGCAGCGCTCAGGGCCACAGATGGGAGGGGGTCCTTTGGCCCTTGACTGCGTATATTGTTTTGTACTTCTTGGTTGTTATTGGCTGGTATATAGACGGTTGGATGGTATTGACGGTAGGAGTAGCAATTGTGGTTGTGGTAGTAGCTATCAGTAGCAGTGAGTGCAAGCTAGAATAGAGTGCCCGCCTCGCAATGGGGCATAAAGGAGTTGCACCCTCGCTCACTCGCTCACCCACGCTCTCTCTCTCTCTCTCTCTCTTCTAAACCCGTCTCTGTCTCTGTCTGTCTCTGTCTCTGGCACAGCTTGGTTGCAATAGGCCTGGACAGCAGGTGTGTAATTGGAAGCTATGTTTCACGCTTGCCTCATTGACCTGCATAAGAACGAAAGAAAAAGAAAATAAAAGTAAGTCTAATGTCGATGTCGAGTAGTAGTAGCCTAGCCGCGTTGGAGAAAAGCCTAATAAACTGAGACACTTACCTAAGTCAACCCAACCAAGATAAACCGGCTACAAGGTAGACGTGAAAAAATCAAAACAATCCCACGATCAAGATCAAGATCCTACTGGAGTCAGAAAAAAAACCGTTCAGGAAAGGCGGGTGAGTAGGAGGAGGGGGGGTGTGGGGGGGAGAAAGGAGTTTGTAGTAGGAGAATGGCCAAGCAGTAGTAGGACTACTCGCTCAATCGATCGATGAAAGAGGAGGGGGGAACTGCGATCCTACAAACGAGGGAGGGAAGAAGGGGTGTATAGCGAAGGGTAAAAACATTATGGACGGGGATGTTTTCGGGGGGCACGGCAGTCGACTCGCAGTGAGCTACAACATACATATACTCGCTCCCGCCTACGGCGAGGAGCGAGTACTAATGTACAGTACGACAAAGGGACGAGGCAGAAGGAGAAGGAAGGTAGTAAGTAAAGTAAGGAAGTAAGGAAGTAAGGGAAGGGTAGATCTTAATAGGCAGTGCAGTGGAAACTACTAACCAGTATAAAACCGATAAATGACTGAAGAGAGCTGGTGGACTGATTGCGAGATATCGCGGTGGATCAGTAAAGACAATAAGGCCGAAGGAAAAGAAGGCTGAAATCCTTACAGTTTGTTTCTTGAGTTACGTCCGAAATGAATAAAATAAAATAAAAAGAGTGACAAGTGACACCAGCACGGAGATAGAGGCGAGAACGAGAAGGACAGACAAGTAAAAAGATAAGAGAACGGAAATATAGAGTGATAATACTTCCTTCTCGCGGAAAGAATGTCAGTGTGCGCAGACGGGTGTACAGAAACGTCAGAAACAGAAAGAAAGGTTGGAAAAGAAGAGTCGAAGGGTTCACGAGACCCTTCCAGCAGTAGCAGCAGCAGCAGCAGCAATAACCCAGCAAGCAGCAATTACCAGCATCCAGCCAAAGTAAAGGAGAGCGAATTGATTTACCATACCCTAGAGTAACTACTCTAAAGTACTTGTCTACCACTCTCTCCCACTGGCCACCGCTATATCACATCACGGCGCAGAGGGGCATAGTTTCGCTGGTACCTGACGCTTTCCCCTGTCAACAGGGAAATCTGAGACATGGTAAATCCCAGTCTCCTTCCCCATCGGGAATCAATCCAAGGATGCGGCAGCTACCCTTCCTGGCCAATACTTGTATTCAACGGATGGGGTCCGATACAACCATCATCGCTTGTTCCTGCATCTGTGAGCGTCTGGCCAAACACTGCACTCGTTCAAAGGGTCCTTGGAGGAAGCAATACAAACAACAATTCCCCACCGCCAGCGAACCAGAGCGTCTTGTTGACGCCGTATTCGTGTTAATTGTATCGCCGCCTAGCGTTGCAAGCTTCAGATAACACCTTCGTTTCTTTTTACCTTTTTTTCTCTCTCTTTCTCTTGCTCTCTATTGCTTGCATATTGTTCTATTTGCGGCGCAGTTCGGGATCTCGCTTCTGTACCTGCAGCACCGTTCGATCAGTAGCGTGGTTTTTCGCCCTTTCGCCCTTCTGCCCTTCCTTCCTCCAGCACTAGCGAACCAACCAAGATATAAAGCCAGTAGGTGAAAAACAACAAAACGGCAGCTAAATGTCCTCCCCGGCTATTATAAAGATAGAATCGGACCAGTCCTGTCTTGTCGCTCTTTTCTAACGTTACCTCCCCCCATCGATCCCATGCACATCCTTTCGCAATCCATTCCCGAACCCTTTCTCAGCCCTGTAAAATATCATACCTGCCATCCGCGCGACCCTAGGCATTACCCTTATTCATAACTACTATAACCTCCACCTAACTAGCCCGACCATCTAATAGGGGAAACATGATCGAAATCTTACACTTTCTAGACCTTCATGGGCCATTCCCTCCACTCGTCATCTAAACGCCTTAGACGCCCTCTCTCCATCCATAACCCTCATTGCACCAACAACCCGTTCCAATCTGCCGTTATAAAGTTTCTTCAACGGGCACCCTTGAAGCCGCGCTACGATGGTGCGACACGCCCGCCCCCTCCCCCCTCTTGCCCAGCAACCGGACTCGCATCAGACAGCCACGCGTACTTGTGGGTTAGTTAGTGTCTGTCTGATATATATCCCCCTCCTCTCCTTCGACTTCTACCTTCACTTCGGCCTCATGAGCCGAGAGGTGTCAGTGCGCGCCGTTTTGTTTTGTTTTTGTTTGGGGGGAGACAGACCCAGAGGGTCGGGCAGGACGAGGGGTGGAAACCGATTCGTGGGACATAACTACGGAGAGGTGGAAGCTGTTTTATAACTTGTATGGATCGACCACTTGGTAGGTAGGTGAGTTTTAACACGTAACTAACTATTCGAGAACTGGTAGTTTACTCGAAGCTATGGTGTTGCAGATAAACCTCTGCTCTCCTTTACTTGCGAGCAGGTATGCTGCGAAGCTGGATCCCAGTCGGCTCTCGCCAAAACCTTCTGGTTTTAAAGATCACAGATGATCACTCGGGAAACTAACTACCTCGGCAAGCCCAAGCGCTGTCAACAAACAAACACATGAGCAATGGCCGGCGTGTAGTCAAACAATGTTTTCCTCAGCATTTAAATTAGAGTGGCAATCGTACCTGATGCTTGGAATTGTTTTGGGGTAAGTACCTGGTTGGGGCCGTCTTCTCCAATTTATTTTCGGCCAGATATAGGCACATCTCAATTTATACCCCCCATTTTGACTTAGTGTTCCTAGTCATTGTGCGTGTAAAGTTTAAATCTGATCCCACAAATTGATTCTTTTTCACTAGAACATAGTTTGCTCATGGAGTGGCCTGGTGTATGAAAACCTATAGACCAAAATTAGATTGGGGTTTTGGCATCTAGTGTTGAGCTTATGTTTGCACACCCAACAGTACGTCGGATTCCGCCTTAAAACTGGGAATTCTATGGCAGCCCTGTTCCTTGGTTTTGCTGCGGTCATCAGCCTGGGTTTGAATACCCTAGCAGGCAGATTGGAATTCGATTCGAAGGGGGGATCGTCGGGACACGCCAATCCTGCTGCAATATTTTCTGCCGGACCCAACCTACCTCCACAACTTTTAACTGATTAATTTTATATGTTTTTGCCCTCTCCTCGCTTCGTGCTGGAGGCTTGGGATATACTAACTGGAGTTGTTGCTTCCCTCACAAAGCTCCAGTTCAAGTAGAAGAGAGCCCAAGTCAGTAGATCACCTAGTATGAGTATTAGTCTCAACTAACATCTTTCATTTCTCGGCAATTACAGAGCTCCTTGTGAAAAATATGGTAACTAGGGTCTAGCTATAGTCTGATATATAATTAATAGCTACCAGTTAACCATATCTACTATTTAGCTTGCAAGCGCATCAATGAATACCTCAAGTATTTGGCGTCGGAAAGGGGGTAGCAAGTTCGTACGTGCATTACCCCCTCTTCAGTAGAAGTCCTGTCGAGTGAACCGTTTGATGCCTTAAAGTCCCGGTATGATTGATTGATTGATAATTCATTAATTTTGTGATTCGTGCCCTGGTGAACGATAACTGAAATAATACCAAGTCTGCTGTCCCTTTTTCAGAAGTTTAGCCCTCAGTTTGTCAGCCCAGAACTAGTGTCCATACGGGGATTCTTGGGCTTTCGGTCGCTCTAAGAGTTTTAGGTCATCCTCAACTCTTGAACCACGCATTCAAACACTTTGTTAAATGTGCAAGGTTTCCCTGCATTTTCCGAAAGGCTAAGCAGGCAATTAAATTGCCACAGTCTTCATGTATAGGTTACCATGGAGTGTTTCTATCGATCTACTGTTCCGGCAACTCTCTAACGAAATTTGATTTGTCAATGCTTTCAAATCAAAGAGCACTATAAGAAAACCGAAGAGACACCCTCATAAAGCTCGCCTCCTCTAGCATTGTACTCCAGAGCCATGCACCTTAAACTCTCCGGTAGGCCATGCTCCTCTCCGAATTTAGGCCCAATTATTCGCGTCCAAATAGACGCTCTGAAAGAGTTTCCCACAATAGAGATATCAACAGATCCACGAGTAGCCCACAATAAAATCGACTGGTGTTGACCATAAATGACTATCTTCCATTTGCCTATTATAAACAGCAAACGGATATCTCCAAGGATCCGGATCCATCGACTGCTAGAACTATCTACTGCTATATTCTTTCAGCCCCTGCATAATGCTTTCTTGAAAAATCCACAACGGCATACATATCTTGGTACATACCTCCATCTTGAATGCCGTGCCGATTCTTATATAATGTGCAACCTCCGTCAGAAGCAATCCCACATCAAAAGGAAGACCATATCTGTATAACACAAGTAACAATGACAGCACTGCGCGCCCAGATGATTATGCTAAAAGCACAAAGGGAGTACCTACAAACTAGCTACGACGAGGTTGCATCTGAACTTAAAAACCTCGCTTCCGCTGAGCTTGAGGGCTCCTCCCAGAAAGATGCAGCATGGATGAGGCTACTTTTGGAACAGGTCAAGTTAGTGTCGGAGATGTTGGATATTGATGCTGAAATTAAGTGTGTGGAGTTTGAACTGAGAACGGAACCAGAGCAGGGTGAGGATTGGTGATATAGAGGTGCTGAGAATTCAAAAGAGTTTATGATGGAAATTAAAGTATGGCTTTTAGAGGTTGATGAACCGAGCTTTGGGATGCTGTGAGTGATAAGAGAGCCGAAATCTTGTTATGAGTGGAGAAATAGGTTAATAGTGGACAGGTAAACAAATTTCAGACAGGTAAACGAATTGCAGACAGTCAGATGAACCAGAGCATCTCTCATCTATATATGGCAAAAAAGCAGACTTCGAAAACATTCGAACAGATACGTGAGCACACTTTGTTATAGTCCTACTACAAAGCTAAAACCTATCGAGTGCTTAACGAATACATCCATGAAGTTAACAGCCACTTGCTATAGCTGCGAACAATAAATGAATTACCAATCAATCAACAGCCACTCAATTAATACCTTGATATAAATCACGCACCAAAGAAGAAGCCAGGGGGGAGGGATTTTTTTTCCTTTTTTTTTTTTTTTCTTTCAGTTTAATTCATTAATTAAGAGAAAAAGGATGTAAAACACGGGATAAAAAATGACAGAAGATGGAAAGAAACCGCTGAGGTCAGTTCCCTGCTTGCTCTCTAAGACGCTGAAATGATAAAAATAAATTAAACAGCTTAGTGTTATGGTCAAAATCATAGCTTGTTCCCAGATGAGAGCCTAAGGCCACTACCTGACAAGCCCTTTAATTATTAAACAGCCTACCTGTAACCCCTAGGCATATCAAATGAAAATGCAACCATGAATACTGTGATCAAACTGCTGTCCTTGAGCCTAGGACTCTCTTAGGTACATGTATTCTAACTTTTTTGGAACGGTTATATTATTGTTACTTCATGTAATCACACACTATCACTCGTACCGCATCACTGAAGATATCTCGATAGACTAATGAAATTTGGATCTTTTCAACCTTATATAGTCCTCAACTACTACACTACATTGAAAATTAAATACCGTACAACGGGGGACTAGTCAAAGATTTACCGTTTCCGACAGCAGATACATTTCAACACACCCTCGGCCTGTGAAATTAACAGTGATTTGGTTTCGGGACTTATGATCCTAGATATTCTTGACTCATATTATTAGCTCCAAAACAAAACAGATGGTTAAACACATACACATACACATATACACACACATCCAAATCCGGTAAGCTATAGTTGGCAGGGGCATCCAGTGCTTGTAAAACGCGAAAACCAGTAACTTATTTATCATCTGACGAGAGAGCTCGTTTGAGAAGAGCTACCATTGTGGATAACACTCATAGTACATGGACCAAATATCGGCAATCAAATAGATATCATTATTTATCTAGATCTTTCATTCATGATCAACACAAGAAAGAAATATGGCGCCGCATTTTCATTGTGCGAGGTGCCGAAGAACTAGGAGATATGGCGTTTAGCCCATAGAAATCCTATTACAAGTCCCATCCTCATCGACATGAACATTTAATCTAACACACCGTCAGCAACAGCCCTTCCTAAGCAATACGCAAGAAATATCACCCTACCTCTCGGGCCTGTAATCCAGCGTCATCATGCTACCCTTCCCAAGTACCCTATGCCCACTCGGCAGATCATTCTTTGAGAATGTAGACTCCACTTAATCTCAGCTCATCACGTACACTACACAGCAGAGAGGCGTAAACTTACGGCTTCAGAGGCGGCCCCATCAACGACCTTCTTGCCCAAGAGCTTCGCCTCCCAGTGTTCCTTCATGCTGCCACTGTTCTGAGCGGCCTGCTCGTCTCTGAGGTTGTTGAATTCGCGTTGTTGTTCGTCTGACATTTTGAAGTTGTTTAGTTGAGCTTTGTAGTTTGGTTGAGTTTGGGCTTGAGCTGTGGTTAGTGGGGTTAAGTAGAGCTGTTGACGTGTACGTCATCGTGAGCCGCATTACATACCGGTTTGTACACGTGAACTGAAACATTGAAAATCAATCATCTGATGGCTATACTTGGAATACACACAGTATGAGAGGAATAAGCCAATCGCTAGAATCAAAAAGTTTCTCATTATTACTGGTAGCTATCGAGTGCACATGTACAGCTAGGTGCTGATGTCTGCGGTTTGACCAGTATGTAGGGTAACTTCGTGTCCAGGTACATACAACCGCGGTGATATGTACATGGTAAATACTATCACGTGTGTTATCCGTACCTTCACTTGTGGTGTTCGCGTAGATTTATCTAAATACAAAAATAGAACCCTTATAGACCAGTCTGCCCATCAGCGAGCGCGAGCGTTGCCCCTTATTCTGCCCGCTCCCCTGAGGATGCAACGGTTGCTACCCACCAAATTTTGGGTGAACGCTCGCTGATGGGCAGACTGGTCTATACATAGGCGGGCAGTACAGGTAGCAGGCGGGCAGTAGTAGGACTTGTAGGTGTGTGCGGGTGACGGTTTGTGACCGCACCCGCTAGTAGTTCTGAAGGCGAACCATAGGCCCTACCACACACTGACTGTGTCTGAAGCTGTTGACACAGTTTCATTTGAGCACACTACTACAGTACAATCTCGCTATAAGGATATGGAAATGTGACAATTTTGCATCCCAAAATATCCTTATAGGCGATTTATCCTTATAAGAAGTGCCCAGCTCACCCACACAATCCCTGTCGGGACCAAAGTTGAATCATACGTATATCCTTATAGGCCGAATATCCTTATAGAAAATATCCTTATAACGAGATTGTACTGTAGTATAACTCTAATCGCGCATCTATCATATAAAAATTTGAAAAAAACGATATTTACGCACCAACTATCACTCGGTTTAGCGACTCATGTATGGTTATCGGCCGATGGAAGCGTTACATACAGCCAGAATTCCATGTGGAAGATCGATAGCTTCTGTTTTTTTACGAAAACATTGTTGTTTCATCGGTCTTCAGAGCCTTCATGACATACTACTAGCAGGCAGTCCGACCCCATGCGTCCGTTCCTCGAGCTCGGGTCTTTGGTTTTCAACCAAGCGCTGTCTAATGGATTGAATGATCAGTAATTATCCCCCGAAATATGCAATAGGTATTGTGTAAAATACATACACATTAGAGCGTATTTGCCAACCGTCAATTTCAACTATTGACACTTCAAACTTGACAGTTTCGGGAGGCAAAATTGACAGTTCCCCGCAGTGGCCAAAATCGATCTGGCTAACGGTATGACAGAATAAACCCCGAAAACCAGACAACCCATCACGCTACCTGTGAAGTACGCTATTGGAACTGAAAATTCATACCCATGATACTAGCTTCGGTAGTAACAAAACTGGGTACTTGTGATCCTCCTGGTATATCTCACAGCACGCCGCCCCACCGAAATTCAAAATTAACAGCCCCGGTTGCCATTTCGGAGCCCCACAATTTGTAAATTCTTGAAATTGACGGTTGGCAAATACGCTCTATTCGCCTATCCATATTCTTCATTTATTTATCTGTGTATTCGCCTCCTCTCAAGCTCACTCATCGTTCCCCCCTTCGTTCACCACCTTCGTGGTCATCAATATAGGCCTCACTAACAATAAATACTATTAGTCAGATATCCCCTTACTTTCTGTGTTTTCCCGGATCGGGGCCCGGCTTCGGGGCCTTGCTGCCCTCGAGACCAACATTATCGTAGAGGGCTGCGTGGAAATAATGAATCATTTCGGGACATCAACCCGACCCTAGGGCTAGATAAAGACTTGTAAGTCTTATAGTCTTAAGAGACCGTTCGAGTGCGTCGATAAACCCCCACACTCCCCCCACTCCCCCACTACCCCCGCAACTACCGAATGAACCGGACAGGCTTATCGATATCAGGGCTTACTCAGGCTACTGCAGTCACTCATCTCATCTCAAATGAGCTGATACAATGCCAACTATCATATCATCCCGATCCTAGCTCATCTGAATGGGCTTGCCTTATCAATCGGAACCTAGATCCCATGATCCGGGTGTATATACTCGCGCTGCCGGATTGAAACCGCTCAGACAGAAAAGGTAATTGATCTGAATAATGCAAAAACGTGAGCTCTTATTGGCTGCCAGATCACTCGCCACAGTTCTTTGAGCGGCTTCAAACCGGCCGCGCGAGTACGTAACCCCGCAAATGGGGTTGGCTTTAGTGCTCGGGTAATCTTAAGCCCTTATTGGCTCGGCGTATAGAGCGCGCGCAGTTTAGGATACCGCCATATATGCATATATCAAGTACGAAAACTTAAAATCCTTCATTCTACACTTGTTTAACCAAAGTAGCCTCTAGTAACACACTCGATAACATCCACACACTCCCGGGAGACAGGAATAGAAGCTATGATGTCAAGCATGCGGTATCACTCGTGATTTCTCATACAAATAGACCCCGATAGGCATATAGGCAGATATACAGCCACAATCTTCAAAACTGACACGTTCATAATAGACGATAAGTCACATAATGAGGCTTCTCCTATCATATATACTCTGGTCTAAGGATAAACGAACGACGAAGTATGAAACACCCACGATACTTTAGGCCAAGCCTTTATTCTGATTTAATAATGATATCAATAGTAGGAACTCACAAGCTAGGTCGCCAGGTCGGTGTGGGACAGCACGCTTTCCTCGTATTCACCATCAGACAGCAGACCAGTCTAGTTGATCACCCCGTCAGCAGATATCGAGCCCTTTGAAAATGCACTTTCACATGGTACAGCAGCAAATCTACCATCCATAGTCGTCAACTCTATAATCTACGGTTCACGGGAGAATATGAGGCCACCAGTAAGACCGCTTGCTTCAGATAAGAATGAGTCTGCTTTTGTCCTATATGATATTAATGTGGCGATCTTTTGAGGGGGGTATAGTACATTGGTCAGGGCTGACGAACAAGTAAGCATACCCAGTTTTCTCCAGAAAGTATAGAAAGGAGTTTTAAATTATCCTGGTCCTCTGGAAAAGAATAAACCGGTTATATAAATTGGATTTCAACCAGGCCTTAAATATAAATGCTGGGGTGGTGGGGATTTATCCATCTAGACCGATGCCGTTGCTATCCATCTCTTAAAGTTCCGCATTTCGGTATGATCCATCCAACTAGTGGATTGGCCACTGAATACCGATAGCGGTTCCGACCGATATCGGCTTAGTTTTCAATTCGCCGGATGGTACTTCTGCACCCCTTGCTGCTGGCGAATCGCTACTAACATATATAGCAACCGGCAAAAGGCACACACTAGTAGTTCTTCCAGGTTATGCTGGAACATGAATCTGATTCAACTGATCATCCACGGTTGGGCTGGCCATGCGGATTGGCAACCAGGGTATCAATCAAGCGGTTAGTACATACATACTCTGTTTTCCGCCCTGGGTACATGTAACAACATTATGTCTCTGTATAGTGAATTTTGCTGTTTGAGCAGAACGTGTTACATTGAAAGGCAATGATACGTTCGTGAAGTAAATTTTCGAAAAGGTGTGTCTCGGTTATTGATTATGTCCAGGATTAAATCGCCTGAATTGCGTGTGCGCTCGGCCGGGATCCGGTTAGGTAAATCCGATTTTCCCGCCTGCTGGAACAGTGGGTTGCAGATGATTAAGGGGCACGGATATCTCGCACTCGGTAGTTTGGGGTGGAATCAGCAACAGAAACATGCGCCCTGGGTATTCTTCCAACAGTGCAACAGTCCTTTCGGGAACGCGTACTTACTCCACTATCTTAGGCACATCTTTCGAGTGAGAAGTTCAGGCTGGTGGGAATGAAACATGTGATTTCGGAAGAAAAATACAAGTGCGACATTATTCACTTATATACACAACTCTTATTTGGTGGCTGACGTGCTACTTTTCGCTTTGACTTTATTCTGATCTCTTTTCGCCGATTGGAATTTGACGTTGACTGGCATTCAAGAATTTATTTACTTCTGTGCCACACAGATTCATGTTTCCTGCAGGTCTGTATCCCTCCTGCAGCCTTGTTGAGATAGCTAATGTTGTGTTCTTGGAGATGTTCCTCGGGCACTGTGATAGCAATTGGTGGAAGGTTGCCAGGGTATATCTAATGCGGGTCCCTTGCTGTTTCGGTGAGTCCTCGACCCGAGTGATAAGTTGTGATGTGCTTCTCTATAGGTTTCACAAGCTGCGTGACACGATATGACTTCAATCTCATACCTAAGCTTTTTTCTGTAACACACGAAGTTATTCCATGCATTTGATAGAGGCGTTACCCGTGGGCCGTGAGAACTGGTTGGCTAAATACCTCAAACAATGGTATTAAACATATACATCACATATACATGTAACCGGCGATTCAAAGCAGTCAGCTTTTAAATAAGCCATAAAACCAATCTCCGTATGGCCTTCCAGATCTTGCTTGCATGATTGTACATATGCAGTGGGTAAAGTTATATAATATATTGCTAACTCATCAGTATCAATGATGATTACATCCACACCGATAGACGTGCTTCCGCTCCTCGGAATAGGGGGACCTCGGTCAAAAACATTTTGCTTAACCTATCGGGCCACCCAAAGATGTTACGTCCAATTCAATGCCCCGGGGTTTCGACTACAATTTATAATCCCTAGGAATCTGCCGGAGAAAAGGGGTCAAAATTGCCGTCTCAGTGCTAAACTTACTCTACACCCACCTCTACACCCCAGCTATATAGTTGGTCAAAAGAATTGGTTTACATACCAACAGAAGTACAATGAAACTCCAGCCCTTATGGCATAGCCAATGGTATTAAGGTGAGTTTTGAGTAGACCTCACTAATGAAAATATTTCACGGGATAACTATCGGTAGACATTTGATTTATTTGATGTCAAACGCTTTCGACATAGCTAGGCCTATAAAAAAAACTTGTAACTCTGGGCATTTTTTTCGATTTATCTACCGACGTCTCCCATGGCCATCCAGAATTCGGCTCGGATTTTCGCATCGCATGCTTGATTTGCTTAAAGTCCTATTCTACAGGCAGGAAGATACATCCGGCGATGCAGAAGCGATGCTCTCGATGGCGATGATTTACAATTTGCCACCGCGGAAGGTCTCGATTTTCAGAATTCGATGTAACTTCCCCTTTTCATAACTACTAAAGTACATAGTATTATACTTATTCATAACAAATCGATCTTCGATCGCGCGCGGCACTTGTGAGACTTCATTGGACCATATCCTCGTGGCTTTACAATGGCATGGTCCGGGATCTACTTCCATTAGGTGATCAAAAACGTGGTGGAGATTTGAGTTTGAAGATCTGTTTATCAGTCTAGTTATAATTATCATCTGTTACTCGCCAAACCAAGTAAGGGGCCATCACGAGCCCTCACTCGGTACCAAGATCTTGCATGCAACCAACCACTCACTAGCCACGAACGTGATCGAGCAGTTATGATAGACCAAGCCAAAATATTAGATTACACTGCCACTACAGTGGATTTATGCTAATGAAAGAGGGAAATTATAAACATGTCCACCGGCGTCTCGTGAACGCAATGACATTGAAAATGACGAAACCACTACCTGTTCAGCAGGGCACCTTAAAAACTTGCACTGGACTCACAGAAGATCTACACCAGAGTGTGCATGTAGTGTAGAAAATCCCCACCGTTTCATCTTCCACTTCCCCGGCTTGAGCACATGCCAGATCCCGTTTCATGGGGTGCATAAAGTAGGTAGACATTTCGCGTTCGACGACTCTTTCAATCAAGTTTAACGCCCTCAATCTCCCAAGCCCCTGGATATCAGTTAATGGCTACATACCATTGGCTGCGCGCTGTGACCTTCATGTATCTTCTGGGTCACGAGATATGATCGCCAAATAAATAATCCTTTTGGTGGATCATTACCCTATATCTGCACAGTATATCTGTACTATGCATATCTGGTGGTAGCACGGACTGCACCGATTTGACGTGTTACGAGTACCAAATGTCTTGACTGCATATGTTTTACTTTACTCATGCGGGCCAGTTTCAATTCAAACTACCCAGACATATGTACATATCATTACCCTACATAGAAAACAACAGTTCATCTGAGAAAGGAGGAGGAGGACGACGACGCTGCCCTGTCCGAGAAGAAGGGCCGAATGTGGCTTGCCCTGCCTTTGCTGATCTTCATCAACCAGAGCAGAAGCCAGCACACACACCTTGTTGGAGTAAAATTAAATGCAAAAGCAGTTTATCTACTCCATGCCGGTTTCGAAACCCACTACATAAGCGAAAAGCATCAGAAAACTCTGCAGGAAACACATTCAATAATAATTGGGCCAAGGGAAACACAAAACGTAAGAAAAAAGTAAAAAGGATGAGCAGATCAGTGCGTCTCCTCATCCATGAAAAGGAAGGGCATATCTCCACGCGGGTTTAACTATATGTAAGTACTCTATCTCGTCAGTTTTCTAGATCTTCTTGTCGTTTCCCCCACCTCGAGGTCCTAACACCGTCGAAGTTCAGCAACGTCTCGGAATTACTTGGAGCTTTGATCGTTAAAACGGTTTTTTCGACAGCTGATGGCTGACGATCATCCAGCGCCATTCCCTCTACCCCCTCTTATCCTACATCCCCTAAATCAACTTATTTCCCTCATACATCTTCGTGAGAATTTGTAAGACAAATCGGTAACTCCGACTTCAACTGCCAACGCTAAGAGGAATACCCTAACACCACTTCGAGTATTAGTGGCATCATTATAGTAGGGTTAGGTGGGAAAGTCCATGGAAAATTTCGTGCACTAGCCTCATCTACTACCCCTCAAATCAAACTACACGCCCTCCTTTTCTATCAACTCGGTAGGAAATTGTGGCTTGCAGAAACATAGCCCAAAGTGGCAAATCAAATATTCCTCACGGGTTTTCCCGGCCGACCGGCCAGCCGTTTAATTCCTAGCCTACTTGATCCCACCTAATCTGAACTCTGCACGGTTGAGATTTGAGATGCTTACCAAGCAGCATTTGGCATACTGGATATGGACATCGTTTCCTATGGAGTAGCCAAGGAGCCTTGTTTCCATTCTCCCAAGGTCGAGAAGTAATTTGCGAAAGTTTAGTGGTGGTATGTATGTTTGATATCGTGGACGTTATCATTTGATTTCATTATCTGCACGTGTGTGCCAAGTCGAGACCCACAATTGGTGTATCTTTCTCAGCGGGACCGAGGCCTGGGGGGGTACTGGGTTGAAGGGCTCATCTTGGCCTGCATGAGTACTATATTTAATCATCAAAGCTTCTCTTCAGCTGATCTCTCTATCGGTTTCCTGGATACGTACATAGATACGTACATAGGTAAAAAGATAATTTGTTGTGGTGGGCCCAGATTTGTAGATCATTTTGATTTTTGAAGATCTTTCTGCGTAGGGTAATGAACTACGGACTATGCATCTGGAGAAGTGGAAATGACCATATTTCACATTAATGTGTCATCCTGATGATAAAGCAATGCTGCACTACGGATGCAAGCGAATTTACCAAGCCCTACTTAGTGGTGAAGTCTTGGTTAGCCTCTTGCACTTATATCCACCACCAGCCAGGAAAAGTTTAGTAAGAAACGCCGAGATCTAGCAGACATGAACGACTATTGCGATGCTTGGCAAACAGGGCAGGAAGGGTGATCTCTAAACAACATTTGTTTAGAAACTCACGATATCACCTGATTGACACACCACCCACCATAAGCTTAAGCTTCTTTACATAGAGAACGCCCATAGATGATAGGACACATAACCCGGGGGAGTCAAACGATGGAACGGACGTTTACCACGGACCAGATCCACGGTTCAGTTAAGAAAGCTGGCCCCTGCATTGTCTCACCCCCACAAAGATCGGAATCCGCTGTTCAGATCGTAGGACCATCTCCCAGGGGAGTCCCGATTAAAAAACTTTCTCCACAATTTCTTTCGATCCTCGTTTTTAGGCCTGCAAGCAGGCAAGAACTCTAGAACACGTCCCTCCCTCTGCCATCTGGACCTTCAGTCACAATTCTCGTCTCCGGGGTTCCCGATTCCCGGACCGGGGTAACCTTTTGCGATGAAAATGGATTCCCGGGTTCGAATCCTTTCCCCGGAGTGGCAGAAGCAAAGAAATGTGCGGGAAGTCAGGCAAACCACCTATGGCGTTGGCACAGTTGGAGAGATCGAGATCAAATCGCACCAAAAGGGAAGAAAAGACATGAGAACAGAACCCCTTCGGTTCATACGCGTTGCGCCAGCCGACGGAATTCCCCTTTCTTGGGGAGACCCCCGTCCATATCACTAAATAACACTCTAGGTTCACACAAAAATTACCAACTGACTTGACGTTGAAAAAAAGAGTTTTTTTTTTCGTTTTTTCCCCACAGGAGTTCTGGTTCGTTGTAAACCGATTTCCTAGCAACAGCACGATCCACACTGAAGTCGGTTACTAACGATGGCTTACGGCTCTACTTGCCCTGGTTTGGGGTCCCACAACGCTCGCTCGCTGGAACCCACGATCGATCGATGTAATGGTTTTCCAATTCTAGGGGGTCGGGGTGACCAGCCAATCGGAGAATTTATCAACCAGGGTTTCGCCTAGCGGGCGCGGGAAAGGAGATATGAGACATGACGTTAGTTAGACGTCACATCAACATTAGTCTCGGCGTTGATAAACAGTGGAGAAAACTGATACGCAGCGAGCCTCAACCAGGTACCACCCAAGCGACGGAAAAAGGGGCAAGCTCGCGAGAAAAGGGAGCGGTAGAGGGTGGAAAAAGGTTAAGGGTTCAGGATCACCGTAGATCGCCGCGATGAGCTTAAGCTGAAGGGTTTTTTAATAGCATTTGGGGGGTCAGTCAGATCTGTAGATTCCAAAATGACGCTTGAAATGAGTCTATAGATATGGAAACGTCAGTGAACGCAGGGAATAGTGAAACCGTTTTCGTCTATCCTTCGGCCATATCCGGTAGAGAGAGGGAGATCTAGAGGGAGAGACATCTTGAGAAGAAAGAAATAAATTGCTGATGTCATCGGGACCCTTGATCTCAGGACTAGACCCTGTTCCAGACCCCAGCATAGAGGGAAATACCGGGGGGTGGTAAGTACTTTGGGGCATGAAATTCATCAATAAATACTTGAGTGATGGTTAATGATGGATGATGATGATATGAATGAATGGAATCTGAGAGAAGAAAAAACCGTTGGCCGCATGGAGTGGGTCTTGCTGCCGGAGGAGGGATGATGGGATGGGGATGGAGAATACGTAGGGAGAGAGGAAGCGTTGTGATATGGAACGAGGCAAGAAAGGGTAGTTTTGAGGCAGCAAGGTGGCCTGGATTCCTTCAGGGGGGTGGCCAAGGTGCTGCTTCTGCTTCTGCTTCTGCCTCTGGCTCTGCTGCCTCTGGCTCTGCTGCCTCTGGCTCTGCTGCCTCTGGCTCTGCTGCCTCTGGCTCTGCTGCTGTTGCTACTCGGGTGATGTCGAACAACAACAGCTGCTAGTTGCTTCTCGCTCGCTGACCTCCGTTACCTTGCGTTGCGTTGCGAAAACCTTAGGTGGAGGCTGACGGAGGCCATATCCGTCTACTAACACACCGACACGGACCGTGCGCACACTGCATGCACCTGTGCAGTAGGGCCTACACCAGGCTACAGCTTGTGGAACACGACACTGGTTCCCCGCAACGCTGATCAGCCATGTATGTATGTAAACGTGATTTAAACCTGGGAGCATCTGAACCTTACAAATGTCAAAGTTAAAAAGGAGGAGGAAAAATAGTAATAATAATATTCAAGGCAGAGCGGAAATAAGACACCGAGGAAAGCCTCTGGCCCTAGGAACGGGGCAATGCTGCGTGTACCAGTAATAATGCGCAATCAATATCAACAGCTAGCTA